CAAGGTGTTCTTTTCATCAAAGGCCTTGTTCTTCCTCTCCAAACATAGCGTTGATCCATGGGCCCAAACAGTTCTAATTTTGTTTCATCAGTCCACAGAACACTATCCCACAACTTTTGTGGTTTGTCCACATGGCTTTTGGCATACTCTTCTTATTCTTTGGAGACAGCAAGGGGGGTACGCCTGGGAGTTCTGGCACGGAGGCCTTCATTACGCAGTGTGCGTCTTATTGTCTGGGCTGAAACTTCTGTACCCACATCTGACAAATCTTTCTCAGTTCCTCAGCAGTCACACGGGGACTTCTCTCCACTCTACGCTTCAGGTAGCGCACAGCAGTCGAAGTCAGCATCTTCTTTCTGCCACGACCAGGTAGCGTTTCAACAGTGCCCTTTGCCTTGAATTTGCGAATGATGCTTCCTAAGGTGTCTCTTGTATGTTTAACATCTTTGCAATCTTCTTATAGCCATTGCCCTTCCCTGTGAAGAGAAATCACCTCTTCTCTCTTGTCTTCCTGGACCATTCTCTTGCCTTCACCATGTTTGTAACCACACCAGTAAATGTCTAGAAGGAGCTGAGTATCACAGTCATTTTAAAGCTGCCTAATTGGTGCTTATTATGCTTGATTGCTGCTCGGTGACATCCACAGGTGTTTTCAATACCTGATGGAAAGCACCTGTATGAACCTCTGTTCTTCAGAGTGGTAGTCTTTAAGGGGTTGAATAATTGTGGCAATGAAGAAACCACATAAGAACCATTTACTACTGTATTACATAAACAATTGATGTCATTTTAGTTGCATTTGGTAGTTACAACGTCCTTGTAGGATTTGATTCTGAATACAATTCCAAATGTACACTATAGTCCCTAAACCCCTTTACAGCATTGGGGGTTGAATAATTTTGGTCACAACTGTATATAGCATGGGTCCTGGCAGCTTGCAGGCAGGTGCAGTCTGCTTTCTCCACTGTAGGTGGTGCTCAACCTGAGCGATACCACAGCCTGGAGAGGAAATCGGGAGAAACTATGGTCCCTGATCTCAGCGTTCCAATTGGCTACGCTGCATCCAGGTGACCCCTGATAGCCATCTTGGGTCAGCAGCAGCTTTTTAAAAGGGAGATCCACCCAAAAGGGGAAGTTCTGCTTGTTTGTACCCTCCCCCCCCCCCCCCCCTACTGCCACATTTGGCACTTTTTGGGATAGCAGGTACCTGGTTTTGATAGGTACCCCCTCCCACTTCTGGCTGAGTTTGCCACGATGAGCTGAGACAGAAGTTCGGCCCTTCTCCTTCCCACTATAGTCTTCTGGGACCTGTGATGTGTGACTGGACTAATCACAAGACACAGTGTGACTTGAGCATGCGCAGTAGGAAACCAGCTGTGAAACCGCAAGGCTTCACTTCCGGTTTCCCTTATGCACAATGCCGGTGCCCAGACCCTGGAGGCTAGTGAAGAACAAACCCGGGTGATGGCAGCACTGGACCCCTGGATAGGTAAGTGTCCTTATATTAAAAGTTGCATTATCTGCACCTGGACTCTGTGTCATTACTGCCACTGCACCACGCTCCAGCTCCTCACAAGCTGGTGGAGATCATTGAAGTAGTGGTGTCTACTTCATTGATTATCAGCTTCCAGAGACATCGGCCAGGTATAATATATACAGTTGTGTTCAAAATAATAGCAGTGTGTTGAAAAAAGTGAATAAAGCTCAAAATCCTTCTAATAGCTTTTATTTCCATACACACAAATGCATTGGGAACACGACACATTCTATTCCAAATCAAAACATGAAGAAAAATAGATCAAATTTGTGTTGTTCCTCTAAAAAAATTGAAGAAAAGTGAATATTAGACTATTCAAAAAATAGCAGTGTTTGTATTCTTCTTTACAAACTCAAACATTCACTATATAAACTGAAAAATGAAGATTTTGCTTTCCTTTGAATCACCTAATATTTTGTTGTATAAGCACTGTTTCTGAGAACTGCTGTACATCTGTGTTGCATGGAGTCAACCAATTTCTGGCCCCTGTGATCAGGTATTCCAGCCCAGGATGATTGGACTACATTCCACAGTTCTTCTCTATTTCTTGGTTTTGCCTCAGAAACTGCATTTCTGATGTCACCCCACAAGTTTTCTATAGGATTAAGATCCGGGAATTGGGCTGGCCACTCCATGACGTCAATCTTGTTGGTCTGGAACCAAGATGTTGCACGTTTACTGGTGTGTTTGGGGTCGTTGTCTTGTTGGAACACCCATTTCAAGGGCATTTCCTCTTCAGCATAAGGCAGCATGACCTCTTCAAGTATTCTGATGTATTCAAACTGATCCATGATCCCTGGTATGCGATAAATAGGCCCAACACCGTAGTATGAGAAACATCCCCATATCATGATGCTTGCACCACCATGCTTCACTGTCTTCACAGTGTACTGTGGCTTGAATTCAGTGTTTGGAGGTCGTCTGACAAACTGTCTCTGGCCACTAGACCCAAAAAGAACAATCTTAATTTCATCAGGCCACAAAATGTTGCGCCATTTCTCTTTAGGCCAGTCAATGTGCTCTTTGGCAAATTGTAACCTCTTCAGCACGTGTCTTTTTTTCAACCGTGGGATTTTGCGGGGGCTTCTTGCAGATAGCTTGGCTTCACATCTTCTAATTGTAACAGTACTCACAGGGAACTTTAGATCTTCTTTGATCTTTCTGGAGCTGATTGTTGGCTGAGTCCTTGTTATTTTGGCTATTCTTCTATCCATTCGAATGGTAGTTTTTCGCTTTCTTCCACGTCTTTCATGTTTTGGTTGCCATTTTAAAACATTTGCGATCATTTTAGCTGAGAAGCCTATCATTTTCTGCACTTCTTTAAATGTTTTCCCCTCTCCAATCAACTTTTTAATCAAGGTACGCTCTTCTTCTGAACAATGTCTGGAACAACCCATTTTCCTCAGAATTTCAAAGAGAAATGTAACCAGCATATACAAGATTTGCTGCCTTCCTTCCTTAAATAAGGGCAATAATTGCCACCTGTTTTTCAAAGAATGAATGACCTCACTAATAGAACTCCACACTGCTATTATTTTGAACATGCCCCTTTCAATTAGAGATTCGATTCAATTACACAGAATCAGCAGCATACATGTCATGACTGTTGGGTCTGTTGGATTTCTATTACTCTACTACACCTGCTAGTAAATTATTTGCCATGTAGAAATATCATTTCTACCAAAAACAGTGATTGATCAGGTTAGTGATGTCTGACTGCTATTATTTTGAACACAACTGTACATCCATCCATGCATGGTAGACTGATGTAATCATGTAAACAAACATACCATACTTGGAGCTTTAATTAGATGAGATATCAATGGTACCCATGAAATGCCACCATAGTGAAATGTACCATCCCAATATATAAGCCACAACTGGAAACAAATTGCCTAAGGTTTGTTTGATAGTATGGTTGTGTCTGCCCTGCTTTAAATTCATTGAGATTTGGGTGATGCCACAGTTGGCCCTTGGCCACCTGAACTGTTGCATCACAATGAAAACCACAAAGGAGGTCAACTATTTGTTCTTGTGGCTGGGTGTTTTTTTTTCCTAATTAGACTAAGGCAGCCTTTTTCAACCATGGTGCCCGGGCACCCTGGTGTGCTTCAGGAGTGCCACAGCAAAATGCCTAAAAATTGGCCAAAAATTGGCCCCTTTCACATCTGAGCATAGTGTTCCCGTGTGTTCTTTTTGCACTCAGCATGTCTCCAACCACACCTGAAGCATGTCTCCAATCTCCCACTCCAACCATGCCTGCAGCATGTCTCCAGTCCCCAACCACACCATCAGCATGTCTCCAGTCTCCAACCATACTTTCAGCATGTCTCCAGTCTCCAACCATACTTTCAGCATGTCTCCAGTCTCCAACCACTCCTGCAGCATGTCTCCAGTCATACCTGCAGCATGTCTCCAGTCTCCAACCATGCCTGCAGCAAGTCTCCAGTCTCCAATCATGCCTGCAGCATGTCTCCAGTCTCCAAACACGCCTGCAGCATGTCTCCAGTCTCCAACCACTCCTGAAGCATGTCTCCAGTCTCCAACCATACCTGCAGCATGTCTCCAGTCTCCAACCATGCCTACAACATGTCTCCAGTCTCCAACCACCACTGCATCATGTCCCTAGTCTCCAACTCCACCTGCAGCATGTCTTCAAATTCTAACCACACCTTTAGCATGTCTCCAGTTTCCAACCACACATGTAGCATATCTCCAGTCTTCAACTACACCAGTAGCATGTCTCTAGTCTCTAACCACACCTGCAGCATGTTTTCAAATTCAAACCACACATGTAGCATGTCTCCAATCACACATGTAGCATGTCTCCAGTCTCCAACCACACACGTAGCATGTCTCCAGTTTCCAACCACACATGTAGCATATCTCCAGTCTTCAACCGCACCAATAGCATGTCTCTAGTCTCTAACCACACCTGCAGCATGTCTTCAAATTCCAACCACATATGTAGCATGTCTCCAACCACACATGTAGCATGTCTTCAGTCTCCAACCACACATGTAGCATGTCTCCAATCTCCAACCATGCCTGCAGCATGTCTCTAGTCTGCAATCTTTGACCACCTCCTCTAGCATGCCCACAGTCTCTGATCTTCTGCTGTAATATGTCCAATCTCTGACCATTTTCTGTAGCATTACATACTTTGAACCTGGGGTGCAGAACTTTGGTGAAGATATAAACAGTGTTTGTTTTTGTTTTATTCTTTTGCATAAGCCAATGTTATTTTTATGAAACTGCACTATGTATAGTATGTGCCGTAGCTGCATTCCTAATGAGAGTATTGTTATAGGTATATCACAGAAAGACTGACAGCAGAGTTCAGGTAGAAAGAAATGACTATACTTTATTGAAGATAATTGAAGCTGTTGTATCCTGAAAGCTTAGAGATGAGAGAATGTTAGCTCTTGAGTACAGCGAGATTACAAGTAAGTTAATAAGGTGTTTACACTTTACAGCCATTGTCTCGGTAGTCATTTATGAAGTTGTTCATGTCAATGCATTTGTTACGGTTGCGCGTGGCCTTGCAGGCTTGTGGACTAGCCAAATCCTCCACCCAAGAATTGTTTTCCAGGATGTATCTCAACCTGAATGACACAAAGAGGGACAAGTGATGAGAAGCATGCAGTCTGCAGTATTTATCAGCACTGCCATTATTAGCTTTGTTCCTAGTGTACCATGTACAGATATATGCATAGTGCGCTTCAGCTTGATATTTGTAACCATTTTCAGGCAATGTTACTTTCAGCCCTGGTTCACACTGATGCGGTGCAGAATTCGCAGCGTATAAAGTGCGAATTCCGCACCGTATCAGAATAGCACCCCGTTCATGCGAACCGCTGCGGATGTGTATGTTTAAAACACCCCAAAAGCGGTCCGCAAAACGCGGTGCGATGTGCAGAATCGGATCAAATAGGTGTGAATACCCATGTGATCTGATTCTAGTGTGGACCAAAAAAAGGGTCCTGCATGTTTGTGGTGTGGGAGCGGTGCGATTAGAGCCATACAAAATGTATGGCTCCAATCGCACTGCACACAAATCGCATGTGATTTGCACAGGAATGCGGTGTGGTTCCTGTGTGAATCACATGCGATATACCGCACTGCACATATGTGTACCCGGGCTAAAACCCTGGCACCATCATTTTTGGTGGAGGGGATTCTACACTGAGTATTTGTATGTACTGACCCTTTACCACTTGCCATCTAGGGCAATTTTGAAATTTTTCACATACATGTTAAAATCTGCATTTTTTTGCTAGAAAACTGCTTAGAACCCCAAACATTATATATTTTCTGAAAGCATAGGACCTGGAGAATAAAATGGTGACTGTTAAATTTTCTATGTCACTTGATATTTGCAAAGTCGTTTATCAGACACAAATTTTCAGGATTTAAATAGACTTTAGTGCACAAAAACAAAATATAATACTCAATTTGTTTAGTAAAATATAAAAAATTATCATATTATCAAGTACATAGATACCAAACATGTGAAGATTTAAAACCGTGCGCGCCTGGGAAATGGCGACAAATTTAAAGCATCGCTTTAAAAGCCTTTAGAGGTTATCAGTTAAAATATTACTAAACCCAGGACCCTGCATTCACTATATCTGGTCTCCCACAGTACACACTAAATGGAAATGCAATTATTTTAGTAAATTAAAAACTGCTAAATACCTTTTCTCATCAGCAGTATATAGTAGTCTTTTGACTTCGAACAGTGTCCAGCTGAGCACTGGTTAAAGCTTGCAGGAGGAATTTTCATTCTCCTCTGATTGTCCTATGAGGCTGCATAACCCCTAACCCTCTGTCTGGACAGAGCTGATTGGCCCTGTGCTGATCACATGCACCCTCCCAAAGAAAAAAAACATCTCTAGCAATACACACTAAACTGAGCATTTGCAGAGTGATTCCTAGAGCTCTGTACCATCAGGAGATAGATAGGGGACAGTAGAAGGGGAGGATCAGAGGAAACAGGATCAAACATCCTTTTTAAACAATGCAGAGGATTAACCCCTTAGGTTCCACAGTGAGTATAACAACGATGCTTTACTGCATATACAGACTGATTTTACTGTTGTGGGTTTAGTAACACTGTAAACATGAGCTATGTTGCTAGAATTATTGCTCTCACTCTGACGTTTGCGCTGATACTATACATGTGTGGTGCAATCACCATTTACATATGCATGATGAACCTATGTATACATTTGCATTTGCATGTGAGCATGGGGATGTTTTAACATTTTTTTTAAATGATTTTTATTTATTTTATTTTATTTTTTTTCTCGTTAAACTTGATTGCTATCTAAAGGGGTGAACAAGCCCCCTTGTAACAGCTTTGGGCAGTGACAGATACTTTTTATTGACAGTATATCCCCCATGCCCTTCAAATCATCTGATCAAATGCAGGCGTGTTTGATCAGATGTTTCCCTGGCTGTAAGGGCCAGGGAGACACAGCACTGAAACCAGAAGTGACAAAATCCTTGTTGCTTCTGGTTGTTTTTATGGATGTTTCTCCATCTCCTTTGTGGACAGACCATCCTCCCCAGTGGAACAGGGGGGGCCTAGGAACAGCAGTGAGCAGCGGCACAGGAGAGGGAGATTGCTTCTGACACTTGTAAATATGATTGGGCAGCTGTAGAGCCACTTGGATCACTTTTACATGAAAGCTGAACACTGGATGAAAAAAAATATACTATGATCATGGCTGCAGCTGCTGATCCTGGTATAACCACTTACTACCTAGACTAGGCCTGTATATTTGGCCTATGGACAGTAAGTGGTCAAAGATTTTTTTGTTTTCTATTTTGGATAGACCGAGGTAGTTAAGTGTTCTTTCCTTTTTTTTCCCTGTCTGTGACCCCATTGGAGGATTTTCTCTCACTTCCTGTTGATCTGGTGCCCATACAAGAAATGGGAAGAGATTGTCAGCAAAACGGAGGCTCAGAGAAAAATTAAAACATTGTCCTAATTTCTAATCTTTCCTCACTCTACTAAAAATGGTTTCATTTTTGTCTGTATCCCTGTTATATAGACAGACAGGAAGTCTGGGAAAGTTTCCCCGGTAGAGGAAAAGATTGCATTAAAACCTGAATAGAGGCTCAAACACCCTCCTCAAAGCCAGATTTTAAAAAAAATGGCTGGAGTTGAGGAGTTCAGCTCAATAGGAGTGGCAACCATTTGGTGCCTAGACATATAGGGGGAAATTTACTACAACTGGTACACTTAGAATCTGGTGCAGCTGTGCACGGTAGCCAATCAGCTTCTAACTTCAGTTTGTTTAATTAGGCTTTGACAATAAAACCTGGAAGCTGATTGGTCTCTATGCAGAGTTGCACCAGATTTTGCACTCTCCAATTTCAGTAAATAACACTTTCTACTTAGGGTCATCTGTCTTCTAGATGTGCACATGCCAAGCAAGAGAAAGCATATACTCAGTCTGTGTGAGGTCACGTGCAGTTATGAAACAGAAATTGTAGAGTTCCCCTTTAATATGGACCAGTGTGGTAGCACCCAGCTAGTGCAGAGTTCCCCTTAAATATATATGGTTTTAGTTTGCAGAGTTGAGCTAAGCTCTGACTCCTACCCCCAAATTTCCTGGTTGTTCTAATTTAGCAGGTGACAGTCTGAGCAGAAAGCACAAATATCCTGTATGTTGCTTTTCGCAGTTACAAGAAATGTCAAGAGGAAAATGTATGCTTTGTGACGCAATCACTAGTATATATGCTTGTAAGAAGGGTATGCAATTCACTTTGCAGATGAGAGCAGCATGCTGTGTCAAAACAGCGCTGTTTTTAATAAACTTGTTTTTCTCATGAAGTCCGAGTCCAGAGTCTTACCTGAATTTCAAACATTTCTACAACAGTTACACAATACAACAGGCCATATGTAAAGGGCTAATGTGGTCAATGCTGACCCTCTACCAAAAGTGATAAATTAAAAGTGTAGATATGGATTAAACCCCAATGAGTAGATAGTAATAGTAGACAGATGACCATCACCCACCTGTTCTCTTCATCCCTTGTCTCCCCGTCTTGCCCCATAATCAGATACTCCTTTGTACCCGTATCAATGCGCATCTTGCAGGATGCACGCTGGTAGAAGTATCGGATGTCTCCAGCTTCAAGGGTCTCATCTGCACCTAGACAACAGGAAGGCAAATGGAATGTAGAATGATTTTGTACATCATTTTTTCATGTAGTCTGCTCAGGGTGGGTGGAAAAAGAAAACAAGGTAAAAATATGTTTTATTTTTATGGAAAATACAAACTAGTGCATATTAAAGTGGATCTAAAATCACAAAAGGAAGATTTGCTATGGCATAGGTTATATCTAGAAATATTAATTGAGCCTAAGAAGTAATGCTGAAAGATGAACCTTTTATCTTAAATTCCTCCTGAAAAATAGCAGTGTACTTCCTGTGAGCCTCATAGCTGTACAGTTGCAAGAAAAAGTATGTGAACCCCTTGGGATTACGTGGAGTTTTGCATGAATTGGGCATAAAATGTGCTCTGAACGTCATCTAAGTCACAACAATAGAAGAACACAGTCTGCTGAACATAATACTACACAAACATTAGATGTTGCCATGGTTTAATTGCACATAACATGTAAACATTCACAGTGCAGGGAGGAAAAAGTATGTGAGGCCCTAGCTTAATGACTTCTCCCAGAGCTAATTGGAGCCAGGAGTGAGCCAACCTTGACTCCAATCAGTGTGATGATATTGGATGTGTTGCTGACAGCTGTCCTGCTCTTAAAAAACACACACCTGTTTTGGGTTTACTGGTTTCAAGAAGCACTGTCTGATGTGAACCGTGCCTCGCAGAAAAGAGCTCTCAGAAGACCTACGATCAAGAATTGTTGACTTGCATGAAGCTTGAAAGAGTTACAAAAGTATCTCCAAAAGCCTTGATGTTCATGTGTCCACGGTAAGACAGACTGTCTACAGATGGAGAAAGTTTAGCACTGTTGCTACTCTCCCTAGGCGTGGTCGTCCTGTAAAAATGACTGCAAGAGCACAGCGCAGAATGCTGCATGAGGTAAAGAAGAATCCCAGAGTGTCAGCTAAAGACCTACAGAAATCTCTGGAACATGCTAACATTTTTGTTGACACATCTACAATAAGGAAAACATTAAACAAGAATGGAGTACATGGGAGGACACCACGGAGGAAGCCATTGCTGTCTAAAAAGAATATTGCAGCACGTTTGAAGTTTGCAAAAGAGCACCTGGATGTTCCACAGCACTACTGGCAAAATATACTGTGGACAGATGAAACCAGATTGAGTTGTTTGGGAAAAAACACACAACACTATGTGTGGAGAAAAAAAGGCACAGCACACCAACATCAAAACCTCATCCCCACTGTAAAACATGGCGGAGGGAGCATCGTGGTTTGGGGCTGCTTTGCTGCCTCAGGGCCTGGACGGATTGTTGTCATTGATGGGAAAATGAATTCCAGAGTTTATCAAGACATTTTGCAGGAAAACGTACGACCATCTGTCCGCCAACTGAAGCTCCGCAGAGGATGGGTGATGCAACAGGACAATGACCCAAAGCATACAAGTAATTCAACAAAACAATGGCTGCAACAGCACAGAATACACCTTCTGGAGTGGCCCAGTCAGAGTCCTGACCTCAACCCGATTGAAATGCTGTGGCATGACCTTAAGAGAGCGATTCACACCAGACATCCCAAAAATATTGCTACACTGAAACAGTTTTGTGAAGAGGAGTGGTCCAAAATTACTCCAGATCGTTGTGCAGGTCTGATCTGCAACTACAGGAAACGTTTGGTTGAGGTTATTGCTGCCAAAGGAGGGTCAACCAGTTATTAAGTCCAAAGGTTCACATACTTTTTCCTGCCTGCACTGTGAATGTTTACATGTTATGTGCAATTAAACCATGGCAACATCTAATGTTTGTGTAGTATTATGTTCAGCAGACTGTGTTCTTCTATTGTTGTGACTTAGATGACGTTCAGAGCACATTTTATGCCCAATTCATGCAAAACTCCACGTAATCCCAAGGGGTTCACATACTTTTTCTTGCAACTGTATATCTGTCGGGTGAGATCTAAAGCCAGCCATAGATGGTGTGATTTTATTTCCTGCAACCACAGGTGGAAGGAAAGAATATCGCTTGATTCCCTCCTGCGGATGTCATGGTGTTCTTCCAGCGGGAGAGGGGGGAGCGGAGGGAACCGTCCCCGCCAGGAGAACACAGTGATTACTGCTAGCAGCTATATAGCCACTAGCAATAATCACTTGTAAAATCTGTCAGGCTGGTTGTACCAAAGTTCATCGATCAACTTGGATATATTCAGTCTGCCCATACATGGTTTTCATCTCGGTCATTCCCTGCTGTTTATGACCAGCTTTAGGCACTGCAACCTCTGACTGCTAGCCCCACCTGATTTGGAGTGAGATTTGGTGATGTCACCACTGTGCTGCTCACTGTTCTCCTTGCTGAAGAGGAAGCTGTACCTGAGGACGTGTCATGCAAGGATCTCACTGCTTTTTATTCATTCAGTCTGTGAATATGTGTCTCCTTCACCTTTCCTTCAGCTTGTTCATCATTACGCCATCAGTGGAGCAGCACTGACATAAGGAATGCTCTGCTTCTCTATCATGATGGCCTTCTCCACACAGAGATACAGTGCAGGACAAGGCATGGTATGTCAGTAATGAGGAAAAGGTCAGCTGCAGGGAGCCTAAAGGTTATACTGGTGACTGGTCCTTTGTTCTCCGCCAGCCTTTTTTTTTGGCACAGATTCCACAGTACAGGTCCTCTTTAATTTTGTGTGTTCTCTTTTGGAATGGGCTGTAATCATATGGTTAGCTATTTCAGTTTACAGATTTTCTAAGAAAGAAGGCCATTTACAGAACCCAATAGCCCAACCTGAATGAGCCATCAGAGTCACTCTGTTGTTTCATTTTGATGTATTGATCAGACAATCAGAGCCTCAAAGCAAGCAGCATCTGCTGTGTTGTTTTTTTGTTTGTTTTTTTAGCTAACCATAGTTCTCTGGGAATAATTTGTCATCTGTTAATGAAAAAGATTAAGTGTATGTGCGTGTGTGTATGTATAATATAATTTTACACACTTTTATACAGATATATGAGTACAGGTTCATGTTAAGCTAGTTAACTTACTTTTCTGCAGAACTTCAATAATCTGAACTTTGTACACTATGAACGCATCTTCTGGCTTCATTTCTAACACTTTCACATGGTAGCCTGCATTGTGAAGACAAGACATGACATCTAATGAACGGCAGTCTTAAAGTGTATGATGATGCACAGAACGACCCCAAAAATGTCATTTGCTGCTTAGGTAATTGGTCCACCCAGAATAGAAAGAGGAGCCTGAGAATGCAATGAGCAAAATGGCTGCCACCATGTACAAATGTAATGATAAATCATACACGGAAATAAGGTTGTTAAACCAAAAACACATACTGTAATAATAAGATCGTTTATTTAAAGCAGATCTCTTTTACATGTACAGTACTTCTATAAAACGTTGATATTTCCTTTTGAATAAAAATGCTAACGATCTAGTCACTTGACCAGCTGATATATTCCTGAATGTTAAATAATGTTCCCTTTACTAACAATGACACCATATTCATCTAGCCAAGCTGGACGTTATTATTTGTCTATGGAAGATGGTATGTTGGGAACCCCAAAAAAGTCCCCCCCCCCCCGCATTTTGTATCAGCTAACTCACCATACTTCACACGTGGGAAGTAACAAGCAAATTCTTGACGCTCATTCTTCTCTTCCATGGACAGGGTCCTCTTCAACGTGGGGCAAGGACCTACAAAACAATTAAGATGTCAGATCCTGTGCAGTTTAATGAATATACCAGTCTGTACGATGAACATACATAAGGGTCTACTTATACAAAAAAAAACTAAATTGCCATACAAACATCAAGCATTTACACAGCCATCACAAATGTTCCCCATGCTTTCTTTATGTTTGTTTCCCAGGATTGTCAGCTCCATCTAGTGGCCATAATACTGGATTTATCTGAAATACCTCAATCAGGAAAATACTGCTTGATGGCCCCTAGCTGGAGTTTATGATCATATAAAATAAACATTATCTATACATGATTAAGGTGTATTATATTTATTTATGATGGCAGTGACATTCATACAGCAAGTTGTTTATACATAGACCATTATAGTGTTCATTTATGGGGTGAAGCAGTGAACAGAGCCATGATGGTATGCAGTAACTCAAAGAAAAAAAGATTTCAGGATTCTGATCAGATCAGTGAAAACATAAACTTTGCTTGGTGGCTGCACAACAGCAGATGGACTTCATTTATTGAATCCCCATTGTGTGCATACATGTCAGCAGTGTTTGCTGCTTGTTCCCCTTTAAAGTGTTACTAAACCCAGGACCCTGCATTCACTATAACCGGTCTCCCAGGACCCTGCATTCACTATATCTGGTCTCCCCGGACTCTGCATTCACTATATCTGGTCTCCCTGGACCCTGCATTCACTATAACTGTTCTCCCAGGACCCTGCATTCACTATATCCGGTCTCCCAGGACCCTGCATTCACTATATCTGGTCTCCCCGGACCCTGCATTCTCTATATCTGGTCTCCCCGACCCTGCATTCACTATATCTGGTCTCCCCGGACCCTGCATTCACTATATCTGGTCTCCCCGGACCCTGCATTCACTATATCTGGTCTCCCCGGACCCTGCATTCACTATATATGGTCTCCCAGGACCCTGCATTCACTATATCTGGTCTCCCCGGACCCTGCATTCACTATATCTGGTCTCCCCGGACCCTGCATTCACTATAAACTGGTCTCCCAGGACCCTGCATTCACTATATCCGGTCTCCCAGGACCCTGCATTCACTATATCCGGTCTCCCCGGACCCTGCATTCACTATATCCGGTCTCCCAGGACCATACATTCACTATATCTGGTCTCCCTGGACCCTGCATTCACTATAACCGGTCTCCCAGGACCCTGCATTCACTATATCCGGTCTCCCAGGACCCTGCATTCACTATATCTGGTCTCCCACAGTACACAGAACGTGGAAATGCAATTATTTTACTAAATATAAACTTCTAAATACCTTTTCTCATCAGCAGTTAGAGCAGTCTTGTGACTTCTATCAGTGTCCAGCTGAGCACTGGTTAAAGCTTGTAGGAGGAGTTTTCTTTCTGCTCTAGGAGGATGGAAAACCCCTGACCTCTGTCTGGACAGTATTGATTGGCACTGTGCTGATCACTTGAACTCTCTCAAGAAAAAAATAAAAACCTCTCTAGCAATACACACTAAATTGAGCATGTGCAAAAGGGCTACGGGCTCAGTCTGTCTTATCAGTGTGGACATTTGAACAAGATGAGGGGCAGAGAAGACAGGATCAAACAGCCTTTTTACACAATTTAGAGGATTAACCCATTAGGTTCCACAGTGAGTATAACAAGCATGCTTTACTGCATATACAGACTGATTTTACTGTTGTGGGTTTAGTAACACTTTAATTCCATTTTATAAAAGTCAATGGATACTTAGATGGTAACATCTTAGTGTACAAAAAAACAAAATGACTTTGGGTGATTTCTAGAATTATTTAAAAAAATCAATTTTCCCAATGATATATCATTGACATAATAATTGCACAGACCACGTTTACAAGGGCATTGTATAGCTTCCCACCCAGGCCATTTCTGACATTTCTCTCTACATATAAAAAAAAAATTTTTGGCTAGAAAATGACTTAAAACCCCCAAACATTATATAATTTTTTAAGCACAGGCCCTAGAGAATAAAATAGTGGGTTGCAATTTTTTATGTCAATCAGTATTTGCGCACTGGTTTTTCCAAGCACAATTTTTTGGGAAAAAATACACTTTAATGAATTTTAGTGCACACAAACACAATATAATACCCCTTTTTTTGTAAAATATAAAAGATGATGTTACACCGAGTAAACTGATACCTAAAAGATGTCATGCTTTAAAATTATGTACACCTGTGGAACGGTGCCAAACTATGGTACCTAAAAATCTCCAGAGATGACAATTTAAAAGGCTAAAAGGCTTTACTGGTTGCCAGTTTAGAGTTACACAGAATGTCTGGTGCTAGATGTACTGCTCTCACTCTGACGTTCGCAGGGATACCTCATATGTAGTGCAAACAACGTTTACCTATATGTGAGGAACCTACGTATGCATTCACCTTTGTGAGCAAACATGGTATGGGGGGGGGGGGGGGGAGGGGGTTAGCAATTTTTATTTTATTTAATTTATTGAAAATGTTTTTATTTACTATAATGTCGTTTTATTTATTTTTTTATTGCGTTTATTGCTATCACAAGGGATGAACAACATCTCTTGTGATGACATTAGTGACAGGTTCTCTTTACTGAGACATCTGGGGTCTTCTAGACCCCAGATCTCTCCTCCTGCCCTTAAAAGCATCCGATCAAACCAAGATCGGTTTGATCAGATGCATTCATAAGCCAGTAACGGCTTGTTTTTATTAGCTGAAAACGGAAGTGACAAAATACTTGTTGCTTCTGGTTTCTTAGACCATGGAAATGATTCTGGAACTTCCGGTCCTTGGTCATCTCTATAGTAAGCTGGCACAACTGGGCGGATGGGAGAGCCTAGAAAGGCAATGGAAAGCGGCAGGAGAGGGGGGAGGGACCCCCTTCAGCAACATGTAAAAGTGATCCAGCGGTTATATAGCTGCTAGAATAGGTTTTACATGAAACTGGACAAAAATGCTGATACTGAGATGGTGACTGTAGCTGCAGGCACCATCCTGGTATAACCACCGAAAACCTTTTTTTTTCTTTTGCTAATCATCAGTTTATAATAGGACTAATGTGCCACAATTGTGAGCCAAGCATTTGACTGGCTGTTTTAGTGCAGCCCCATTGACTTAAATGGCCAAGATCGAGAGGTGGTGCAGCATGCCAACTTGACATGCCACAATGACCCCTTCATGTCGGCTCCTCTTGGCCCTTTAAGCGGTTTCTAATGCCCAGCGGGAAGGGTTTAGGGTCATTTGACTGCCGTGATTGGCTGTCACATGATTGGAAAGGTCCCAAACGCAAGGAGAGATTGGGACCTTTCCATGGGATGCTGACACATGTGCTGGGAGCGCACAGGGCACTCCCTCAGCATGTTTGTTTGCAAATGGTTCACAAATATGCAGCCACTTGGTGACAAGGCCCAGCCGCCGAGAGGCCGCATATTTGCGTACGCTCGGTGTGAAGAGGTTACATTTGAACAGTCTTCTCTGTCTGCATTTTGCAATATAAGTGGGTGGTTGGGTGGTGGTAAAACCACAGTTCAGCTGCCAGTTTTTATCACCTCCCGGCTGTCTCTGTAAAAGAGGCCTTACAGAGACGCTGTCACTTAGCAAATTAGGTGAAGCTGTGCTGACTTCAATCTTATTCAAGAATCTTGTTTTTTAAATTATTTTTGCACATAATTGGGTATTTTTTGCAAAGTGAATTTTCTAAAACAGTCAGTTGGTGTATAGAACACCCCCAGAAAAGTAATTTCCTGCTTGTGTGATTGGCTCACTGATTTTCTTAGACGTTTGCACTAGGATACAAGTCACATTTTAGACATCCTCTGCAATTGGAATTTCATTTTTTGTGGGATACTCCATATGGATTATTTAGTTCTAACGAGATGCTGACCCTGCAACTCCTTCATAAGAACACTGAGAGTGCACCAGGTGGTCCTAAGGAACCAGACCCTCCTATTCAGGAATCAGTCTTGGCATTGTGGAGCAAACTGCTTTTACTTCAAAAAATAAAAAGGTAGGAATCTGCTACAAAATTTGTTAACAAAAGTGGTGTTATACTTTAAATTGACCTCATTCATCAAGTTGAGTGAAAACTCACTTTGCAACATGGACAGGCTCTACTCCTTTAGTAAAGCAAACCCTCTGCTGCTGAATAATTTGCACACAGGTGATATACTACAAACCTTTTCTTACCTTCTGCACACTGACACACTTCTCCTGAGCATAGGGTAGAAATGAAGGTGGTCCTGGAGGGGGCGCTGTAGAACACTCTGCACTGGTTGCCTGCCAGAGACAAGACCATCGAATGGTTATTCTAAAGCATTTACTTTGGGGGCTGTTATCTTGTGTATTTCAGCAAGTACATGTGGAACAGAAGTATAAGATGGTAATTAGTAGCTGTACATGACTGCAAGTTGTATATGGACCAGGGGCGGACTGACAACTCATGGGGCCCCCAGGCAATACGGGATCATGGGGCCCCTGTGTCCTTGCCCAAACTCAAAAAAGCCTATGAAAAAGGTACCAGAGGCATCTCATGGGGCCCCCTACTGACCCTGGGCCCTCGGGCAGTGCCCCAGTTTCCAAATGGTCAGTCCGCCCCTGATATGGACCATCAACATCTTCAACAGTGGAAGAGCTGCCTTAGTGACCTAGGATAGACACCTCTTGCCCCCATGCCACTACCAAATATTATCACACCATCAACGGTGCAACTCCAGACAAAACATTTCTTTAGATTTAGATAGAGTGGGGAAAGGCTAAAATGAAACCCAGGCTGAAGGAAAAGTTATCCTGGCAGTGGGTCCTCCTTTCCATGGCACGGATAATTGCTCATGTTGTCTATGTGGACTGGAATAAGGTGAAATGCTCACCTTTCTCTTGGCTTCCTCTGTGTTGCATGTCTAGACCCTCAAAGTAGCCAAACTGGCCACTGACATCATCACATTCAATTCCAGACCAGGTTGTCTGCATTGTACCTTTGAATAGCCCACATCCTGGGAGTGCTGGATAGGTGAGGAGATCACTGGCTACTGAGAGAGCTAGGAACAGCTTAAGTAATTCACCTTATTTATCATACCCTAGACCAGCCATTCTCAGCTAGGATTCTGTGGAACCTTAGGGTTCCTCCAGGGTTGGCTATGGGTTTCTTGATCTCTGGCTAACTGCTCTCCCATCTGATGGTGCCTGCATAGTTTCAAGTCCAAAGCCGCTGGTCAGGGCCAGTGACATGACTGCAAAGGAGTCATTCTGGCCACCCTTCTAAGGGTAGCATTCTTCTTACACCAATAAAGGAAACAGCAGAGGACACCAACAAAGTGCAGTATATAGGAAAAGAAATGAAATAGCAGAGGGCGCCAACAAAGTGCAGTATATAGGAAAAGAAAGGAAATAGCAGAGGGCGCCAACAAAGTGCAGTATATAGGAAAAGAAAGGAAATAGCAGAGGGCGCCAATTAAGTGCAGTATATAGGAAAATAAAGGAAATAGCAGAGGGCGCCAATTAAGTGCAGTATATAGGAAAAGAAAGGAAATAGCAGAGGGAGCCAACTAAGTGCAGTATATAAGAAAAGAAAGGAAATAGCAGAGGATGCCAACTAAGTGCAGTATATAAGAAAAGAAAGGAAATAGCAGAGGTTGCCAGCTAAGTGCAGTATATAGGAAAAGAAAGGAAATAGCAGAGGGTGCCAATTTAAATGCAGTATATAGGAAAAGAAAGGAAATAGCAGAGGTTGCCAGCTAAGTGCAGTATATAGGAAAAGAAAGGAAATAGCAGAGGGAGCCAACTAAGTGCAGTATATAGGAAAAGAAAGGAAATAGCAGAGGGCACCAACAAAGTGCATATATAGGAAAATAAAGGAAATAGCAGAGGTTGCCAGCTAAGTGCAGTATATAAGAAAAGAAAATAAACAGCAGAGGGCGCCAATTAAGGGCAGTATATAGGAAAATAAAGGAAATAGCAGAGGTTGCCAGCTAAGTGCAGTATATAGGAAAAGAAAGGAAATAGCAGAGGGCGCCAACAAAGTGCAGTATATAGGAAAAGACTTTATTAAAAATCACAAGTGGCAGCTCACAAGATGCATAAGGATAACATCATGTAACCCACCCAGTGTGGTTTGCTGTTGAGCCCCAGTGTGTCTTCTGGACACCACAGACAAAATCAGGAATCCTGGAGCCACACTGGACCGCATGGTCTGCGCAAGACCAGAAGTGATGTCACAACAGCAACGTAGGGAGCATGGATACATGTTTCAGAGCTAACTGCTCCTTTTCCAAACCTCACGCGCTGACTGCACTTAGTTGGCACCCTCTGCTGTTTCCTTTATAAATTGCAGAGATGACTTCAGTCTCATTGAGGAGCTGCCACAGATATTTATGGAGCTATGGACTTTTTAGCATAATCCTACACCCCAACAGCACACGCATGTGTATGATTATGTTATGGCTTAGCGGTGTCCTTACCTGCACCATTCTCTATTCCCTATGTTCATACTCACACCAGCAATGTAAGGCGTATTTTCCAAATGACCCCTGATGGACTGGACATTATTTCAAGGGTTCCTCTGGGGTAAAAAGTTTGAGAAAGACTGCCCTAGAAAAAATAAGCAGCTATCCCTTGTAGTATGGAGGTAAACCCACTGCAAGGATAACTTTGTTCCCTAGTCGGAGGTGCAGCTTTAAATCCCATGTCAGGTTTTAATTGCTGTTTGTTTCCCCCTTCAGCTCCCATTTAGTGATTATTGTCAGCGGGACAGGAAATGAGACAATATCTCCCCAGTGGAATCATAGACAAGTTAGTCCGAATTTAAAGGGTGCACACCTCGCGGTACTTGACCTTTGAATAATCAATGGAGTGCTCAAAATCATTGCTATGGATGGTGCCATGCCAAAACAAGATAAGACACAAAGTCACAAGCACCTCAAATAAACGTGTTTGATATACAGTATTTATTATGAGCACAGCATCACAAAAACATAAGAAAAATAAAAATATGGAATGAGCGCATTACAACAACACAACTGTGTGAACAGAGCCTATCCATGCATGCACGTTCACACACCCTTCAATACAAATGTACCTTGTTATTGTGTCTATGTATATGACATGGAACAAGAGACATGGAGTAGACCGACTACCCTTCACCTGTTGCCTATGGTGTATGGATATCAGTAAAAAGATTAAACGTATTACCTGGCTCATAAAAGTCGTACAAGACTGCAGAGGCGGGCTGCAGGGGTGACACCTTCACTGTCTGAAATGCCTCAAATGTCACAAGTTCCCGACGGCTGGTGACCTTTAACAAGGGAACAGGAGAAATGAATGTCCATTATAATTCATGGTCACATAGTTAGTCTGGCTGAAAAAAGTCCATCCAGTTCAACTATTAAAAAAAAAAGTTATAATCCTATAACCATAGTTGATCCAGAGGAAGGAAAAAAAAAAACAGCAAAGCATGATCCAATTTGCTCCTGCTGGGAAAAAAATTCCTTCCTGATCCCCCGAAAGGCAATCGGATATTCCCTGGATCAACTTTACCTATAAATGTTAGTATCCAGTTATATTCTGTGTATCCAAGAAAGAATCCAGGACTTTAAGCAATCCACTGAACTGGCCAGAACCAACTCTTGAGGGAGTCTATTCCACATTTTCACAGCTCTCACTGTGAAGAAACCTTTCCGTATTTGGAGATTACATTTCTTTTCCTCCAGATGTAAAGAGTGCCCCCTTGTCCTCTGTGATGACCTCAAGGTGAATAACTCTACACCGAGTTCACTATATGAACCACTGATGTATTTATACATGGAGATCATATCCCCCCTTATGTATTATACATGGAGATCATATCCCCCCTTATGTATTATACATGGAGATCATATCCCCCCTTATGTATTATACATGGAGATCATATCCCCCCTTATGTATTATACATGGAGATCATATCCCCCCTTATGTATTATACATGGTGATCATATCCCCCCTTATGTATTATACATGGAGATCATATCCCCCCTTATGTATTATACATGGAGATCATATCCCCCCTTATGTATTATACATGGAGATCATATCCCCCTTATGTATTATACATGGAGATCATATCCCCCCTTATATGTATTATACATGGAGATCATATCCCCCTTATGTATTATACATGGAGATCATATCCCCCTTATGTATTATACATGGAGATCATATCCCCCTTATGTATTATACATGGAGATCATATCCCCCCTTATGTATTATACATGGAGATCATATCCCCCCTTATGTATTATATATGTTGATCATATCCCCCTTATGTATTATACATGGAGATCATATCCCCCCTTATGTATTATACATGGAGATCATATCCCCCCTTATATATTATACATAGAGATCATATCCCCCCTTATGTATTATACATAGAGATCATATCCCCCCCTTATGTATTATATACATGGAGATCATATCCCCCCCTTATGTATTATACATGGAGATCCTATCCCCCCTTATGTATTATACATGGAGATCATATCTCCCCTTGTGTATTATACATGAAGATCCTATCCCCCCTTATGTATTATACATGGAGATCATATCCCCCTTATGTATTATACATGGAGATCATATCCCCCTTATGTATTATACATGGAGATCATATCCCCCTTATGTATTATACATAGTGATCATATCCCCCCTTATGTATTATACATGGAGATCATATCCCCCCTTATGTATTATACATGGAGATCATATCCCCCCTTATGTATTATACATGGAGATCATATCCCCCTTATGTATTATACATGGAGATCATATCCCCCCTTATGTATTATACATGGAGATCATATCCCCCCTTAATCTCCTCTTCTCAAGAGAGAATACATTCAGTTCCTCTAATCTTTCCTCATAGCTGAGCTCCTCCATGCCTCTTATCAGTTTGGTTGCCCTTCTCTGTACTTTCTCCAGTTCCCCAATGTTCTTTTTGTGAATTGGTGCCCAAAACTGAACTGCATATTCCAGATGAGGTCTTACTAATGATTTGTACCGGGGGAAATGATATCTCTGTCTCTGGAGTCTATACCTCTTTTAATACAAGAGAGAACATGGTGATGTACTAATAAGAAGTATCGGACCTCAAGTTTAAAGAACATCAATGACAATGTCTATAAAGCTCCTAACAACTCATGAGGTTCATCTTTTTATCTGCTCTGAATATAAAAAAGGGAGAAGCTGATTGCTCAGTAGGGTCAGTTCCTATTATTATTATTATTACAGGATTTATATAGCACCAACAGTTTGCGCAGCGCTTTACAACATGCAGGTAGACATTACAGTTACAATTTGGTACAAGAGGAAATGTTAGAGCTTACAATCTATGATTCAACTAATTAAAGAAAACTGTCCTTAGATATAGCCATTGATTACTGAACTCACCTGTAAAAAAATGCTCATTGTCTGTAATATTGTTCCAAAGACTTGGCTGCTTTGCTACAAACAATTGCGCAGGCTGAACAAGAGAAAATCCCACCTTCTATAGCCAGCTGTAGCTCAAGCAGTGGACTGGCTCTTTGAAGGAGTATTGGAAATATCAAAATGCCTGTATGGGTGGGTGTCTGTCTGTCTGGAGCAGTAGGCTGCATCTGCCTTATCCTAGGTATCACCCACATGTGATGCTGAGCCTCCACGATTGAAGGAACTGAAAATCTACGAATGAAATGGACCAGCCAGGAACCATTAGGCTGGGGAAAAAGGACTGGATGATGGGTGTTGCTGACTAAGAAAGAAGATGGGCTCTATCTGACTTTTTGCAGCTTATAATGCACATTGTAAGAAGCTCACAGTGTTCAGTTAAATCAGCAGGGCTGGATCTAGCTTGTCCGATTTGGGGGTGCAATAAAAAATGTCAGGAGGGACAGAGGTCGGGAGGTCAGCAGGACAGAGGGCAGGGGTCACTGCTGGCAGGACAGAGGGCAGGGGTCACTGCTGGCAGGACAGAGGGCATGGGTCACTGCTGGCAGGGCAGAGGACAGGGGCACGGCTCCTTCTCCCATCCCTGCACTGCACACAGCCTGGGCACAGGCATCAGAGCTCCTCCTCCCCACACATAATAGAGATCAGTATAGTGTCAGTCAATGACATTATATTGTCAAACTAGGGCAGTAAAGTATCTGATTAGGGTGGTATAGTGTCAGATTAGGGCAGCATAGTGGCAGGTTAGGATAGTATAGTGGCAGGGTTGGTTTGGGGGGGGGGGCACAACTAAAATCTGGGGGGCTTAGCCCACCCCAGCACCCCCCTAGATCCGGCCATGGAAATTAGAGTAAGCAATTTCACTACGGAGAGGAGTCTGTACATACAGTTGTGTTCAAAATAATAGCAGTCAGACATCACTAACCTGACCAATCACTGTTTTTGGTAGAAATGATATTTCTACATGGCAAATAATTTACTAGCAGGTGTAGTAGAGTAATAGAAATGCAACAGACCCAACAGTCATGACATGCATGCTGCTGATTCTGTGTAATTGAATCACTAATTGAAAGGGGCATGTTCAAAATAATGGCAGTATGGAGTTCTATTAGTGAGGTCATTCATTCTTTGAAAAACAGGTGGCAATTATTGCCCTTATTTAAGGAAGTAAGGCAGCAAATGTTGTACATGCTGGTTACAGTGCATTTCTCTATGAAATTCTGAGGAAAATGGGTCGTTCCAGACATTGTTCAGAAGAACAGCGTACCTTGATTAAAAAGTTGATTGGAGAGGGGAAAACATATAAAGTGCAGAAAATGATAGGCTGCTCAGCTAAAATGATTGCAAATGCTTTAAAATGGCAACCAAAACCTGAAAGACCTGGAAGAAAGCAAAAAACTACCATTTGAATGGATAGAAGAATAGCCAAAATGGCAAGGAAGCCCCTGCAAAGTCCCACTGTTGAAAAAAAGACGTGCTGAAGAGGTTACAATTTGCCAAAGAGCACATTGACTGGCCGAAAGAGAAATGGCGCAACATTTTGTGGACTGATGAAAGTAAGATTGTTCTTTTTGGGTCTAGTGGCCGGAGACAGTTTGTCAGACGACCCCCAAACACTGAATTCAAGCCACAGTACACTGTGAAGACAGTGAAGCATAGTTGCGCAAGCATCATGATATGGGGATGTTTCTCATACTACGGTGTTGGGCCTATTTATCGCATACCAGGGATCATGGATCAGTTTGAATACATCAGAATACTTGAAGAGGTCATGCTGCCTTATGCTGAAGAGGAAATGCCCTTGAAATGGGTGTTCCAACAAGACAACGACCCCAAACACACCAGTAAACGTGCGACATCTTGGTTCCAGACCAACAAGATTGACGTTATGGAGTGGCCAGCCCAATCCCCGGATCTTAATCCAATAGAAAACTTGTGGGGTGACATCAAAAATGCAGTTTCTGAGGCAAAACCAAGAAATAGAGAAGAACTGTGGAATGTAGTCCAATCATCCTGGGCTCGAATACCTGTTCACAGGGGCCAGAAGTTGGGTGACTCCATGCAACACAGATGTACAGCAGTTCTCAGAAACAGTGCTTATACAACTAAATATTCATTAAGTGATTCAAAGGAAAGCAAAATCTTCAAACATTTTTCAGTTTATATAGTGAATGTTTGAGTTTGTAAAGAAGAATACAAACACTGCTATTTTTTTGAACAGTCTAATATTCACTTTTCTTTAAATTTTTTAGAGGAACGACACAAATTTGATATATTTTTCTTCATGTTGTGATTTGGAATAGAATGTGTAGTGTTCCCAATGCATTTGTGTGGATGGAAATAAAAGCTATTAGAGGGATTTTGAGCTTTATTCACACTGCTATTATTTTGAACACAACTGTATGTGCATGGCGTAAGGCATGGAGTTCAGCTTTAATACTTCTCTCTGCCATACAAACCTTATCAAAGTACATGAGAAGTCTTCCCCCATGGATCTCATAATGACTGATGTATCTCTCCTCTCCGTCCTTCAACTGTGGGAACAGAACAAAGCATGTGTGAAAGACATATATGAATACTTGGGGCAAAAAGAAACAAAGTCAGAGACATGCAGAGATAACACGCAACACAAGTAATACATAATGGGGTAATCACCAGGCCCAATCCATGGGGAAGGCAGTGGATGTGTCATATGTCCACTCCAGCTCCTTCCCATGTCTGCCAACAAGGCTACTGGCTTCTCTGTATTGGTGTCACAGAGTGCTCAGCGGTATGCAACCAAATTCACATAATTGTGTGAATTTGCTTTATATGTAGTGCAGGTATAGGCCTTATCACCCCCACATCTACAATACCATACAGCACAAAATTGTAAAGGGGCCATTTTCTTCCAGCTTCTGTGGATTTTTAGACACAATGGTAGGGAAGTTGAAAACCTAAGCACATTGCAGAGAGATTGCAAACTCTTCATTGGGTTGGGTGTTATGGGTGCAGGGGATACCAAATCGGTGACGTGATGGTGCAGGGGATACCAAATCGGTGACGTGATGGTGCAGGGGATACCAAATCAGTGACGTGATGGTGCAGGGGATACCAAATCAGTGACGTGATGGTGCAGGGGATACCATATCGGAGACGTGATGGTGCAGGGGATATCAAATCAGTGGTGTGATGGTGCAAGGGATATCAAAACAGTGGTGTGATGGTGCAGGGGATATCAAATCAGAGGTGTGATGGTGCAGGGGATATCAAATCAGTGGTGTGATGGTGCAGGGAATATCAAATCAGTGGTGTGATAGTACAGTATACTAAAGGATGTGCTGGAAAAAACAAATCATCATGCTATGATACAGGATGCCAAAGGATGTGCAGGAGATATCAGATTGATAGTATGATGGTACAAGATACCAAAGGATGTGCAGGGAATACTAAATTGGTGATGTGATGGTGCATGAGATACCAAATAAGTGGTGTGATGATACAGGATACTAAAGGATGGACATGGAATACCAAATCAGTGGTGTGATGGCACAGGAGATACCAAATCAGTGGTGTGATGGCGCAGGAGATACCAAATCAGTGGTGTGATGGCGCAGGAGATACCAAATCAGTGGTGTGATGGCGCAGGAGATACCAAATCAGTGGTGTGATGGCGCAGGAGATACCAAATCAGTGGTGTGATGATACAGGATACTAAAGGATGGACATGGAATACCAAATCAGTGGTGTGATGGCACAGGAGATACCAAATCAGTGGTGTGATGGCGCAGGAGATACCAAATCAGTGGTGTGATGGCGCAGGAGATACCAAATCAGTGGCATGATGGCGCAGGGGATACCAAATCAGTGGTGTGATGGCGCAGGAGATACCAAATCAGTGGTGTGATGGCGCAGGAGATACCAAATCAGTGGTGTGATGGTGCAGGGGATACCAAATCAGTGGCATGATGGCGCAGGAGATACCAAATCAGTGGTGTGATGGCGCAGGAGATACCAAATCAGTGGTGTGATGGCGCAGGGGATACCAAATCAGTGGTGTGATGGCGCAGGGGATACCAAATCAGTGGTGTAATGGCGCAGGGAATACCAAATCAGTGGTGTGATGGCGCAGGGAATACCAAATCAGTGGTGTGATGGTGCAGGGGCTATCAGTATACTAAAGGATGTGTCCGGGATACCAAATCAGCAGTGTTATGCTACAGGATGCCAAAGGATGTGTAGGAGATATCATATCGGTGATGAAGAAAATACCAGATCGGTGGTGTGATGGTACAGGATGAGAAGGTAATACTAAATTGGTGGTGTGATGGTGCAGGAGATGCCAAATCAGTGGTCTGATGATACATGATAAAGGATGTGCATGGCATACAACGTCAGAGGTGATGTAGCAATGAATTGTAATTGTATATGCATTTTTTGTTTCCATTAAATGAAGTATTTTTAAAATTTATTTTTTGTAAGGACATTCAGAAAAGCCATAAAGATTTCTTTTTGCCAACTGAGAATGAAGTCTCTCTGTGGATTGGTGCAGGGATCCACTCCAATCTGTCTACTAGTCCTGGCTAGATTTGGTACTGCATACCTTGTTCAGATCCTGTGTGCTAGGTTCAAAGCCACTTAGCATGGTGATGTCAACAATAGCCATTCCAGTGGCACGATCCTTAGCTTTTCTCCTGAAAAAGAGGCAACATATAATCTAAGGAGGAAAACAATGATGCATTGAGGTATGTGTCTATTTAAAACTCACCTCCAGCCAAAACCTCTCTTTTCATAGATAGATAAGATCAGTATTGAGCCTATACAACTTACAAGTTGCTCCTCAGTATTGCAGCTTGGATCACACTGTAACACACACCTGCCCTACTCAGGAGTGTTTAAATAGACTGCTAAATACTTACTTTGCCCAAAAACCAGGTTTGTCTGCCTGTTCATGCCTGACATAGAAGTATTTCTGGCTCTGGCTTCTGTCAAACTGTTCATGTCCTGGAATACTAATTTGACTGATTGGAGTTCATTTGTACTTGGTTAGGGATAGGCTTCTCTGCACCTGATCTGACCATGAGCCTGCTGACTCTGTCACTCTCCACTGCTCTAATGGTCTGTCTAAAAATGTGTTTTTCCAAAATATTTTTTATATCGAATTGCTCCCAGATCATTAACGTCATCGCAGAACAGATTTTTATCATGTCCAGCCAGCAGGTAGAGCTCTGCATTCCCTTTTACATGTTTTGTAGGATTTCCTTACATCCTGTTGTAAAAAGTCTGTTATTTACAGAACCCAAGCTGAAATTTACACATACAGACACACATGTGCAGTGAGTCCGAGCAACGAACTCTCTCCTTCCCGAGGTACATCACTGTCAGAGGTTTCAGTAAGCTTCTGCCGTGCTGTCTCCCTAGATAACCCATAGTGCTCCAGGATTTCTTTGTCATGTATTAAATGTTTACTTGTAAAAAAATGACTATTTTACCTAGTGAAAACAGCTATTAAACTTTGGTATTAAAAACGCATAAACTTCAAAATAAATAGAATAAAATTGACCCAAAACTGTTATAGTTTCTCTATAGAACGCCATCTTGTAAAAGTGTCATTGTCCTTACCACAACCATATTGAGTAGACCACTTTCACTTGCTTCTCTTTGGGCTGGGAGACCTCTCTCCTTGCTCTGCTGCGCAGGTCATGCCAGTGGATATTCTGCAGGGGTTCATCAGCCATCTGATCTTCCTCGTAGTCATAATCATAATTGTAATCCAATTGCTCTGAAACAGGTTGGAAACAGAGAGGTAGAAGAAAGAGAGAAAAGATTCAGGGTCACCCTTGTGTTGTAAGTACTGTGTGTCTTCTGAATGTTGCTGCTGTGCTGGGCCAGCCTACATTTTATGACTTATAAGGATTGGGAATTATCAATTATCAATATAGTATGGGGGGAATAGATGAAGATAAGTGCATGCCGGACATAAAGGAGCACTCTAGTCAAACAAACAATAGCAGGAAATGCCGTCTGCTTAGTGCCTTTAGAGCTAAACTCCAGGGAAGCAGCTAAATACACAGATGAAATACATATATGAGAGCTTATTTACCTGGCAAGTGTATATTTCAAGGGTCTAAGTAATTTTCTAGCAAAAAAATACTGATTTTTACATGTAAACAAAAAAAGTGTCAGAATAGGCCTGGTCTTCAAATAGTTAAAAAAAAAAAAAATGTTTTTTCATTTTTAAATTCTACTGATAATACATTGATGCTGACCTTTGACCCCAATGTTTAACCCTGACTTTGACTGAGCATGACCTTTGATCCTAGCCCTGACCAAGATCAAATCCTAGATCTTTATTTTCTTACACGTTTTTTTTATTTAAAATTTTCTCCTCTAGCAAGGAGAAAATATATAATGCATCTTTTTCTCCATTGAAGAGAAGGAAAAAAAAACACAGGGTTGACTGTACAGTGGCAGATCACTGTGATAGCCGGTCACTGGGTATCACAGCAGTCAGGTGATCAGAACTGATTATCAGTACGAGACCCAGAGCTGTCTGTGACAGTTCTATCTCCGTGCTGGGAGTGCACTGTGTAGCGTGCTCTCAGCACAAACAGAGTAGCATATATATGCAGCCCTACATATAAAGACCCATTTCGTGAGGCCGCATATGTGTGCAGGGCCATGGATAAGGGGGTACCACTGGTCCTCCTGTAGGGAGCCCAGACCAGCAGGGGGGCCCAGGCAGCCAGGTGCATCAGATGTGGGCAAGGAGAGAGATCAGCACAGAGGGGGGAGGGGGGCAATTACTGGGACTGATCCCCTCTATGGCTCTCTCTGCAGCACCTCCCAATGCACCATACATTTCCCCATGCTGGCCAAACCCCTCCCCCCATGTGCCCCCCTCCACTTTCTCTTCTCTCCTTCCCAGCTGCAAACACACTATAGGATCCTTAGGATGAAGAGTGGGGGGAAGAGTCCAAGTGTCACATTTACCAGCCCCTTCCTTTCCTGAATGAACACAATGAGTAATTGGTAACAATTAATCACTGTGTTCATTCATAACGGAAGCATAGTAAACTTTGTTGATTTGGGGGCCCTGTCACGTTGGCTGTACGGAGCCCCATGGTATCTGACAGCAGCCCTGTATGTGTGTAACCTTGGCAAGAAGGGGTTAAAGGGAATCTGATATTTTTTTCATAGTAGCTGGAAACTGTATACAAGCTGTATATCAAACATAAGCAAGACTGATAGAAACAACAATATTAATATATCATATGGAGAGCATGAGTAATGATGAAGAAATGTACTACTCACCTACAACTTCATCTCCGGAAACCTCTACCTCCAGCCCAAGCTGAGAACAGTCTGACTCCTCCACTTTCATGATGTTATACCTCTTGAGGACCTGGAAGTGGAGTATAGTAAAGGTGAGTGTTGGTATCTCAAAGCAGCACGAAAAGTGAGAGCAGCCATTTTGCATCCTACCCAAGAATTTATAAAAAAAAAATACTAGAATGCTGTGACCTAGGTGAAGTGTTGTTTTTAGAAGCTGGGGATCACAGTATAGACCATTTTTTCTCAACCAGGGGTCCATGGAACTGTAGGGTCCTTCCAGAAGTTGCTAAGGGTTCCTTGAGAAATTACCAACTTCTACCTATCAGATGAGTAATCACTGACATCATTAATCTTTTTAGCTATCTGAAAAGGAGTAATATTCCCACTGACCACAGCTGTAAGGAACATTCCTCCCAGTGACCATCACATTAATGTACCATGAGCTGTAGATGTAGCAAGTAATAGCAGAGGTTCCCTGAGCTCAGAAAATTATTTCAATGGTTCTCCCATGTTAAAAAGAGAGAAAGGCTGGTATAGACATTACCATATCTTGAATCCACCCTGATAGAGCCATGACAGTGCCACAACTTTCTTTCCACATCCAGTTTTTGCAAATTTGACTTTTTTTGCAGAGTTGACAACTCTGTTGGTCATTGGTCATGGTAGCCTGTCTGCATCAGAATCAAGTGGGTGAGCATCAAAAAACAAAATGTGAAGATTTGTTTTTCCTGACTCTTATGTCATAACAATCCAACACATTTTGGGTTTCAAGGGGTCCCCCCTCATCAGGACTTAGTACTGTTATAGCGGAATGATAAAACTGGGAGGAGCCTGAGGAATAGTCTAATGACTGCTCCAGATGCTGGCCTAACTGGACTAATTACCATTCAGGATCACTGAAAATGTATTTGTCTCTCTTGGTCTGGTCTGATCTCGGTCTGGTCTCGGTCTGGTCTCGGTCTGGTCTCGGTCTGGTCTCTTGCTTTCCTCCTTGCACACCTGGTCCCTTCTTGAACAAAGAGCCAACCTTTGGCTACTACTCCAGGGGGAGCTGCACCCTGGTTTCCTCTACAAAACTTACAGTGATTGTAAACCTACATTTTTTTTTTTTTGACAAACATGTTTTACTTACCTGTTCTGTGCAATGGTGCACAGAGTAGCTCTGATCCTCCTCTTGTCAAGTTCCTGCTGGTGCTCCTTCCCCCTGCCAAGTGCCCCCATAGAAAGCCTTTTGCTATGGGGCCACTCATGCGTGTTGATGCCAAGCTGTGCTGTATGTGTCCATAGACACTCATAGCACGACTCAGCTCCTTCCCCACACGCCCTGCTTACTGGCTGTGATTGACAGCAGTAAGAACCAATGGCTCTCACTGCGGCCTCCATGGCCATTGAGGAGAGAGAGAGAAAGGAGAGAGCTGCTGCTCTCAGGCACAGTGTTGGATTGAGACTGGGCTCAGGTAAAGTATAAGGGGGGGGGGCTCTGGGAGGAGATTGCATACAGAAGGTTTTTTACCTAAATGCAGAAAATGCCATACATTCTTGAATGGGAAGGGTGACCAAGATATTCTTTTGAAGCTGGCAAAAGTAATCTGAGTGGCTAAAGAGCTGCTGGATTACTTTTATAGGCAGCGGAAGGGGGTCCTCCCCTTTACCGGGCTTTCCCATGCGATCAGGGAGCCTGGCAAGGATGGTGGCATTGAGTTCCTGAGAGAGGAACGACAAAGATTTCAGTGTCGGTCACATGTAAACAATCCATTACCGGCCTGTACAAGAATCACATCAAATCGATTTTAGTTTGATCTGATGCTTTGGAGGCCAGAAGAGTGATATGGGGTGTAATGGACCCCTGATCCCTCTAAAAAGAGGACCTGGCCCATGCTATCACAAGGGATGTTGTTCATCTCTTGTGATAGCAATAAAAGTGATAAAAAATAAATAAATAGTTACAGTGTAAAAAAAATCTAATTAAAAAAAGCACAGAAGCCAAACTTAAAAGTTGTACTGTATTGTTTATTTCAGGTACTTATATAGCGCCGTCAATTTACACAGCACTTTTACATATTTATTATACATTCACATCAGTCCCTAACCCACAAGGGGCGTACAATCTAAGGTCCCTAACTTACATTCATACATACACATATTAGGGCCAATTTAGACAGGATTCAATTAACCTACCAGGATGTCTTTGGAGTGTGGGAGGAAACCTGAGTACCCGAAGGAAACCCACGCAGGCACAGGGAGAGCATGCAAGCTCCAGGCAGGTGGTGCCGTGGCTGGGAATCGAACCAATGACCCAAGTACTGCCAGGTGGAAATGCTAACCATTTAGCCACTGTGCTGCCCTGTATTGCCATACTTACCGTTAAGATACCTGTTCCTTTTCCAGATACCTTCACTGTAAATTTTTTCCCAATAGATTTCTGTGAAACAAAACAATTATTTAGAGTTTGGAACTTTTTTCATGAAACCTTCCCGTTTAACCTATCCCTTCAAGTAAACCCAGGACTAGTCTAAATTAATGCAAATTTGTGCTTTGAAACAGTTTTGAAAAGATATCTAAACCCTTACTAGTCCTAAAATGTGGTGGCTGCATTAGTTTTTCTTTTTTCAGCCTAAGAACATTTTCAGCTGGAGGGAGGGGGGAATAATTTTTGCAGTGCAGATTGCAAGGAGGAGGCTAAATTTGCTGTTATGCAATGCTGCAGCACGTGCACACCCCAATCTGCTGCCATTTCAGTTTAAAGTTGCAGCTCAACTGTGTCTTTTCACCGCTCTCAAACTGCAAGTGTAAATATAGCCTTAAGGATTGCAAATCTTCACTAAAACAAATTGCGTGATTATTACCTTCCGTTAACCAATCAAGTGAAAAGCTATTTTCTGTTTACTTTGAATACCCAATCTTGTGGATATGCTATTCCTGTGATTGGATAATTGAGGGGAAGAATATTAACTCCTATAGTAAATCAGCCCAAGTATATCAGCCACATGGGGAGTGCATTGTTTTTAATTAGTCAGCAGACTTCTAGAATTGTCTTGTGAGAAGGAGCAGTAAAGCACAGTCACCGTGGAGCACTGCCACATCAGAAAGTATTTCCTACTTTTTTTCTCTCTGTGACAACAGGACAAGAAACAGGGGGAACAGAGGTTACAGGGACATGAAGACCCAAAACACAATGAAACCATAGGAGGTTCTAACCATACCCCACTCTACTAGCAAACATGGTTTTGCTGTGTATGTCCTCATTGGGGAAATTTCCCATGACTTCTGATTGCACCACGCAACCTAGATAGGAAGGCTGGAGTAATTCCTCAGAGTGGACACAGACAGTATATAAAACCCTTCTTGACTTCTCCAGACCAAATCCTGAGGCTGGGGATAAATCTTCATCACTCCACTTCAAAACCTGGGTTGCACTTGCCCAGCACTGAGCACAGCCTGCCGTGACAGCCACAGATCTTACCAGCTCTTCCTGAATGGCATCATCATTGTGGAGAATGATATCTTTTTTTATTTCAGATCTTTCCAAGGATTGAATCTCCAAATGTAACTCATTGCGGTCTTCGTTGGATGTTTGGATCCAGTATTCGGAGAGAGCTTCCAGCGCCATGACTGTGTCCTACAGACAAGATAATATACAGCCGGTATGGGTTATGCTGATCGAAAGCTGGTGTTCTAAAAGGGAATGGCAAGGAGCAGGAATTTCCAGCATATCAGAACTATGGTGTTGGTGTTGTCAGGAATAGTTCAACTGTGCAGCGGGAAATTCCAACACAGGATAGGTGACTATGCAAACAAGGGGTTAAGTTTGCTTTAGGAAGAGTTAACGTTGTGGTCACAGGGAGGGTTAGTGTTAGGATTGCAGGGAGGATTAGTGTTAGGATTACAGGGGGGGTTAGTGTTAGGATTACAGGGAGGGTTAATGTTAGGATTACAGGGGGGGTTAGTGTTAGGATTACAGGGAGGGTTAGTGTTAGGATTATAGAGAGGGTTAGTGTTAGGTTTACAGGGAGGGTTAGTGTTAGGATTACAGGGAGGGTTAGTGTTAGGATTACAGGGAGGGTTAGTGTTAGAATTACAGGGAGGGTTAGTGTTAGAATTACAGGGAGGGTTAGTGTTAGGATTACAGGGAGGGTTAGTGTTAGGATTACAGAGAGGGTTAGTGTTAGGATTACAGAGAGGGTTAGTGTTAGGATTACAGAGAGGGTTAGTGTTTAGGATTACAGAGAGAATTAGTGTTAGGATTACAGAGAGGATTAGTGCAAGGATTACAGAGAGGATTAGTGTTAGGATTACAGGGGGGGGTTAGTGTTAGGATTACAGGAAGGGTTAGTGTTAGGATTACAGGGAGGGGTAGTGTTAGGATTACAGGGAGGGGTAGTGTTAGGATTACAGGGAGGGGTAGTGTTAGGATTACAGGGAGGGTTAGTGTTAGGATTACAGGGGGGGTTAGTGTTAGGATTACAGGGAGGGTTAGTGTTAGGATTACAGGGAGGGTTAGTGTTAGGACTTCAGAGAGGGTTAGTGTTAGGATTACAGAGAGGGTTACTGTTAGGATTTCAGAGAGGATTAGTGTTAGGATTACAGGGAGGGTTAGTGTTAGGATTACAGGAAAGGTTAGTGTTAGGATTTCAGAGAGGGTTAGTGTTAGGATTACAGAGAGGGTTAGTGTTAGGATTACAGGGAGGATTAGTGCTAGGAATACAGAGAGGGTTAGTGTTAGGATTACAGGGAGGGTTAGTATTAGGATTACAGAGAGGGTTAGTATTAGGATTACAGAGAGGGTTAGTGTTAGGATTACAGGGAGGATTAGTATTAGGATTACAGAGAGGGTTAGTATTAGGATTACAGGGAGGGTTGGTGTTAGGATTACAGAGGGGGTTAGTGTTAGGATTACAGGGGGGTTAGTGTTAGGATTACAGGGAGTGTTAGTGTTAGGATTACAGGGAGTGTTAGTGTTAGGATTACAGGGGGGGTTAGTGTTAGGATTACAGGGGGGTTAGTGTTAGGATTACAGGTAGGGTTAGTATTAGGATTACAGAGAGGGTTAGTGTTAGGATTACAGGGGGGGTTAGTATTAGGATTACAGGGGGGGTTAGTGTTAGGATTACAGAGAGGGTTAGTGTTAGGATTACAGAGAGGGTTAGTGTTAGGATTACAGGGAGGGTTAGTATTAGGATTACAGGGAGGGGTAGTGTTAGGATTACAGGGAGGGTTGGTGTTAGGATTACAGGGGGGGGTTAGTGTTAGGATTACAGGGAGGGTTATTATTAGGATTACAGGGAGGATTAGTGTTAGGATTACAGAGAGTGTTAGTGTTAGGATTACAGGGAGGGTTGGTGTTAGGATTACAGGGGGGGGTTAGTGTTAGGATTACAGGGAGGGTTATTATTAGGATTACAGGGAGGATTAGTGTTAGGATTACAGGGAGTGTTAGTGTTAGGTTAGTGTGGGGAGGCTTTAGGTTAGGCCATTGCTCTCTGTGCTGACAGCTTTTCAGCAAAACCTCCCAGCACAGAACTCCCCCATTAAAACGTACTGGAAAAGCCAGCCAAAGCAATTCAAAACTTCCAACACCAATACTTTGTAGTTGCAACATGTTAAAACTGAGGCTGTACAAAAGCTTTGATAGTTAAATATCTTCATGTTATCAGTTAAATAAAGTGGGTGGAAGCAGCAGTCTCTCTGCAGAGTCAAATGAATACCTGTACATTTAGCACAGCTCCTGCTACCCATCTATAGAGGTGTGAATGCTCATGGATGATATACAGCAGAAGGTAAAGGTGATTACTTGTCCTGCCTGTGTTAACAGATGGTACAGTTAAGCCACTGACAGCAAGACCCCTATGTGTGTTTTTATGGTCTTCCTCCCATCATTTCAGTCTGCATACTAGTAAGTATGCATCTCTGTCAGGGGCGGACTGACAACTCATGGGGCCCCCAGGCAATAGGGGATCATGGGGCCCCTGTGTCCTTGCCCAAACTCAAAAAAGCCTATAAAAAAGGTACCAGGGGCATCTCATGGGGCCCCCTACTGACCCTGGGCCCTCGGGCAGTGCCCGAGTTTCCAAATGGTCAGTCCACCCCTGATCTCTATACCTGAATACAGTGAAGTGCTACCAAACAGCTAATTGTTTTATTCATATATTACCAGGGGCTTGTGTGTGATCACAGCAAATTTCCCATTTTCAACTTTTCTCTTAAATTGTAGCAAGAGGATTTGGAAAGCATATCTATTAGGCTAGCCATACACTTTATTGTACAATCTGTAGACAGTTTCCTTTATGTAAACTATGTAATATGAGGACACACCTAAGCAATTCATTGCATTCACTGCATTAGTATCAAATTAGGTACTACATAGTTGGTAGGACCAAAGTAAATTGTACAACCAGATTGTACAATGCAGGGGTCTCCAAACTGCATCCTGTGTAGCCAACTACACAATTTTATAAGAGTGAACTCTGTTGGTGACTTTGATGGGAACTCTGATGTAAGAGAACACTCTGATGGGGATTCTGATGCAAAAGGGGAGTCTGATGGGGACTCTGAGGTAAGGGGGGACTCTGATGTAAGGGAGCGGCATCTCTGATGGAGACTCCCGTGTAAGGAGGACTCTGATGAGGAATCCAATGTAAGGAGGAATTCTGATGTAAGTGGAGACTTTGATGGGGACTCTGATGTAAGGTGGAGGCAGTTTTATGGACTCAGTTTTATTTGGAGTTTGTTTCATTAGTTTTTTTTTTTCTGTTCTAAATGATATGCTGCTTACAAAAAAAACTCCAATTAAAATTGTATTTATTTGTTTCAATTTAATTAGTTCACGTATAAAACTGATTTTTTTTTTCCACCCGCAAAATATTTTGTAAAATGTACAATGTGGTCCATGTTCTGAAATGTTTGGAGCCCCGCAGTATATTGTATGGTCACCTTCAGGGGTAACACACTCAACACTCATACGTAAACTGCACCAAGCAGCATTCAGCCCTTTCCTCTTACCTGGGTCGATTTAAATCCCCCGCCATAGTTCTGCTGCTCGGAGAGCCAGGTATACATGGCTTTTGCATTGGGAAGGTCTTTATGGAGCAGAGCCGCCAGCAATGCATAGGATGTTGTTTCAACAGCAAGAGCTGTACCTTCAGGGCCCAGATACAGCTCACCTTGCTCTACAGATAAAATAGTATTGCAAATGTTATAGGAAAAAAAAAAATCATAATTAATTGAAATGCTTCTGAACTATGTTTGAAGATGTTAAAAGGTCTGTCCAAAGAACCTGCTAAATTATATCCTGGCTAAAATCAGGAAATGTCCTCCCTCTCTCTATTTCTGGGTGTGGGGTTAGGAGTACTTGCTATAAACTACACTTTCACTTGAAATTCGTTAAAAGTATTTATTTGTGAAGAACATCAGATCCACCAGACACGTTTTGGGGGAAAAGGACCCCCCTTCTTTAAGAAGATAAAGTCCTAATGGCAGAGTAAATGCTAGCCCTGAAGAAGGGGGAGTCCTTTTCTGCCGAAACATGTTGGCTATATCTGATGTTATCAGGCCCTAATGGCAGAGTAAATGCTAAAGCTGAGGAAGGGGGAGTCTTTTTCTGCCGAAATGTGTTGGCTATATCTGATGCTATCAGGTCCTAATGGCAGAGTAAATGCTAGCCCTGAGGAAGGGGGAGTTTTTGCTGAAGTGTGTTGACTATATTTGATGCTATCAGGTCCTAATGGCAGAGTAAATGCTAGCCCTGAGGAAGGGTGAGTTTTTGCTGAAGTGTGTTGACTATATCTGATGTTATCAAGTTCTAATGGCAGAGTAAACGCTAGCCCTGAAGAAGGGGGAGTCCTTTTCTGCCGAAACATGTTGGCTATATCTGATGTTATCAGGTCCTAAAGGCACAGTAAATGCTAGACCTGAGGAAGGGGGAGTCCTTTTCTGCCGAAATGTGTTGGCTATATCTGATGTTATCAGGTCCTAATGGCAGAATACATGCTAGCCCTGAGGAAGGGGGAGTCCTTTTCTGCTGAAACATGTTGGCTATATCTGATGTTATCAGGTCCTAATGGCAGAGTAAATGCTAGCACTGAGGAAGGTGGAGTCTCGTTCTGCTGAAACGTGTTGGCTATATCTGATATTATCAGGTCCTAATGGCAGAGTAAATGCTAGCCCTGAAGAACGGGGAGTCCTGTTCTGCTGAAACATGTCGGCAATATCTGATGTTATCAGGTCCTAATGGTAGAGTAAATGCTAGCCCTGAAGAAGGGGGAGTCCTTTTCCCCAAAATGTGTTGGTTGTATCTGATATTCTTCACAAATGAGTACTTTGAACAAATTTCAAGCGGGATGAAAGTTTTTTTTTTCTCCTAACCACATACCCATAAGTTGCTCATCTGTTGAGCGATTTACTATTGTGATCAGAGGAGCAGCAGCCTAGGCTCAGAACTGGGTGCCTACTTTGGTCACAAATGAAAGTGTGGCGGAGAAAACGCACTTTATTCCTTATTTAAACTAATCTCTACTCACATCAGTCTAGCGCTATCATATACCTATCAAACCTTCCTCCCTCAAGTAGAACAGTACAGTATAGTCAGAATTGTCTTTGCCATTAAACTTCATATAGCCTCTAAGGCCCCTTTCTCTTGGGGCGGACTCTGCCAGGATCACCACTGTGCACAAGCAAGGGAAGACGGGAACGCTTTAAAAAATGTTTTTTATTATTTATTTTATTACTTTTTGTTTCTTCTTACACTGTCCTTTCTTTTTATCACTTTTATTGCTATCGCAAGAAATGTCACCATAGCTTGTGATAATAATACAGCATAAAAAGTCCTCTTTACGGAAAGATCTGGGGTCAAATCTCTCCTCTACCTTTAAAAGCAAAAGATCAAAAAAAATGTTTTTTGATCTCTTGCTTTAAAAAATAAAAAATGGCATTGTTGACATGGCGGCAGAACCGGAAGTGATGTAATGGTGTTGCTCCGCTCCTCCTAGGCCACGGGTGTGAAACTGGCGGCCCTCCAGCTGTCCAAGACCCATGAAACATTGCAAGATTGACAGTTATATGGCTCCGAAAGGTAGAGGCATGATGGGACTTGTAGTTTCCCAACAGCTAGAGGGCCAGTTTGACACCCCTGTCCTAGGCCATAGAGACGAGTGGAGACCATCTTTCCTTCACTCATGCCTATGTATGCCCTGCCAACGCTAGCCCCGGATCGGTTGCCAGACCTACTGATTGTGCAGGTAAGCCAGGGAACCATCGGAAAGTGGCGGGGGGGGGCATGACTCCTCCAACTGCTTCTAAAAGTGATCCAGTGGTGAATCTGCTGCTCGGATCACTTTTAAAGGAAAGTCCTGTGCCTAAGGTTATGGCACCTAGCTGCAGCCATAACCCTGGTATTGAACATCAAAGCAATGACATATTTTCCTAGTTAGGTGGTTGGCAGTGTGAAACCATTCATGCTTTCTTTGGCTCTGAAGAAGAGGGGCTTGACCCTTGAAACGTGAAAGTCTTTGGATGCTACGAGGGCTTCCAATACCACTGGCAGAGTACCGTGGACCTGGAGACAGTCCCGTCTGCATCCTTTTATATGCCTATGTCATGCATTTGTGAGTAAATACCTTTTTTATATTTCTAAATAAATCGCTATTTTGGTAATGCACTTGGTCGGTGCGCCCTCCTTTTGTTGTTTCTAGATTTTGAGGACGCGCACAGTCCTGTGAAGGCAGCAAGACGTTTGGCACCATACCTGGACAGAAAAAAGTGTTATATGTCCTAAGCAGCGCACCAATGTGCAGGAGGTTATTACTTACATAGTCACACTCACATGGTATACCGCCATAAGGTACCTTACATCTGAACAGGTTCAACAAGACCTATATGGTTTTTAATTCCAATGTAATCAGTGTGAGTGCCTTTATTTCTTTGGTTAGAAACACTCAGGCTAGAACAGAGAGGGACACAAGGAGCCAGTCAGATTTTTGCTGCAATGCACAGTAACCATGCTGACAGAAGCAGAAAGCAGGGTGATGGCTTCATCAGCAAACTTCTGCTGCCTAATTGTTTGATTACCAGTTGGTTTGACCAATTGTTCTTGTACTGTTGCAGGTTAAAAATCTGACACAGTTCCTCAATATTTACTTCAAACTGTCACATAAAGTGTTACTAAACCCACAACAGTAAAATCAGTCTGTATATGCAGTAAAGCATGCTTGTTATACTCATTGTGGAACCTTAGGGGTTAATCCTCTGCATTGTTTAAAAAGGCAGTTTGATCCCATCTTCTCTGATCTTCCCCTTCTTCTACTGTCCCCAATCCATCTACTGTTAGTACAGAGCTCTAGGAGTCACTCTGCACATGCTCAATTTAGTGTGTATTGCTTTTTTTTCACCTATGGAAAGGTGCATGTGATCAACACAGGGCCAATCGGGACTCTCCAGACAGGGGGTCAGGGGTTATGCAGCCTCATAGGACAAACAGAGCAGAATGAAAACTCCTCCTACAAGCTTTAACCAGTGCTCAGCTGGACACTGATAGAAGTCACAAGACTGATATATACTGCTGATGAGAAAAGGTATTTAGCAGTTTATATCTACTAAAATAATTGCATTTCCATGTTCTGTGTATTGCGGGAGACCAGATATAGTAAATGCAGGGTCCGGGGAGACCAGATATAGTGAATGCAGGGTCCTGGGAGACCAAATATAGTGAATGCAGGGTCCGGGGTTTAGTAACACTTTAAAGTGTATATAAACCCCAACAACTGACATTTCTTATTTGTTCCCTTTTGCTCTGTTAAATATATCATTAAAAGTATTTTGTTATATCTGTCTGATAAGAGCAAATCTACCTGCCAGAAATCCACCGAGCTTGTAACTTCCTGTGCACTTTACCTCTGCTGTACTTATATTGGTTAGCTGTGTTCAGGTCACATGCTCACGAAGTATTAAGAGGTGAAACAGTGCCCCCTGTGGGCAGTGCACAGCATCACTTCTTCCCAAGTGCAAGCAGCAATGATCTACAAAATGCCACAAATTCACATCTACGACTAAGGGCAGGATTGGATGAAACTCATCAGAGTCTGTATGGTTATAATCCTGTACTTCATATGAAGAAATAAATTTGCATTGAGGAACATTAAAATGTGCTGGTGTTTTTGTGGCCAGCTAGCACTGTTATCAGCTCTGCACTGTGGACTACAGAACATCTCCACCTTTGTATGTAGGTGAGCAGAGGGTGGATATTCTGTAGTCATAACAAAATTCTGGTCCTAGTGTGACAATGTTGCTCCTCCATCAGTACAATACAGTGAACAAGTGTTGTCAGCTTGGGACAGAAGTGTGTTGCTGGCAGGATTTCCAGATTAAAATAAATAAAACTAATGCCACCACCACACCTAAGGACTGGTAAGCGTCAAAATGTTACAATATTGTTCTTGGGTTTTTGACAGACTTAAAATAATTTGCTGTGTAAATGCCTCAGTGTTCACAGAGCTATAATAAATAACCTGTAATATGTCTAATATGGATATTTCTTATGATTGTAAGTTCCATCTAGTGGCCACAATTAGGTATTTTCCTGATATACCTCATTAAAACAAACACACGTTATGGCTACTAGATAGAGTTGATGATCATAGGAAATACATATATTAGACACATTATGAGGAATATTTGCGACAACTGTGAGAAAAATGAGGCACACAGCATTTTTTATTCCTTTTTTTTAATAAATAGTCCGAGATTCTATTTTAAAGCAGCTGCATAGGTTCTTAGTTATTAGAGGGTACATACAGATACCCAAAAGAATAAAGAAGCATAGCAAGAGTTATACTGGCATCCTAGAAAGAAAATGTTTATACAGCAAGGGAGGAGGTGTTTTGCTAATTTCCATAAATGTATAAAGTGAATATCGCTAAAAGCAATATCATTACCAGAAATGATGCTGAAAAGGAAAGATTGTTGTAGAAAGATAATATAATATAATAAAAAATATAATAGTTTATCACTCACTAGACCCTCCTTGGGCTTTAGACATCATTTTTTTGTAGGCATTGCCCTTCAAAATGGAGTCAGCAGATGTAAGAGCGAGGGCGTAGGCAGTGATAGCCAGGGGGTACGGCTCAGACAAGGAGTCCAACGAGGTGCGCAGGTAATCTATTGCTTTGCTAATGCTGCTTTTCTGTAATGGCAGGAAGAGAAGAACACAGAAACGAGTTAAAGAAAAACTATGATCTGTGTATAGGCAAAGTCTTTTTTTACATTTTAGAGAGAGTAGAGCAGTGCTCTCCAAATGTTCTAAAAAAGGGCCAGTTTTATTGTCCTGCAAACTTTAGGGGGGTAAGATTGTGACCAGTGGGGGTAGAAAATGTCCCAGATTCAGTGGAAGTAAATATTGCCTCAGTTTTGGTGGTCAGTGGGAGTAAATCAATTACATAGCACCTGTTGTAATAGTCAATAGTAATTGTAACCCATCATTGGTATTAGTTGGAGGTATAGTGCCCCATCATTGGTATTACTTGGAGGAAGAGTGGTTCATCATTAGTATTGCTTGGAGGAATAGTGCCCCGTCATTGGTATTGCTTGGAGGGATAATGCCCCATCATTGGTTTTGCTTGAAGGAATAGTGCCCCATCATTGGTATTGCTTGGAGGAATAGTGTCCCATCATTAATATTGCTTGGAGGAATAGTGCCCCATCATTGGTATTGCTTGGATGAATAGTACCCCATCATTGGTATTGCTTGGATGAATAGTTGCCCCATCATTAATATTGCTTGGAGGAATAGTGCCCCATCATTGGTATTGCTTGGATGAATAGTTGCCCCATCATTGGTATTGCTTGGAGGAATAGTTGCCTAATCCTTGGTATTGGTTGGAGGAATAGTGCCCCATCATTGGTATCAGTGGGAGGAATAGTGCCCCATCATTGGTATCAGTGGGAGGAATAGTGCCCCATCATTGGTATTGCTTGGAGGAATAGTTGCCCCATCATTGGTATTGGTTGGAGGAATAGTGCTCCATCATTGTTATTATTATACAGTATTTATATAGCGCTAGGTTTGCTCAGTGCTGTACATTATAGTGCGGGACAGTACAGTAACAAAACAAAACACGAGGGGTTCAAGGGCCCTGCTCTTTCGATCTTACAATCTAGGAGATTTTAATGTCATACTAATGCTGGCTGCTATGGGGCACAGTAATTTAAAGTGTGCAGCATATCTCCAAAGAGATCGTAACTGTTTTTTTTTAGTTGGCAGTAGTAGACTCTTATACTGCGTTAAGCATTGACTGATCAGAATGCTTAGAGATTGAGTGATTTCCATCATTAGTATTACTTGGAGGAATAGTGCCCCATTGGCTGGAGGAATAGTGCTTCATCATTGGTTTTGGCTGGATTAGTAGTGCCCCATCATTGGTATTGCTTGGAGGAATAGCACCTCATCAGTGGTATTGGCTGGGAGAATAGTGCTCTATCATTGGTATTGGTTGGATGAATAGTGCCTCACAATTGTTATTGGTTAGGGGAAAAGTGCCCCATCATTGGTATTGGTTGGAGGAATAATGTCCCATCATTGGTATTGGTTAGAGGAATAACGTCTCATCATTGGTATTGGTTGGAGGAATAATGCCCCATCTTTGGGATTAGTTGGAGTATTAGTGCCTCATCATTGGTATTGGTTAGAGAAATATTGCTCCATCATTGATATTGGTTTTAGAAATAATATTCCATCATTTGTACTGGTTCGAGGAATAGTACCCCATAATTGGTATTGATTGGAGGAATAGTGCCCCATCATTGGTATTGATTGGAGGAATAGTGCCCCATCATTGGTATTGATTGGAGGAATAGTGCACTATCATTGGTATTGATTGGAGGAATAGTGCTCCATCATTGGTATCTTTGGGAGGGATAGTGCCCTATAGTTGGTATTAGTAGTAGGGATTTTTTCACACAATTGGGGTCCACTTAGAGGAATAGTGCCTCATAGCAGTGGGACAAATAGTGTCCCAAGGGCTGGATAAAGGCTAGCAAAGGGTCACATCTGGCCCACTGACTATAGTTTGGCTCTACTGGAGTAAATATAGTCTAGACCCCCTGTCAAGTAATTATTGCTGTCTGTGTCTCCACTGGGGAGATTGCACTAGTGACCATTGTCACCAAAAAGTGAAAGCAAATCCAAAATTGTAGAGTTTTCTCCAGAAAAAGGAGTAGAAATCTTCCAATGGGAAGTGTGTTCCAGGTATTCAGTAGGTGATCCTCCTGATTGCCTGTTTTTTTTTTCTTTGCAAATGGCAATTTTGAATGGAACTAACATGCCACAAGTGTGGCCCCATTGATTTGGAAGGGTGAATTTGTTCAGGCGGTGCCATCTGTGAACTTGACAAGCCACAATAAATTTGCTATGTGTACAACCCCTCTAGCTTTAGGTGGGCGTTGGAGAAGGGGGGGTCAACTGTCTGTTTTTACTGCCCCCTGGCTGCCCATGTGAAAGGTAAACAAGACAGGAAGTGAGGGGAAATTTGCTAATCATCACACCGAGAGCAAAAAAAAATAACCCGTCAGAGGTTTTTAACTCCCCTTTACTCTATCCAAAACAAAAAAAATGGCTACACATGGAGATTAAAATTTAGGATAAAGTTGAATTTAAAGTGTATGTAAACCCTAACAATCAACATTTTTTTTACTCCCATAAAGCAGAACTATAGGCAAAACATTTTTTTCATTCTGGATAGAGTAAGGGAGGGTGATAACCTGTGCCAGATTTTTTTTCACCATCTGTGTTCCATTGCAGAGATTTCCCTTCACTTCCTGTCCCAGAGCCAAACAGTAAATGAGAGAAAATCCCTGCAAACTAAAGGAATCTCTTGGGGACCCCCAGGTCACCAGAACTAGAGTCCCCATTGGAAGATTTTCCCTCTATTACTTTTCTGGGGACAACCAAAAATGTGGGATTTCCTTTGACTTTCAGTTTCAATGATATTGGTAAACAGGACAAATAGAGAGGGGGAATCTTTCTAACGAGGGCACAGACTGCAATAAAGACCTGACAGGCGTTTTATTCCCTCTCCATCCAAAACTAAAAAAAAAGTTTTGCCATTAGTTATACTTTTAGGATCCGGTAAATTTACTATTACAAGCATTTTGTTATATCTGTTGATAAGTGCAAAAAAATACCTGTTGATCCTGTCAGAAATACAGTGACCTCCAGACGTCCTGTACACTCTGCCTGTGTTGCACTGTTATCATTTACAATATCCACATCTCTCTCAGTGGACTACAGAACACCAACTATGTTATGGAGATGAGGAGGGGTGGATATTCTGTAGTCTCAACACAATTCTTGTCCTAGGGTGACAATGCTGCTCCTTTACAGTGAGTAAATGTCACCCTAGGGCAGGACGTATGTCACAGCCGGGATCACCAAGTGAAAATGAAGGAGAAAAAAAATCAAACTAATGCAGCCACAACATCTTAGCTGGTGAGCTGCAATATATTACATTTTTGTTCTTGGGTTTGCAACAGACTTTAACTGCTTCAATATTGGGCACTTTCATCCCCTTCCTGCCCAGGCCAATATTCAGCTTTCAGCGCTTTCACACTACACTATGAATGACAGTTGCGCGGTCATGCAACACTGTACCCAAATTAAATTTTTAGCATTTTTTTGAAACATATAGAACCTTCTTTTAGTGGTATTTAATCACCACTGTGTTCTTGCTAAACAAATGAAAAAAGACCAAAAAGTTTGGAAAAAAAAGTTTCTTAGTTTCTGTTATAAAATTTTCCAAATAAGCAATTTTTCTTCTTCACTGCTCTGATGAGGCTGCACTGATGGGCACTGATTAGGCGGCACTGATGGGCACTGATGATGCTGCACTAATAGGCACCATTAGGTTGCACTGATGGGCACTGATTAGGCGGCACTGATGATGCTGCACTGATAGGCACCAATAGGTTTCACTGATGGGCACTGATATGCTGCACTGATAGGCACCAATAGGTTGCACTGATGGGCACTGGGAGGGCTGCACTGATTACCAGGGCCCTGATTATCAGTGTAAACAATGTACTGATAGTCTTGCCGAGGAAAGGAATGTGAGTTTGTGAGGAAAGGAATGCCGATAACTGGCAAGTCTGTTCACATGTGATCAGCTGTAATTGGACACCACTGGTCACATGATAAAGGGCCGCTGTGATTGGCACTTTACCTGGATCTGTGATCACAGAACACACAATCAGAGCGTACCCAATGCGCACCAAGGGGGCACAAGGAGCAGGGTTCTGGGAGGAAGTCCATCGATGTCGTCCCAGAACTAGAAAATCATGTTGTAGCCATCTTTTGGCTATAATGCAGTCGGGAAGCAGTTAAAATAAAAATGTGTCTAAGCATTTTCACAACCATCTTGAATAATCCCCTCAATGTGTATTTCCTATGATCGCAATATCCATCTAGTGGCCATAATGAGGTATTTTCCTGAAATACCTCAATCAAGAAAATACCACATTATAGTCACTAGAAGGAGCTATCCTTAGGTGTGGATATCATTAAGTGAATAAAGACTTTGAAAAACCTGACAGGGGTTTTAAAGTTTCCCCTTTGCATCCCCCCAGAAAATTGTCTTTTGATGCACTGCAATATAAAATACTGTAACATTGCCCCCTTGGTTGTGCTGCCCCAGGCGTGCACACTGCCACGTCCACGTACCGCTTTGGTGTCATCTTCAGCAAGAGCTTCCTCAGAATAATGGAGAGCAATCAGCACGTAAGCTGTTAGTGAAACTTCAGCGTTCTTCCCTGTAACACCTCCCTGCAGAGATAAAAAAGATAGATTTGGACACTCAAGGATCAGTTCACATAAAGCGGAACAGATCTAAAAACACACAGCTCTGTGTTCAGTAATACATCATTACAACAAAGAATATAACAGAATGTGCAAAAAGGAAATAAAGGCCACAAAAATTGAAAAAGAACGACAGATTGCAAAAGATAGCAGGACCAATCCCAAAAATTCATTCAAATATATTAATAGTAAAAAGGTCCGGTCCGAGCATGTAGGCCCTTTACAAAATAATCTAGAGTGGGGACAAAGAAAAGGCAAATTTATTTAATACCTTCTTCAGCTCTGTGTATACAAAGGAGCATAGGGGAGCTCTTGTCCATAATGGGCATGGTATTGACACAGCTCCAGATGGTCCACATTGGCTCACAATTGATATGATCAAGAAATATTTAGACAGAATAAAGGCGAATAAAGCACCTGGACCGGATGTTATACACCCACGGATCCTTAAAGACTTGAGCTCTGTCATTTCAAAGCCATTGTTTCTAATTTTTAGGGACTATTTAATGACTGGCATAGTACCACTGGTTTGGCATAAGGCCAATGTGGTGCCAATATTTAAAAAAGGAGACAAAATCTTTACCAAGTAATTATAGACCTGTTAGTTTAACTTCTATAGTTGGGAAGATACTGGAGAGTTTAATAAAAGATCACATAGATGAGTTCTTGCTGGAAAAAAATATTTTAAGCAATAGACAGCATGGATTCATAATTGACAGAAGTTGTCAACAAATATGATTTCTTTTTATGAGGGGGTGAGCAAAACCTTGGACAGAGGGGTGGCGGTGGACGTGGTATACTTGGACAGAGGGGTGGCGGTGGACTTGGTATACTTGGACAGAGGGGTGGCGGTGGATGTGGTATACTTGGACAGAGGGGTGGCGGTGGACGTGGTATACTTGGACAGAGGGGTGGCGCTGGACGTGGTATACTTGAACAGAGGGGTGGCGGTGGACGTGGTATACTTGGACAGAGGGGTGGTGGTGGACATGGTATACTTGGATAGAGGGGTGGCCGTAGACATGGTATACTTGGACAGAAGGGTGGCGGTGGATGTGGTATACTTGGACAGAGGGGTGGCGGTGGACGTGGTATACTTGGATAGAGGGGTGGCGGTGGACGTGGTATACTTGGATAGAGGGGTGGCCGTAGACATGGTATACTTGGACAGAAGGGTGGCGGTGGATGTGGTATACTTGGACAGAGGGGTGGCGGTGGACGTGGTATACTTGGACAGAGGGGTGGCGCTGGACGTGGTATACTTGGAGAGAGGGGTGGCGGTGGATGTGGTATACTTGGACAGAGGGGTGGTGGTGGACGTGGTATACTTGGGCAGAGTGATGGTGGTGAACGTGGTGTACTTGGATTTTGCAAAAGCGTTTGACACAGTTCCCCACACACGGCTAATGTGTAAGGTAAAGTCTACAGGCTTGGAAAAATCTGTATGCAAATGGATAGAAAACTGGCTAAAAGATTGTAATCAAAGAGTAGTGGTTAATGATTCATACTCTGAATGGTCTGGGGTCATCAGTGGTGTACCCCACGGTTCAGTGTTGGGACCCTTACTTTTTAATATATTTATAAACAATATAGGGTCTGGGATTATAAATCCCATTTCAGTGTTTGCAGATGACACCAAGCTGTGCAGTGGAATAACGTCCTTACAGGATGTCTCCAATTTACAAGCCGACCTCAATGAACTGTGCAATTGGGGAACTATGTGGCAAATGAGGTTTAATGTTGATAAATGTAAAGTTATGCACTTGGGGCTAAAAATATGCATGCATCATTCATACTAGGGGGGTACAACTGGGGGAATCAATGGTGGAGAAGGATCTGGGAGTTCTGGTAGATCACAAGCTTAATAATGGCATGCAATGCCAAGCTGCGGGTTCTAAAGCGAGCAAAATCCTCTCTTGTATTAAAAGAGGTATAGACTCCAGAGAGAGATATCATTTCCCCCGGTACAAATCATTAGTAAGACTTCATCTGGAATATGCAGCTCAGTTTTAGGCACCAATTCACAAAAAGAACATTGGGGAACTGGAGAAAGTACAGAGAAGGACAACCAAACTGATACGAGAAATGGAGGAGCTCAGCTATGAGGAAAGATTAGAGGAACTGAATTTATTCTCTCTTGAGAAGAGGAGATTAAGGGGGGATATGCTCTCCATGTATAATACATAAGGGGGGGATATGATCTCCATGTATAATACATAAAGGGGGGATATGATCTCCATGTATAATACATAAGGGGGGGATATGATCTCCATGTATAAATACATCAGTGGTTCATATAGTGAACTCGGTGTAGAGTTATTCACCCTGAGGTCATCACAGAGGACAAGGGGGCACTCTTTACGTCTGGAGGAAATGAAATTTATTCTCCAAACACAGAAAGGTTTCTTCACAGTGAGAGCTGTGAAAATGTGGAATAGACTCCCTCAAGAGTTGGCTCTGGCCAGCTCAGTGGACTGCTTTAAAAAAGTCCTGGATTCTTTCCTAGATACACAGAATATAACTGGATACTAACATTTATAGGTAAAGTTGATCCAGGGAATATCTGATTGCCTCTTGGGGGATCAGGAAGGATTTTGTTCCTAGCAGGAGCAAATTGGATCATGCTTTGCTAGGTTTTTTTGCCTTCCTCTGGATCAACTGTGGATATAGGATTATAACTTTTTTTTTTTTTGGTTGAACTGGATGGACTTTTGTCTTTATTCAGCCAGACTAACTATGTAACACTATTTTTAAATGCAAGCAGTGTAAGTCCTGAATTTGATTGAGTATTAGACTTTCACAGGCCCTGTGCCCCTCCACCAGCCATGAGCTGGCTGCCCAGCATAGAGAAGCACAATGACCTGGTGATGAGGTCACTGGGTCTAAAATAAGGTATATAATGAAAAAAGAAATGGTTTGATTCTTGGGGGGAGGGGTAAGGAGGAACCAGAGAAGGCAAACCTCAGCTTTAAATTCAATGCACTTTTAGGAGCCCTGTATATTCTTACCATCATATCTTGGTGGATGACTGGTGTGGTTTCCTGGAAAGCCCCAGTGCTCATCTGCTTGCTAGTGAGATAGGTGACAGATTGCCGGATCTCTTCCACATCAACGTCAATATATTTACGACACAAGGACATCACTTTCACCACAAAAGATGTGAGCCTGAGAAAACCCAGAGGGGGAGCAAGTAGGGATCATTAAAGAAGAAGTCTTTTTTTTTTTTTAGTATAGTTTGCCCCATCTTCCTATGTCCTTTGGAAGGCTAGCTATGTGGTCAGAGAGAACGCCCTCCTTCCCTCACAGCTATCCAACAACACATCCAGCTACATCGATAGCTGGCACTTATCACCAGCTCCAAGCACTTTTTTCAGACATGAGGAGTGCAGAGGGATGGAAGGGTGACATGCCCCCACTCTCCACATTCCTCTTGCTGGTACTAGTCTCAAAAAAGTGCTTGGAACCCATAGGCATGCACACAGGCTGTGCTGAGTGTGCCTGGGCACACCCTAATCACCCTGTGCGCATTAGCATTATCGCTCTGTGTGCCAGCATGGAGATGGGAAAGCTTTCCCTCTTACCATTCTGCCATAAGAGAAGGGCTTACGTACTTCTCTCTCACTGTGCCAGCAGGGAGATCAATGTGCCAGGGCCATATATATGTAGACATGCACACGTGTGTTTTTGAGCTTTGAGATGCACACCCTAATGCCATAGGCTGCGCATTACTATGTTGGAGCCAGAAATAAGTGCCAACTTCCAATGTAGCTGTCTCCTTGCTGGCTGCATTGTTGGACAGCCATGGGGGAAGGAAGGTGTCCTGCCTGACCATGTAGCTAGTCTCCCACAGCGTGTAGGAAGATAGGACACAGTGCTTCATGCACTCTTCCTCATGGGGGACAGAACAATGTAATAAAAAGAATGAGACTTCTTCTTTAACGTGCATTAGTTTTTTTGTTTTTTTTTAAAACAACTTGAAGACCAAGTTTTTTTGGCACTTTTTGTTTACATGTAACAATCAGTATTTTTTGCTAGACAATTTCTTAGAACCCCCAAACATTATATATTTTTTACAGCAGAGGTCCTAGAGAATAAACTGATGGGTGTTTTTTATGTCACATGGTATTTGTGCAGCAGTTTTTCAACCACAACTGTTTTGGGGAAAATAAAAAACACTTTTTTGAATTTTATTGCAAATAAACATAATACGCAACTGAATTTTTGGTAAAATATAAAAGATGATGTTAAGAGTAAATAGATACCAAACGTGTTGTGCTTTAAAATTGCGCACTTCCCTGCAATGGCAACAAACAACGTAAATTTTAGTATCCATAGGCGAAGCTTTAAAAGCCTTTACAGGTTACCGCTTTAGGAGGCCTGGTGCTAGAATTTTTTCTCTCAATCTGACGTTTGCGGTGATACCTCACATGTGTGGGACGATCGCTGTTTGTATGTGCATGGGACCAAAGCGTGTTTTCATCTTTGCGTGCGAGCATGGGGAGAACGAGGGTACTTTAAAACATTTTTTTAATCTTTTTTATTTTTACACTGTCTGAATCTGGTAGAGCTGTGCAAAGCTCCTCTTACCAAGTGCTGCTGGGTCTATGTAGCCAGGCACCGTATGATCCATCAGGTTTCCTGTACTGTAGTATCCTTGAGTATCCTGGAACAGAGATCAATACCATTTAAGTTGAAACCCAGTAGAATTTCTTTTCAGTTTTAGGGCTCATGTACACGGGGCATTTGGAAAACTCTTCTGAACGATGGAAACTGACTTCATTTTTTTAGGTTGAGACTTATAGCACAGCACTATTTATTTATTGTTTTGATTTGCTTTTTAAGTGCTGGAACATTTTTTTGTGCTTACAGCTTTAATATACCGTAGTTATATATATCTCTAGCAGCACATAAGACTCCTTCCTTTATTCAATATTTGCATAAGACTTCCTTTTACAGCCATTGTAGAACCAATATCATCCAAATCAAACCCTAGACCGTCCCTCCTAACCATCCTTGCTTCATCACAATGAACAAATTGCTAACATTTCTTACCCCATGGTACTCTTACCGTTCCTCATGTTCTCCAGGCCCTGGTCCTTGCGATCTGGTGGGAGAGTTAACCACTTATCGGTTTGATCAAGGTAGCGCATGGCGTACACCCCCGGAGCAGTGGAGATCATAGTCTGTTCAGCGCAGCCATAGGGGACTCGGATCAATTTGCTCACTCCATCTGAGCTCAGGCTGTTGTTTATGGTGTTGATTGGGTTGTCCACTGCAGGAGAGCAAAAACAAACATTTACCATAAGGATAAATGATACATTTTTCAATGTAAACTGCGATCTAATGAAGGGGTTACTATATGCATTAGTCATGTTAAAAGAAATTATAACCTAAATTTTAAGATATATATTGAAAAATGAAAAGCATAATGTAACATTATCATGTTTTAAAATTGTAATCTCATTTCTAAATATATATGTCTGCCTGGAAAAAAGATTTAACCTCCACATACGGAAAGGCTTCTTCACAGTACGAGTTTCGAAAATGTGAATAGACCCCCTCAAGAACTAGTTCTGGCCAGCTCAGTATAAATGCAGGTGGGTGCAGGCACAACTTATAGGGCTGGAGGAAGACCCCATTCACACCTGCTCGATGCGCATGTTCGCGGATTTTTTTTCATGCTTTTTTTTGCCCATTTGTTGCGCAACACTATAGGGTAACCCAGCAATGGGCAAACTACGGCCCCCGGGCCGTATACGGCCCGGCGGACCTTTTAATTCGGCCCGCGGAGCGTGATACTGTCAGGATGGCTGTCAGGATGTGTGTAGGCAGGGCAGCGTGACGAACGTGAGGGGAGCTAGGCTCCTCTCACAGTCCACCCTGAAGACCGGAACGGCGCGGGAACACGACGAGAGGAACGCGCGGAGCAAAGGTAAGTAAATTGAATTACTATAGGGGGGATGAATTACTATAGGGGGGATGAATTACTATGGGGGATGAATTACTATAGGGAGGATGAATTACTATGGGGGATGAATTACTATATGGGGGATGAATTACTATGGGGGATGAATTACTATGGGGGATGAATTACTATGGGGGATGAATTACTATATGGGGGATTAATTACTATGGGGGATGAATTACTATGGGGGATGAATTACTATGGGGGATGAATTACTATATGGGGGATGAATTACTATATGGGGGATGAATTACTATGGGGGATGAATTACTATGGGGGATGAATTACTATATGGGGGATGAATTACTATATGGGGGATTAATTACTATGGGGGATGAATTACTATGGGGGACGAATTACTATATGGGGGATTAATTACTATGCTTACTATGGGGGAATATTACTATACTTACTATGGATGACACATACACATCATTCATCTACTCTTGGTCTGGCCCCCGGGTCCAATATATGAACCCATTGCGGCCCTCAAGTCAAAAAGTTTGCCCACCCCTGGGGTAACCCATTCGCTTGAATGGGCTGTCCTACTCCCAACAAATATGCCAAAGTGGTTCCTGGACCCTTTTTTGGTAATGATCCTTCGCATGTTTTGTCACGCAACAAAATGTGTGTCCCCTAGCCACAACTGATGGTGTCAATTAGAAATAATAGCATTGCAAACGTGATGTGCATTTCGGTGTGATCTCGTGAACACACACAGAAACACGTGTTTCTAGGGCATTCCTGGAATGCAAAGGTATGAATGGGGCCTCACAATGAACTTGCTGTCAAAAAAACTTTTTTAAATATAAAAACCTTGTTTCAATGTACAGTTTGTATATATACAGTATATATAGAGAGGGGCAGCCCTGGCGGAACAGTACATATGCAGGCTCTGCTACCTGAGCATACCTGCTACCTAGTTAGCTTGGATTCTCACATAGTGAAGATGCTCCGTGGTTAGGAGCAAACATAAGATTAGAAGCGGTTTCTATGCAGCAGTCTGATGCCAGAGTCACAGCCAGAGTTATGCAATCAGCAATGCTAATGCTTGGAGATTGGAAAGCTCTAGCTCTGTAGGGGGCATAGTTAGACCTCTGTGGAGAGACCACTGTTTCCACACAAAGACCAAGGGCAGGGGCGGACTGACAACTCATGGGGCCCCCGGGTAATAGGGGATCATGTGGCCCCTGTGTCCTGAAAAAGGTACCAGGGGCATCTCATGGGGCCCCCTACTGACCCCGGGCCCTTGGGCAGTGCCCGAGTTTCCAAATGGTCAGTCCGCCCCTGACCAAGGGTCATTCTCTACAGCACGATGGCAGGACACAGGCTTTAATATTCATGCTGTGGCTTTTGTTTAAGTTCGTGCCACATTTATTTAGCTGCTTTATAATAAAAGATCCATTAGCCTTTATTCAGGTCTATTCCCATGGACACTTTCTGTGTTGCCACAGGCTAAACTTGGGCGCCTGCCTTGTTTACCTAAATGCAGCCATGACAGTACTTACTGGTAATTTTCACACTAGAGCGGAAATCAGCATCTGGGATCACATTTGCAGGTAAGTTGTCCTCAATTCTTAAAACTCTTCTGGATGAGTCTGTATGATAAAGGGGACAAAAATGATTACAAGGCACAATTTGTGGGATAAACAGGACTTACTGTAAAGTATACCCGTATTTCCTTTAACATAATTAACAGAAAGTACAGCATTAATTCAAGCTCCCTATATATAGTAGCTTTAGTTATGCTGAAAAGCACTCAAAACGAAGGATGGTCTGCTATGCAAACAGATAATATGGTTCAGTTGTTTTTTTAAAATGGGTCGCCACAGTGCTGGGATTAGGTCATCCAATGCCCAGGTCAAAGATGCCAATCCGTGTCCCCCAACCCCACACACCCTGTTCATGATGTGCAGGCTTAGGAGATCCTAAGCTAGGCAGTCTCTCGCTTGTCAAAATCACTGTCATTGTCACTACTCCTGTCATCCTTGTAACAGAAGATAGGCACCCTCGTCCCTAAAGTAAACCTATGGAGCCTAGGGCAGTCACCATTCCTGCCCACTCCTTGTCCCTGGGTCCCTGAGTTGACAATTGTCCATATTAAGGTTATACAAGTATAAGATTGATATGGTCAATAAATTGGACAACCAGAGAGAAAAGATAGATAGAAAAAAAAATGTTTATATGGGTATCAAAGGTTACATGGGATGTGATATCCCCCATTTCTAATTAAAGAGCATTTTTAAATATTTCCAAGACAAAAAGCTGTGAACCAAAGAGGAGTTTCCAGAGAAGATCATATGTACAGGTGGAAATTCATGATTTCTCATGAGGGTAGTATACGTAGTTGGATTGTTAAAAGGATGTGAGGAAGTAAAGATACCTGCCAATGGACCTACAGGCTATACCCATCTTTAACTCACATGAGACAAACTGCAGATACTCCACCACAGACTCTAATCCTCAGCCAACCAGCCAGTGCCCTATAGTGATCAGCTACCACAACAGTCTCTGTGAAAGTTTAAAAGAAGAAAAAGGGAATGTCTGAAAGCCTTAGAGCTGTTTATCAACCCATCCATTAAACAGACTAGTCCATCAGAGGTACAAAGACTCGAAACGCATTTCACTTGACAAGGCACTTACTCATAGGGTCTCTTGTTTGGAACTTTAACCAAACAATGTTACAGGTCACAGGAGTGGAAGTAAAAAAATGTCACTGCTTTCTCTCATGACCTGTGTGAGGGCATCCATAATAAAACTGCATGGTTAACAAAACTTTGTATAATATACATGACATTACCGCTCTGTACTCAATATCTAAACTTTCTAAGAGGACTGAAACAATCAAATTAAAGAATTGTAGAGAAGATAGGGATAGCAAGGGGGTAGTAAGGAGGAGTCAGAAGAGGTTAGAGAAGCTCAACCAAGAGACACACTTGCCAACTATAGAGAAGGGGTTGTGGTCCATAGAACCATAGAAGCCATGAAACCTCTTTAGAAGTTATAATTAAATATAAGCCAATAGTTGATGTGACCTCTCATAATCAAACCATAGGTATCATTGTACTGAACACTATTCTCAAGAGTCTCAAAAGAACTATTAGTAGGCACATTTCTCTACTTCCTTCCACCTCCTCTCTTCACCATTGTTCATGAGGACACCTATCACACTGGCAGGCAAATAGAGATGCTTCGGGTGCTGCTCAGGGGATGGAACAAAGCACAAGCCTCCTACTGGATATTGGTATTTGTATAATGGAGCAGTTTAAGTATTGCTCTGATAGAAACTCAAGGTTGTGGCAATCATCCAAAGCTTAGTATGCTCCTGTTTACATCAATAAATGTAAGTGCAGATTTTGTACAGTATAATTATTACCTTTGGGATCCAAAACATATGTCTTCTCTTCAACCACTGGAACGCCTTCTCTCTGCAAAGAATTGGCAAAGAATAAAAAAGACTACACGAAGACAAACCCTAGCTGAATGAAATGTACAGTTGTGACCAAAATTATTCAACCCCCAATGCTGTAAAGGGGTTTAGGGACTATAGTGTACATTTGGAATTGTATTCAGAATCAAATCCTACAAGGACGTTGTAACTACCCAAATGCAACTAAAATGACATCAATTGTTTATGTAATACAGTAGTAAATGGTTCTTATGTGGTTTCTTCATTGCCACAATTATTCAACCCCTTAAAGACTACCACTCTGAAGAACAGAGGTTCATACAGGTGCTTTCCATCAGGTATTGAAAACACCTGTGGATGTCACCGAGCAGCAATCAAGCATAATAAGCACCAATTAGGCAGCTTTAAAATGACTGTGATACTCAGCTCCTTCTAGACATTTACTGGTGTGGTTACAAACATGGTGAAGGCAAGAGAATGGTCCAGGAAGACAAGAGAAGAGGTGATTTCTCTTCACAGGAAGGGCAATGGCTATAAGAAGATTGCAAAGATGTTAAACATACCAAGAGACACCTTAGGAAGCATCATTCGCAAATTCAAGGCAAAGGGCACTGTTGAAACGCTACCTGGTCGTGGCAGAAAGAAGATGCTGACTTCGACTGCTGTGCGCTACCTGAAGCGTAGAGTGGAGAGAAGTCCCCGTGTGACTGCTGAGGAACTGAGAAAAGATTTGTCAGATGTGGGTACAGAAGTTTCAGCCCAGACAATAAGACGCACACTGCGTAATGAAGGCCTCCGTGCCAGAACTCCCAGGCGTACCCCCTTGCTGTCTCCAAAGAATAAGAAGAGTCGACTGCAGTATGCCAAAAGCCATGTGGACAAACCACAAAAGTTGTGGGATAGTGTTCTGTGGACTGATGAAACAAAATTAGAACTGTTTGGGCCCATGGATCAACGCTATGTTTGGAGGAGGAAGAACAAGGCCTATGATGAAAAAGAACACCTTGCCTACTGTGAAGCATGGTGGAGGGTCAATCATGCTTTGGGGCTGTTTTGCTTCTGCAGGTACAGGGAAGCTTCAGCGTGTGCAAGGTACCATGAATTCTCTTCAGTACCAGGAGATATTGGATGGAAACGTGATGCAGTCCGTCACACACCTGAGGCTTGGGAGACGTTGGACCTTTCAACAGGACAATGATCCCAAGCATACCTCCAAGTCCACTAGAGCATGGTTGCAGAGGAAAGGCTGGAACATTTTGGAGTGGCCATCGCAGTCACCAGACTTAAATCCGATTGAGAACCTCTGGTGGGACTTAAAGAAAGCAGTTGCAGTGCGCAAGCCTAAGAATGTGACTGAACTGGAGGCCTTTGCCCATGAAGAATGGGCGAAGATACCCGTAGATCGCTGCAAGACACTTGTGTCAAGCTATGCTTCACGTTTAAAAGCTGTTATAACTGTAAAAGGATGCTGTACTAAGTACTAAGATTGAATGTCACTTGGGGGTTGAATAAAAACTGATAATGCTGTGAGCACAGAAAAGACATTTGTGGTTATTTCATTATAACTGTTATGTTATATTTGTCTGACCTACAAGTGCCTCTTTAATGTAAATGTAAGCAAGATGACTGAATGATCAAAAGCAATGTCAAACTGGCCAAAACACTCAATTTCAGTGGGGGTTGAATAATTTTGGTCACAACTGTATATCTTTTTTAATACTTGTTTTCACCTTTTCTATACTGTTGCGTTTGAATGCTGCTTGTAGTTAGGTGGTATTGGTAGTCGCTGCCAACATGTCGAGTGTTACGTCCGCCTATCAGGCAGGTCAGGGGCTGATGCGGTGATCCAGTGAACACTCAGTCAAATCATGTTTGTTTCCCAGTAGTAAAGAGGTCATATGACCACTGTTTACTGCTGGCACAAGGGAAACCCGACATAGGACTAATGTGCCTTCTGCCATGGGCTCCAAGCACCATTTTGGGAGAGCCTGAGTCTAATTATGATGCAAGATTCCTGCCATCTTTGAGATGCAGAGTGCTGTAGATAGCAGGTACTACATCACATAGGGTGCTCAGTGTGGAGTATGCTGGATAGGGACAGGAACCCGTTTGCCAGGGAAAGGTGAACCTATAGCCAGGGACAGGTTCCTAACAAGGAGAGACAGGGTTATGCAAAGTCTTACCTGTGAGAAAGGCCAGTGGAGAGGATGAGGTCTTAGATCACATATCCAGTGCTCTGGATTGGTGGAGGAGATACTGTTCAAGGGCTGAACTTAGTACAGCACTCCTAGCTAGGGGAGTCTCATTTGAGGAAAACTGTCTTTGGACAGTCATTCGAGAAATCACACCTTGGACAATCTCCTGCATGTAAGTCCTGCATCATTGTGCTACATAGCATTGCCATTATATATCTTTGTTCTGACTCAACTACAAGACCATAAACTTTATCTCCAGCGATGTATTCAGCTATACGACGTGGTGTTGAATCTATCTCTTGCATCGGGTCAGACAGTTTAACTCAATAAACTCACATGTAGAGGAAGTCAGATGAGGAAGACCATTCGAATGTTCCATTTAATAGAGGATAATCATAGGTAGAAAAACATTAATGTTGTAAGCCTCATGGAAAGATGCATACAGGTAGACAGGATACAGTTGAATGACTACAGAGAGCGGCGGGGGAGGGGTATACACATGTATGATGAGAGAAAGAGCTCAGCTTAGACAGGAGGAGACAGCTTAAAGACACAGAGCAATAATAAACAAGTGATGTTCACAGAGAAATAATAATAAATCAAATAGTGTAACACAACAGTCTTTGTAAGTGCCAAAAAATAAAAACACCCTGTCGATTATGATAAAAACACAAGAGACATTGTGTCTCCTGTTTCCTTTAATCCTCTGCCTCTGAGCACCTGCTATATGCTGATGTCCTGCAAACTCTTTTAGGTAGTTTAAATCTACCTGCTCTTCCTGGGTGTGACAACAGCAGAACATACCTTTGTAAAGTATGTTGGTCTGGCTACTGTTAGTCTCTGCTGCAAGCCAATCTGACAGTGGAAGAAAAAGAACTGTAAGTCCGAGAGTTGTCACCTTGTAACAAGAAATGCCTACACAACCTTTCTGGCAGGATCACCAGGTATTTTATTGAAAGCTTCAGATTTAAAAATGACTTAACATTTTTGTTAAAATGTTCAAGATCATTTGAGATTTTTTTGATTGGGTTTAGCACAGGTTTGCCATTGTCTTAAATGGTGCTAGTTCAAATCTATGTAATTCATATTCTTTTTTGATTGTCAATGCATGACAATGCAAGAAAATCCACATGAAAACAGAGATGTATAGTTATGAAGCCTGTCCAAGGGCCGCTTGCAGTGGGGGTATCGCACACTCATTTTCCTGCATAGCCTGGAAATGCGCTAACCCTCTTCAGGAGTGCATGGGGGCCATTCATTCCTAATGGCACCCCAAGCATCTAGAAAAATGTTGGCGGGTCTATGGCCACCAAAATATGTGGTACCACAGTACCATGCAGTTTGGTGGGGTGCAATTTTAAAAATTGTGCCTGCCATACTTTTTGCACGTTCCTAAGCGTTTGGCACCTCATTGAATGGGATGCTGGAAACACACATAAAACATACATGCTCGGGAACATCTATGAACAAGCCCTAAAGTGGTTGTCTGAGCTTTCAGAAAGCAGGGGGTGGAGAGTTGAAATTACACACAGTAGAGCTCAGTGCGGAGAGCTTTGAGAGCTGATTGGAGGGAAGGGACACCCCCCCCCTCCTCCACATAGCTCACAGGAACAGAGCTGAGGCTGTCAATTTGTTGGAGGTCCCTCCTTTGTCACCTTTTTTCTCTTGGTGTCAGGAAAAATTGTCAGATGGGATTCATGCTGATAGCAGAGGAATGGGGCAGCAGACAGAAATGACACTTAGTGCTCTGAATAGAGAAAAGTACACAGTATAGAGGCATCTGCTTTATACATATTTCATGTCTGAGGTTTACAACTACTTTAAGGTTACAGAAAGAAGTTAAGGGGTTATCCGAAGCAAAAGTGCCTGATCTTTTATGTAAGTGAGGCAAAAACAAAGAATCAAATTATTCACAACGAATCAAAAGTATTCTCATCAGTCTTTGTCCCATAAGAATCTTACAGTCTAACGCCCCTTCCAAAGCAATCACATAGTGCCAACTTATTCTAGGGATGGAAGAACAAATGTCATCGTCATTAAAAGAAGAACTGGCTATGTTCTATTTCTTGTGCATGGCCCCACACTTTTAAAATACAGTTCCAGTTCTCACCACGATATGAAGCACTTTCAACACAGCGTCCGATATGCCCAACGGTCCTAAAGCCTTGACAGTCACGGCCAGGTTTTCCTTTCCAATGGGAACCACAGAGAATGGGATGGAGAGAGCTGACCTGCTGGCCAAAGTTACAATCTGCTCTACAGCGCCTCCTTCAGGTGTGCTGGGGGTACACACTCCCTCTGTTTTCTCCACAAACACTTTCACCTGTTCCAGAAGAGAAGGAAAGAAGCTGAAGTATTCCAGTCTTTTGTACCATTCATGACATCCCTTGTGTGTTCTGCACAGGTTCTCTGATTATTGCGAATACAGATTACAACATGCATTATATAATTTACAGCTTTTAAACAAACGACAACAGGCTTGGCAATCCTTGCAAGGTAGAGAGTGGGAGCAACCATCACAGATATATATAATTTGGTGAGGTTATTCTAAAAAGAGGTCCAGACAGGTCACATGCAGGATGACAAGCATTAACATATATTAATATTTATCAGTTTGCAGTGTAATATATGTATACAGTGTGTGTGTGTATATATATATATATATATATATAGTTCTCAGCATAAATGAGTACACCCCTTTTGAAAAGTAAGATTTTAATCAATTTCTCAATATCTCAGTGGACACAAAGACAATTTCCAAAATGTTGCCAAAACTAACTTTTACAGAACATTTGTTTAGCTCATTACATGACAATAAGGTTAATAATATAACTTAGATTACAAAATCTTCAGTTTTACTCAAATTAGTTGATGCAAAAATGAATCCACCCCACAACAAAAACCACTCCATCTAGATTTTTGTATGACCTCTGTGATTTGTAAGGACAGCACCAAGTCTTCTAGGCATGGAATGAACAAGTTGGCAACATATTGCAACATTTATATTTTCCCATTCTTTAAGAATGACCTCTTTTAGAGCCTGGATGCTGGATGGAGAGTGATGCTCAACTTGTCTCTTCAGAATTCCCCATAGGTGTTCGATTTGGTTCAGATCAGGAGACACGGCCACTGAATCACTTTCACCCTGTTCTTCTTCAGAAATGCAACAGTAGCCTTAGAAGTGTGTTTTTGACCATTGTCATGTTGGAAAAGTTCACAACGACCAAGGGCACGGAGTGATGGGAACATCTTCTCTTTCAATATAGAGCAGTACATCTATGAATTTATGATACCATCAAAGAAATGCAGCTCCCCGATACCAGCAGCTCTCATGCAGCTCCACAGAAGGACACTGCCACCACTATGGTTCACTGTAGGCACCATGCATTTTTCTTTGTACTCACCTTTGTGATGCCATACAGTTTTGAACCCGTTATTTCAAAAACATTTATCTTGGTCTTATCACTTCAGAGCACAGATTCCCAGTAGTCTTCTCTTTCTGCATGGTCCCTGGCAAATTCTAGGTGGGTTTTTTTGTGCATGGACTTTAGGAGAGGCTTCCTTCATGGACGACACCCATGCATGCCATTCCTCTGCAGTGTACACCATATTGGGTCATGGGAAACAATCACCCCAGTTTGGCTTTCTACTGCTTTAGCTAACTGCAGTGAACTGGCATGGCGATTTTCAAAAACCCCTCTCATCAGCTGACGCTTCTGTTGAGGTGTTAACTTTCGTGGATGGCCTGAATGTCTTTTTGAGATGGTTGCAGTTCCATCTTTGTATCACTTTTGCTATAGTATTCTGTTTGATAAGTAAAGCTTTGCTGATCTTCTTGTAGCCTTCACCTTTCTTGTGTAAATGATTGTCTTTCTCAGGCCGTGTGACATTTCTCTTCCATGTGGTGCCATTGCTGACAGCATGAAATGGGAGGGGTTTTCTTTGTTAAGTAACACCCTTTTATGATCAATTGTCTGCTGGACACTTGTTTAATGAATAATTAGAATCACCTGTAGTTACATTCATGTTCAATAGGATTCTGTTGTCTAAAATTTAGCTTTGCTCCTAAGACTTTCATTGGGGTGTATTCATTTCTGCAACATGGTCCTTGAATGAATTTGTTAGGAAAAATACTTTTCTGTGTTTGCAAATTAACAAATCTCGTTTGTAATCAAAAGTCCGCATTTTTGGGAGTATTTTGTAGTATAGCATCCCATAGAAAATGTTGATTCTGAAAGGAAAGTAAAGATTTTCTGACAAATTTGTTGGGGTGTACTCATTTATGCTGAGCACTGTGTATATATATATGTATATATATATATATATATATATCTTACCCTAATATTGTAGGGCCTTGAGCCTTTGTTGAGATTTTGTCACCTGCTGTTCATTACTCAGCAATGCAGCCCAGGTCTCTGCAGCGCACACCTGCTCTATTCAAGGAAGGATAAATAGACTGATGGACATTTAACCTGTGATGAATAGGTTAGTCTTCTGCTCAATCTCTGGATTCAGGTCTCTCTGATGTTTGTGTGCTCAGGCCCTGGATTATCCCAGAAATTGTTTGGATTATATTTGTACTGAGAGCTGCAGTACGTTCCTAGAAACATGAGGTTAAGTGAGACAGGCTAAAATTAAGAAACAGTGGTGCTTTGAGAGTCTACCTAAGTTCCTTTTTGCCTATGCTCTCAACATTTCCAAAGCAACCAAACCAATTCTGTAGCACTGAACTAGCTGGAGAGCCAGCCCCTGCTTATCAATGATTGGCCACACCCACTCAGAATTCCCCCTTGTCTCCTATAGTAAACAACATGGAGTCCTACTGTAAGATGTGATATATAAAGAGGGAGACCCCCTAGTTTGGCCTCCTCTTCTGATTACCTACATCCCAGACACAGCAAGTACAATGCTGTTTCACTATCTGGATCTGATGTATTGAGATGGAAGGGTGGCGGGTAAACCAGTAAGCTACCCCCACAATACAAAGTACTGAACATAATCACACATTTTACTACTTGTCAATCTTATTCTAGCCATACAAGCTGCATTTTTTTTAGGCAATTTCAACCACTTCTAAACAGCCTTGTGCAAAAACAACTGCACAGGTCAAGACAACCATGAAATAATTGAAACAGTGGCAGATTGTCTTGATTCATATGATCATCTGTGTAATGGCAAAGCTGATTGAACGTGCATGAATGTCAGGGCTCTGTGTACAGCAGAGGTACATGGAGATCTGGCATTCCTGCCAGTACCTTGTATGGATGCAGAAATGCCCACTAGTGAACATCTATGCGCATTGGCGCATGGATGCAAGCCGGAACACGCATGCACACTTGCACACAGTTACGCACGCATTAGCCCAGTTTGGTGCCAGGTGGCCTTTATAAGGAAGCCCATCATGCTCTCAAATTGCTGGTTGATCTCTGGCTCCTCAGTACCTTTGTCCCGTGTTCCCCTGCTATTGTGATCTGCTGATACTGACTGGACTTGTTCCTGAACCTGTCTTCCCTGCCTGTCTCCTGATCTGACCTCGGCTTGGCTAACGGATATTCTCACTTGTTCTCCTGTGTATTACCCTGGCTATCTGACTACATCTGCTCTAATCCCCACCTGACATCTGACCCTGGCTCCGAACTGACTACTCTGCTGTCCTCTGCTACTCTGAAGGCCTGCTATCTCTCACGGGCACCACCTATCTGCAGACACTATTCCAGTGAATCAGCTGTGCTCCTGGGTGTAGCTCTGACAAGCATCCTCAGTCAGATCATCTCTACAAGCATTCCTGCAGGCGACCCCTGCTACTTTGGGCCTGACTCCTTCTGTCCCATCTCCAGGGGAGTCTGGAACTTAGCCACAAAGGAAGTCCTCTCTCCATTGACCTCCAGCACCAGGTACATGAAAATGAAATTGCTATGTGTGGTCAGCATTAATGAGAGGTTTGTATGTGTATGGCAGGCGTGTACTCCCCTCACCTTCATCTCCACTTCTTGAAAGTTATACAATACAGGTCTCAGCTCAATCTGTTCAAATCTCTTCACTGTCGATGGAACTCTCAAATGAATGTGGAACGGTTTGTAAACTTTCACCTTGACCGGGTCAGCCACACAAAACCCTGAAAAACAAGATGATCAGAGCAATACCAGCAAAGAGCTTCACTGGAGAAGAAGAGAAATGTACTGAAAAAACAACCAAAGTTACATTAATGCTCAATCTGTGCTTTGCAAATAAACCTTAAAGAAAGTTAGGGGCAGATTTAGGAAGGAAGTCTAGACAAGGGCCAACATGACAGGGTTAAAAGGGGTTTGGCTTGAAAGGAGTTTTTAAATATGATAAATTAAATAAGGATTGGGGTACTTACCAAGTTGGTGGGTAGGAAGGAGTAGGTGGGGCTGCAGGGGAGGATCAGTAGGAGGATCCTGGTGAGGTCGTCCATCAGAAAAGAGACTACATTGGGACAACTTCTCACCCTCCCTCCCTTCTTTGGGTTAATTATTTTGGCATTTTCTTTGTGCAGTCCAAATGGTTTGTTTTTGTCATGGCATCTGGTGGGGTACAAGGTCCTTGTATGTGCTTTATTATAGGCAAAAAATGTACATTGGTAGGGACCCAGTAGTTTGCTTGGGTTGTACCTGCTATTAGTGGTGTTTTGCAGCTGGAGGCCTAATTTTTGATTAAGCACATACTTGAAGAAGTGATCCTAACAAGGACCTTGGGGCTCCAAATTTTCATATGGTACTGACTGTTGTTGTATGTTATGTATATGATATATTTATACAATCGTGTTAGTTAAAGGGCTGCTATGGCCAATAAACTCCAGTTTGGTGTCATGTTTATTACTTCGGTAAGGAAGGAGTGAAGTGTTGGTCAAGCAGTCATAGGGACAAATATTTTATCCCCTAGTCAAGAGCTGAAAGAATTACCTAATGCTGGTAAAATGGGAATCCTATATTAGCAGGCATCCAGTCACATGGCCTATGCTGAGACATTGAGACAAGTGCTGGCTTTTTACCATTGAAGATGAAACTGTACACAGAGGCTACAATGCATTGATAGAGAAAGATTTTAAAGATCTTACCTTTTCCTGCAGACATTCCGACTGCCTGGATCTCCCATGTGGTAATAGAATCTGGGACTGGAACCCATTCACTAAAGGAAAGAAATCAGAATCTGATTTTTCTGTCATTATCAGTTTTGTACTGTTTAGAATCTTAAATCGGAACTGTATCTGAGCATCACTATCATTTTTTTTGCCTTTTTTTGGACTCTCTAGTTCCAGCACATTGTTCCTGATGACCAGTGACCAGAACTGGATGGCATACTCAAGATCCGCAAACCAGTCATCTAAAGTGGTAGTATTACAGTTTTGTCTCTTGAGTAGATACCTCTCTAAATGCAAGCTAATATTCCAAATGCTGAGCTACAATATTTCTATATTTTAGGACAAAAAAGAAAGCAAAATGTACTCTTGTGCAATCGCTGGTATTAATATTGTGCATATAAAGTGTATGTAAAGTGAAAACTTTTTTTTAAGCTTCAGAACGAGTGGGGATTCTTAAAACCCCTGTCTCTTTTTCATTGATCTGTCCCTGCTGGGGATATTCACCCATTCTATTTGTCCTGGTCACCATTGTAACTGGGACAGCGATGGGAAATTAAAAAATTTACAGTTATCACCATAACAGAAATAGAGAGAGGAAATCTCCCAGTGGGGACTGTTTTGGACATTTTCTCTATTTCCTCCACAGTACCTGTAGCTACAGAGGTCAGTGAAGACTTGTTTTAAAATTCATCTGCTGCTTATTAAAATGCTTGAGAGTTTAAAGCCTGGCAACAGGTTCACTCTAAGTCCTCGTACACACTAGACGTTTTTACAGCTGCTGTTTTTGGCTTTTGGCATCTTTATCTATAGCCAGTAAACTCCCAAGCATGTTATCCAATGTGTCCATGCACACATAGGCTTTATTAAGCATTTTTTGGTGGGAGCGTTGCTTGGCTGGAAAAAACCCCAGAACTAGTGGGTTTGTAGAGGTGTTTTTTAGCTGTAAAAACGCTCTAACACGTGTAAACATGGAAAAACATGGTAAACCGTGGCAAACCGATGTTTTGGAGTGTTTTTTTGAGCAAAAATATATTTATTTTTTATGTGTAAAAACGCTAAAAAACATACAGCTAAACGCGAATGCAAAAAATGCTAAAAAAACGCTGAAAAAAATTTTGTTAACGCAACTTTACACAGCTAACACAATCAGCGTTATTAAAACGCCCAGTGTGTTGCATGGAGCGTAAGGAAGATTTATAGGTGAAATTTTCTATTTAGAGGTTTCTGAATGATAAGTTAGCGGTTGTTGGAAAAAATGAACACTGTTCTCTGTTATCTTCAGTTGCTAAACTCTGAAACATTCACATATTTATTTATGAATGCCACAGAGTTATTAAAATAAATTAGCAGCTTGTCATTCAGGAATATTACTTTCTGTATGTGAAAAAAATTGTGATACATACGTGTGCTTTTTGTTCACCTCCACCGTCCTCCATAAGCAGCTTTCTAGGAAGTTTGAGCGTACCTGAACATCATTTTCATCTGCAAAGTCATCTTCTTCCTGATCATTCACCTGGGCTATAGAAAAACAAAATTTTTCAGAAAATTACTTTAGAAACTTGAAAGTGTGACCGCAGAAAAAGACCAAGTGGCCCAACCAGGTGCCCCTTTTTAAAAAATTATTATTAACATTTTCTGTTTGTTTTCTAACCCTTTTGCCTGGGTATAGACTGATGTTTATCTCTAAAAACAACAAAGAAATATTCCCAGCTTACTTTCCAGCCAGCCTTCAACCGACAGAATTCCCCTAACAGTTCACGTTAAAACAAGGGGTTTAGTTTGCACACATCTGCAAATACTGTACATGAGTAAGCTGCAGAGGCCATGTCAGGGCACCCCAGTATACTACAGTGTACTCTATACATTTTGAGAGTCTCCAAAGTTGGAGCACTTTCTGTGTATAATAATGGATAGATTAAGGGCATATATGCCTGGAGGGAGCCTACCCTTCCTCAAAGGTATAGGGATGCACTGGACACCCAGTAATAGCACCCCCCCGCCCCCCCACTGTGAAAATCAGTGTGCTGCTGTTTCTCCTCCCCAGCTCTCTGAGCTCCTTATGCAGCTAAGAACAGAAGGTATGTGATGACTTATAAAAAGGGAAAAGAAGAGTTTTTATTTTTTATTATATCTTTACATAAATGTTTTGCCTTTCATTTCTATTTTAAACTGAATGGGTTGTTTTGCAAGGTGAGGGTTCACATACAGTTGCAAGAAAAAGTATGTGAACCCCTTGGGATTACGTGGAGTTTATCATGAATTGGGCATAAAATGTGCTCTGAACGTCATCTAAGTCACAACAATAGAAGAACACAATCTGCTGAACATAATACTACACAAACATTAGATGTTGCCATGGTTTAATTGCACATAACATGTAAACATTCACAGTGCAGGGGGGAAAAAGTATGTGAGGCCCTAGCTTAATGACTTCTCACAGAGCTAATTGGAGCCAGGAGTGAGACAACCTTGACTCCAATCAGTGTGATGATATTGGATGTGTTGCTGACAGCTGTCCAGCCCTTAAAAAACACACACCTGTTTTGGGTTTACTGGTTTCAAAAAGCACAGTCTGATGTGAACCATGCCTCGCAGAAAAGAGCTCTCAGAAGACCAACGATCAAGAATTGTTGACTTGCATGAAGCTGGAAAGGGTTACAAAAGTATCTCCAAAAGCCTTGATGTTCATGTGTCCACGGTAAGATAGACTGTCTACAAATGGAGAAAGTTTAGCACTGTTGCTACTCTCCCTAGGCGTGGTCGTCCTGTAAAAATGACTGCAAGAGCACAGCGCAGAATGCTGCATGAGGTAAAGAAGAATCCCAGAGTGTCAGCTAAAGACCTACAGAAATCTCTGGCACATGATAACATTTTTGTTGACACATCTACAATAAGGAAAACATTGAACAAGAATGGAGTACATGGGAGGACACCACGGAGGAAGCCATTGCTGTCCAAAAAGAATATTGCAGCACGTTTGAAGTTTGCAAAAGAGCACCTGGATGTTCCACAGCACTACTGGCAAAATATACTGTGGACAGATGAAACAAAGATTGAGTTGTTTGGGAAGAACACACAACACTATGTGTGGAGAAAAAAAAGGCACAGCACACCAACATCAAAACCTCATCCCCACTGTAAAACATGGCGGAGGGAGCATCATGGTTTGGGGCTGCTTTGCTGCCTCAGGGCCTGGATGGATTGTTGTCATTGATGGGAAAATGAATTCCAGAGTTTATCAAGACATTTTGCAGGAAAACGTATGACCATCTGTCTGCCAACTGAAGGTCCGCAGAGGATGGGTGATGCAACAGGACAATGAGCCAAAGCATACAAGTAATTCAACAAAACAATGGCTGCAGCAGCACAGAATACGCCTTCTGGAGTGGCCCAGTCAGAGTCCTGACCTCAACCCGATTGAAATACTGTGGCATGACCTTAAGAGAGCGATTCACACCAGACATCTCAAGAATATTGCTACACTGAAACAGTTTTGTGAAGAGGAGTGGTCCAAAATTACTCCAGATCGTTGTGCAGGTCTGATCTGCAACTACAGGAAACGTTTGGTTGAGGTTATTGCTGCCAAAGGAGGGTCAACCAGTTATTAAGTCCAAAGGTTCACATACTTTTTCCTCCCTGCACTGTGAATGTTTACATGTTATGTGCAATTAAAACCATGGCAACATCTAATGTTTGTGTAGTATTATGTTCAGCAGATTGTGTTCTTCTATTGTTGTGACTTAGATGACTTTCAGAGCACATTTTATGCCCAATTCATGCAAAACTCCACGTAATCCCAAGGGGTTCACATACTTTTTCTTGCAACTGTATACTGTACATTAACACTGTACGTATCAAAAAATTGCAGGTCTGGCATTTTTTACAGTTTCTAGAGGCATTGGCCAGGTATGCTACAGTATATGCATAATTACATTGGCCCAAGCTGGACCAATATAACTATGTAGAAATATCCATACTTGGAGTTCTTCTTTAAGTTCCTGTAGCCCTTCTGATATGCTTTTTCCTTCAGACCTTTCACCATTTTGGTTGTCCGTTTCTGCACTTGTTTTATCTTATCAATATCTTTTCCAGAACAGGACACAGATCTATACCGAGGAATCAGGACTTTCTTCCTCTTGCTGATGATCCTTCTAGTGATGCTCCCAGATATATACTAAGCCATTGGATCACATGTGTCAAACACAAGACCCGTGGGCTGAATCCGGCCCACCAGGTCATTTCATATGGCCCCCGCACGTTTCCTATAGCTGCGGCATCCTCAACGTCTCTGCCCCCACCATGTGGACAGAACGCCACTACAAGATCCTGCACTTCTCTGTTCAACCGCTGAGGGGCTCATCTCTACACCCCCTCCCCGTTTCAGCAATTGGCAGCAGAAAGAAGGAAAGAACTCCTCCTACAGATGTTGTACCTCTCTGTTCAGTCAGAGCACCCTTTCGTTTCTGCCTCCCCGGGTCTCAGCATTCAGCCGACTCCAGCAGCTGACTCCAGTCATCCTCTAGTCCTCCTCCAGACCCTGCACTTTCTGGTTCTCAGTTTCACCCCAACTTCTTCCTAGCAGTAGCACAAGGTAAAGGGGGTGCACTGTGATGTAAGGGAGGGTGGGGGACTCTTGATTTCTGATGATGGGGGACTCTTGACATCTAATGTAAGGTGGGGGGGCGCTCTGGACATCTAGTCTTACAGATACAACCGGCTCTTTGAGAGCAACCATAATGCTAATGTGGCCCACAATGAAATTGAATTTGACACCCCTGCATTAGACCAAAGCAACAGGTCACCTTTGCACCTGAAAAACTCAAAGACACTACATTTACAAAAACATTTTTATGAAGATTAGACTATTTGAAAATAATATTTTGGCAGTTAGGAGACACTAGACAGTTAGGCCTCTTACCGTAGCATACCCCCATGTGAGTGCCATGTTTGCCCGCAGTGGGATGCACAGGTGTTCCATGCATCTGAGTGCAGGCAGTCCCATTCATTTCAATTAGGACACAGCTGCTGCTCCCAATTGGACGTCCATGTGGATACATGGCCCTGAACAAAAACAGTGTGCATTTGGGGTCATGCAGCTTCATGGCTGTCAAATGGAAGCAGTGGCTATGTCTGTACAGCTGCTACATCCCAACTGCAATGAATGGAACTGCCTGCACGGAGATGCACCAAACACCTGTGCATGCCTGTGGGGGCAAACATGGTCCTCACACAGGCCTACACCAATGTGAACAAGGCCTAAAAACATCTAGTAGTTTCTTATATCACTTGGAAATTCTGATCAGATTCTTGTGCTTGAATTACTGTTACATAAGCCTATCTCCAGAGTTAAAAGGGTATTGATATTCTAGTGTTTGGTAGATGCTATAGAATTGTACCACCTAAGAACCTTGGGATCATTAATGCATGCGTTATCCCTCTGAGCAGCGATCTGAGGTGGATCAGATTTCACAGCATGTGTGATAGGTGGTAAGGATGGGTTATGTCACCTCCTAACCACTTGTTTTATTACCTAAATGCTTGTACCACCGCAGCGCAGCAGCATGCATTGTACGATGCTGCAACACATTCACTTGACTGATTTACATTCAACAGGCAGAACATGCCAGTGGGCATAGTTTTTGCATACACCCCTATTTGGCTGTTTTTGCAGCTTAGAGGGAGTAGTTGTTGGGAGGAAGGGTCTGCACCACCACTAGGTGAACTAGGCAGTTACCGAGGGCACATGACTGCCTAGGGTGCAATCACGGCCACTGGGTTCCTTATTCTCCACCAGCTTCCTAACTAGGGTTGCCACCTCATCCCTTTAAACCTGAACACATATTAATTACACAGGTTCTGTGACTGATTAAGGTGGTAATTAAACTCACTTAGTGCCTTATCTGCATTAAATTAGCCTTTAGAATCTGTGTAATTAATATGTGTATGGGATGAGTCGGCAACCCCATTCCTAACACTCCACTCTTCGCCTGTTGTTGTTCTTCCTTTAGGCAGACACCGCCTGTGCTCTGGTATTTGTCCTGCCGCTAACTGGGTGTGATGGCTGGAAGCAGCCCACTGGTGTCCCTGGGACAGCTGAGCCCTTAGTTCCCTGGTGTAGCTGTAGATCTGTATCCCATTGCTACAGGGGATATATATTTTCACGAGATACAGATCTTCCTGCTACACCAATGAGCATATGACCTCACCTCGTTGAGTTTTTGGAGAGTAGGGGCGGGGTCTGAGCAAGGTTTGAGGGGTGTGGAGGTGGGGTCATGGATGATCTGCTGTGCAGTGAGTCACATTGTGGGAAGAGTCAAAGCGGGTTCCTCCTAGCGTTCAGTGCGGTTTGGTTTGTGGAGAGAGAGGATATGGGGATGGTGAGTATTGAAGGGGGGAGGGGTGGTCACCATGGAGATGGACAGGACCCCCATCCCCCCATAATGTCAAACAGGGAGATAAGGTAATGGGAGGTGATCTTGGTGTCCCTTCAGTACACATCTTGTGTGTCCATAGTCACACAATGTGCTCTTTACAGGACTCACCTCTTCTGTGCTGGGTGACCCCTAAAATGGAGCCCTGGGGGGGATGATAAGGGTGGCACCGGAATAAAGCCCAGGGGTGCAAGTAGCTGGTTTTGCGTAGGGCGCAAAATAGTCTAGCACCAGCCCTGCTGGAAGGTAAAAACATAGTTCGACCGCTTTTGCCTAGAGATACATTTTGATATGTGTTGGGTTGATGTGGCTATGAGATGCAATTTACTTTTTTCTATTTTTCAAAGAATTGCATTGACTTGAATGGCATAATACAGGTCCAGTTATCGAAAATGCAGCTTTCAGATTTACACACTAAAAACAAGGGGACTCTAAAATGAAGCATTCTAAATGAACCTTTTATCTGTCAGTCAGTAGTAGTTGGACACATTCAACTGGACTTGTCCTGTAATGTTGAAGATGTTTTGGAGCTTCTGCAAGCCATTTCTTCAGTTGTAATGAGTGATAGGAAGATACCCCAGCATTAATATCCACATAATTAGTACCAACACCTTAATCCAATCACCATGGACTGTTGTTCCCATCACGAATTAGAAATGAAGAAGTGGCTCGGAGAAGCTTTAAAACATCTTCAACATTACAGAACAAGTCCAATTCATGGTGACCAACTCCTACTAGATCTACCATGACCTGGATCAATGAGAACTTTACAGATTTGTATCTAACATTCTGCACCATCAGCACTCCTTACTCCTCCCAATGGTGTTTTTTTTTCTCTTCTCAATGGTGATCTTCTTGCGCAGGTCCTCAGCATATTGGCAGCATTCTAGGAAGGCATTGCGGCAGTCATTGCTTGCAACACGCTTGGATCTCTTGCCGCAATCTCTGTCCATGCGAGGAGGTAGGAGTGCCATGCCGTTGTGGCAGCATTTTTTCAGATCTGGTGAAGAAAACTTGTCGGCTGCAGAGAAAAAACAAAATTATAGCATCATAACAAGTCACCAAGAATTGATTGTCTTATGCTTGACCCCATGGCTTCTGGTCACTGATCTTAAACAAGTATGCAGATTGGAAGTACTCTGCCATTCCTGATCTGCCACATGCTCCAGGTCAGTGACTCAATATACTAAAGCCAAAAGTAGCCAGGCAGCTAGTATCTTCAGGCCACGAATAACCTATATTTCTCTTTCAGTACAGGTTCCTAAAGCCAGACTCTGGGAAACTTACAAATGATCCCTTGCAGTGGGGCTGTTTCCTGCTGTAATAGGTAATTGCTCATACAGGTCTAAGTGACATAGAAAAGAAGATCTACTTACCCGATCTTCTGCCCTACACGACTGCTCCCCAAAGTGTCTTCTCAAACATGCTTCAGTGGTCTACAATAAGTTCCTGACTTCAAGACCAATTCAGGGCTATAGCCCTGCACAGCCAATGATGGTGCCAAGGGGCAGTCCACCATCGGAGCATGGGGAAGCACCGTCTCCCCGGGGGGAGGGAGATCAGGTCATTTATAGTGAAAACCCTTTCCCTTGACTAAGGCCCCATTCACACATGAGTGTAGAGTTTTTGTGCATTTTTTTACGCATTTTGTTGCTCATTTTTATGAACGTTTGTGCATGATTTGTTCAGGCGTTTAAAGGCTCCTTGAGTTTTGGCATTTTTGTATTATCCAACAGAGAAAAATTTTCATCTGTGACATCAATTGTTACAATGTTTTTCCATGTCAGAAAAAAGCTCTTGGTCGCGTGACAAAATGCGCTAAAGCGCTTGAAAACACGCGATTTGCATGTTTCCACGTATTTCTGTAGGAATGAAAACACGCCAAAAACACATCAATCTGCCTGAATGGAGCTACAAAATGAGCTCCAAAACTTTTTTGAGTTACAGGCGTTCTACTTCAGGTGACTTGGAGTGCAGATGTGAACCACCTCCATAGAGTAATATTGATTTTTTCTTCGCTGGGCATTTTGAAGTTTCGATCTTCACTCTACAAAATGCTCAGGTGTGAATGGGGCCTAAACAAGCAGTAAACCCCTGTAGTGCGAATACAGCCCCAATGCAAGAGATTATTATTACGTTTTTCCAGTGTTGGGATTTAAAGTGATTGTAAACCTTTACATATAGCCAGTGAAGTGACTGGCCTCAGGTCATACACAAAAATGAAACAAATCCCCTACATACGTTTCCTGTTTATCTGCAGTCTTCCCTTCTCAACATCCCATCAAGGACCAGAATTTATAAAACTTGTCTGAGATTTCATAAAGCAGGGGGCAGGGAGGTAAAGCTACACTCTGCAGAGATCATTGAGGAAAGCTGAGAGCTGTTTGGAGGGAAGGGACCCCCCCCCCCCCCCACCTTCACACAGAACATGTGAACAGAGCTGAGGCTGTCAATCACAAGCTGTATGCTGGAGTTCCCCCTTCCTCACCATTTTTCTCTTGGTGTCAAGAAACTTCTCAGAAGTGACTCATGTAGATAGCAGAGGAACTGGGCAGCAGCCAGAAATGACACTTAGTGCTCTGAATTGAGACAAGTACACACTATAGAGGGATAAGCGTTGTTCATATTTCATTTCTGAGGTTTACAACCACTTTAAAGTGAACATACATCAACCCTAACTATCCTCAACTGCAGGCAGCCAGGCTCCTAGAGATGCCTTTATAAATAGGTTAGTACTCTGTAGCTTAAAGCCTCGAGTATCTCTAATATTTAAATAGTGACTTCAGTTCCTGGAGTCAGGCTTGGCCTCACCTCTGTGTAGCTTACTGTTTGTCCACTCTCAAGATGGACAGCCCCGTTGACCAATAATGAAGCATGAAGGTTGAACAGGGGCAGGTCAAATGTGATTTAGGAGCTGAAGACGCTTTGGTATTAAGAAACAACAAAAACCACATGAATTAAGTTCACCCAAACCCAATATAATTTATATTTTGATTTTAACCCTTGCTCTCTCTACTAAAAATATGATTTTTTTTTTTGTCCCTGACCCCATTATAGAGGGTTTCCCTTCATTTCCTCTGCTCACATGAAGTGGGGAATATTTTTCTCCAACAGGGACATAAATCCTCCCTACTCTATCCCAAACTAAATAAAAAGTAGATGTGCACGCCAGAAATGTTCAATTAGTCTCTGATTCATTCGTTCATTGTATATTTTCGTTTCATTATATTCGTTATGTTGAACCAATTTGTTTTCAGAATTTGTTTTGTACATTTGTTGGTCCGGGTGGTTTCAAAACATTTAGCAGTTTGTTCGGAAGATTGCAGCATATTAGCTTTCGAATTGTATATTTCGGATGGTTTTGTTATTTATATATCAAAACTATGCAAAAGGATTCGATATTTTCAGACGCAATGGAATAAGTAATGCAAAATTTGGCAGCCCCGACAAAGAGACTGACTGAGGACACTCTGTATGTAAGACAATATCCTGTCTGGGGGATTCCCTTATATACATCCCTACTAGTCCAACCCAACAAGAGAAAAGGCATGAGCTGATTGGCCAATATTGACTGGCGTCATGTGCATCCAAAAAAAATAAATGGAACGAAATTCAGATTCATTTGTTATCCAAATCTGAATTATTGAACAAATTTGAAAATTTAATTTGTTTCCCCATGGGCCAAACCTACTATCGCATCATGGGATGTCGTCCAAATGAAACAAATGCATTTGGTAATTATGTTATAACTTTTTTCCAGATTTGTTGACATTTGTTACTATATCCATTTGGAGATTAGGATACATCCGAATCTCCAAAAAAGACCAAATTTTCATCTGAACATTGATTCGTAACTTATCTAATAAAAATCTAATAACATTTTTGGCTGGAGTTGACATTTAAAGCTCATAGACTACATCTCCTTTACAGTTTAGAATTTCTTTACCTTTCTGTTTGGTGAGTGCATTGAAGTCTATGGATCTTTTCTTCCTTTGCGAAACCCGGCAGCCAAATCCTTAAAGCATAACAAAAAAAAATAAAAATGGTCCAACACAATCAACTGGGAATAAAACTGCCATAAAGATGAGCCGTTCATACTGAGCAATGGATGAATAAATACATAAGTAGAGGTCATCTTTCATAAACTATGTCAAAAACATTATGAGGTCCAAATCTAATGATACAGGCAGCTGAAGTTAGATGCAGCTCTTAACTTTTTCTGCAAACAAAGCTTGGCTCCACCCATTCCCTCCCAAGCTTGCCCATTGGTCCTTAAAGCGGACCTTCACCCTTAGGGATCATTTACACTTGATTCGACTTCAAAGAGCCTACTGCTTCAACACTTTTCTTTTATGTGTTTTTGATGCTTTGTTGATGCTTTGGTGATGCTTTTTTGAAGCTTTAATGAAGCTTGGCAAATGCCCTCTGTGTGTATTGCTTTGTGATTTGTTTTAAAGGGGCCCAGTAGAACCCCAGCTCAGTAGTACCCCCACTCAGCAGATCCCCTGCTCATTAGTACTCCTCTTCAACAGATCCCCAGCTTATGGGTACCATTGTTCAGCATATCCACAGCTTATTAGTACCATCATTCAGCATATTCCCTGCTCAGTAGTGCCCCCAACTCTGCTTATCCCCCACACAGTAGTATCCCCAGCTCTGCTGATCCCCTGCTCAGTAGTAACCCCAACTTTACTGATCCCTTCCTCAGTAGTAGCCCCTAGCTCTGCTAATCCCCTGTTCAGTAGTATCCCCGGGTTTGCTGATCCCTTGCTCAGTAGTATCCCCGGGTTTGCTGATCCCCCGCTCAGTAGTAACGCCCAACTTTGCTGATCCCCCACTCAGTAGTAACCCCCAGCTCTGCTGATCTCCCCCTTAGTTGTAACCCCCAGCTCTGCTGATCCGCTGCGCAGTAGTATCCCCCAACTCTGCTGATCCCCCACTCAGAATCAATCCCCAGCACTGCTGATCCCCCACTCAGTAGTAACCCCAAGCTCTGCTGATCTTTCTCTCTCTCTGATCCTCACTTACCTCCCGCTATATTGCTCCTGTGCTGCTAGTTTCTTCTGCTCTGGTACCCTAGCTCTGTTGATCCTCTGCCACTCAGTCCTCTCTCCACTCCCAATTCTCCTTCCACTATAGCTTTACCATGCTGCACACCATGTATGATGTCTGCTAGCTGCTCTGCTCTGGTCCAGACCTTGCTCACTTTCCTGCTGCTCCTTGCTGCACACCAAATGTGACGTCTGCACCAGACACTTCCAGAATATATACACATGAACTGGAAGTGACTGCTGATGACGTCTTTCCAGATCAATTGCTGGTTTCCCAGTGCATCCTGGGATATCATACCTGCGATATCTCTTAAGCAAAGTGAACCTAAAGCTGAATAAAAGTCTCTCAAAAGCTGCAGGTGCTGTTAGCGAGCTTTGTCATAGACTTCTAAGAAGACTTTGGAGATGCTTTGAAGTACCAATAAAGCAACATGGGGTATCATTTTTGAAGTTAAGCAAAGAAAATGCAACATGTGAACAGGACTGTAAGCTTACCATTTTATTTAGTGACAGGCGCTTTGATTGGCATTCAGAGTACTTTAAAAAAGTTTGTCCAATGCCACATTTTGAAGTAAGTGTAAACGAGACCTAACTTTCATGTTGTGCTGCCTTGCCTCTTCCCACATCCCTCTCTTATTAAGAGACATGATATTTTTTTTTACTTTTATTTTACTGCAAGGCAGCACTTCCATGTTTCTTGCTTAGGCAAGACTCTCCTGACCCCCTGAATGTGTGCAGATGTGCCACAGGTCTCAGGTGCTGAGAGATCCCTGCAGCACATCTGTGCATGTGCTGGGTCTTCCCCCATCATCTGCACATGTACGGGGTTTTGCACCCATACACAAAGACTGCTACCAGAGAAATCTTAAACCTTCCCTCTCTTTGCCTGTGGGTGCATCTGCACATGCGCCAGAATGGTGGTACCCGAGGGGGGCAGAGCTACCTGGGAGGTGGACTACAGTTTCTCTTTAATCACTTGACCCCCAGGCCAATCATGGCATTTCTGACACACATGTAAAAATTGGCATTTTTTTGCTAGAAAATTACTTAGAACCCCCAAACATTACAGTATATATATATATATATATATATATATATATATATATATATATAAATATATATATATATATATATATATATATATATATATATATAAATATATATATATATTTTTTTTTCTTTTTTTTTTTTTTAACTGAGGCCCTAGTGAAAAAAAATGGTAGGTGTTGAAATGTTTTATGTCACACAACATTTGCGCAGCGATTTTTCAAACACAAATGTTTTGATAAAAACACACTTTAATGCATTTTAATGAACACAAACACAATATAATACCCATTTTTTGGTAAAATATAAAAGATGATGTTATGCCGAGTAAAGAGATACCGCACATGTCACATTTTAAAATTGTTTATGTCCATGGAATGGCAACAAACTACAGTGCATTTAATTCTCCATAGGCAACACTTTACAGGTACATGGGCGGTCTGCTGCTAGAATTATTTCTCTCGTTCTGCAAGTGGATGTAGGGCAGTTGCACCGCGGTCGTATTCACTTGAATAAGCACGTTTAGCGGTAATACTTCCTACTGAATGTGACAGGGTTATAATTCTTGCCACAGATGCGAAGCAAGACATCACAGCTGCAGCATGTGTACGACTCCCTCTGGCTGCTGTGTTCATTTAAGGGAGCGGTATAAACTACGACTCACTGCCTGTATTGACTGCCCCCCCCCCCCAGCTGCAAGTGTAAACTAAGTCTTAATATGATTTTAGGCTTGATTCACATCTGTGCGGGTGGTGCCGCTGCGGGATCCGCACAAAAGTACCTGCAGCCGCACCACCCACACAGAGGAATGCGGACCCGCCAGCACTGGAAATCACAACCGTACTGGGAACCTCGGTTCCTGTGCGGGCTGCGTTTCCCGAAGAAGTGCAGGGACTTCTTCCCTGCGTGTCCCAAGGCACGCAAGTCCATTCAAATGAATGGGCTTTTGTGCCCGTGCAAACCCCACATATGTGAGCCAGGGGTAAAGGAGAAGTCATGACTTGCATACAGTTGCAAGAAAAAGTATGTGAACCCCTTGGGATTATGTGGAGTTTTGCATGAATTGGGCATAAAATGTGCTCTGAACGTCATCTAAGTCACAACAATAGAAGAACACTGCTGAACATAATACTACACGAACATTAGATGTTGCCATGGTTTAATTGCACATAACATGTAAACATTCACAGTGCAGGGAGGAAAAAGTATGTGAGGCCCTAGCTTAATGACTTCTCACAGAGCTAATTGGAGCCAGGAGTGAGACAACCTTGACTCCAATCAGTGTGATGATATTGGATGTGTTGCTGACAGCTGTCCTGCCCTTAAAAAACACACACCTGTTTTGGGTTTACTGGTTTCAAGAAGCACTGTCTGATGTGAACCATGCCTCGCAGAAAAGAGCTCTCAGAAGACCTACGATCAAGAATTGTTGACTTGCATGAAGCTGGAAAGGGTTACAAAAGTATCTCCAAAAGCCTTGATGTTCATGTGTCCACGGTAAGACAGACTGTCTACAAATGGAGAAAGTTTAGCACTGTTGCTACTCTCCCTAGGCGTGGTCGTCCTGTAAAAATGACTGCAAGAGCACAGCGCAGAATGCTGCATGAGGTAAAGAAGAATCCCAGAGTGTCAGCTAAAGACCTACAGAAATCTCTGGAACATGCTAACATTTTTGTTGACACATCTACAATAAGGAAAACATTAAACAAGAGTGGAGTACATGGGAGGACACCACGGAGGAAGCCATTGCTGTCCAAAAAGAATATTGCAGCACGTTTGAAGTTTGCAAAAGAGCACCTGGATGTTCCACAGCACTACTGGCAAAATATACTGTGGACAGATGAAACCAAGATTGAGTTGTTTGGGAAGAACACACAACACTATGTGTGGAGAAAAAAAGCCACAGCACACCAACATCAAAACCTCATCCCCACTGTAAAACATGGCGGAGGGAGCATCATGGTTTGGGGCTGCTTTGCTGCCTCAGGGCCTGGACGGATTGTTGTCATTGATAGGAAGATGAATTCCAGAGTTTATCAAGACATTTTGCAGGAAAACGTACGACCATCTGTCCGCCAACTGAAGCTCCGCGGAGGATGGGTGATGCAACAGGACAATGACCCAAAGCATACAAGTAATTCAACAAAACAATGGCTACAACAGCACAGAATACGCCTTCTGGAGTGGCCCAGTCAGAGTCCTGACCTCAACCAGATTGAAATGCTGTGGCATGACCTTAAGAGAGCGATTCACACCAGACATCCCAAGAATATTGCTACACTGAAACAGTTTTGTGAAGAGGAGTGGTCCAAAATTACTCCAGATCGTTGTGCAGGTCTGATCTGCAACTACAGGAAATGTTTGGTTGAGGTTATTGCTGCCAAAGGAGGGTCAACCAGTTATTAAGTCCAAAGGTTCACATACTTTTTCCTCCCTGCACTGTTATGGTTAGATGTTATGTGCAATTAAACCATGGCAACTTCTAATGTTTGTGTAGTATTATGTTCTTCTATTGTTGTGACTTAGATGACGTTCAGAGCACATTTTATGCCCAATTCATGCAAAACTCCACTCCACATAAGGGGTTCACATACTTTTTCTTGCAACTGTATAAAGGGTAGCACAGTGGCTAAATGGTTAGCACTTACGCCTGGCAGTACTACGGTCGCTGGTTCGAATCCCAACCATGGCACAACCTGCCTGGAGTTTGCATGTTCTCCCTGTGCCTGCGTGGGTTTCCTCCCACACTCCAAAGACATGCTGGTAGGTTAATTGGCTCCTGTCTAAATTGGCTCTAGTATGTGTATATATGGATGTAAGTTAGGGACCATAGATTGGATGCCCCTTGAGGGTTAGGAACTGAAATGAATGTATAATATATATGTAAAGCTCTGCGTAAATTGACAGCGCTATAAAAGTACCTGAAATAAAAAATATAACCAGGGCTGCTGTTAGAAACCACAGGGCCCCATACAGCCAACCTGACGGGGTCTGCCCCCCCCCCCCCAAAAAAAAACAGATTACAATGCTTCCGTTATGAATGAACACAGTGAGTGATCAGTACCAATCACTCATTGTGTAGATTCAGGAAAGAAAGGGGCTGGTAAATGTGACCTTCCCCCACTCTCCATCCTGAAGATTCCAGCTGCAGGTGGGAGGCAGAAGAGGGAAGCCAGCAACACTGCAAAGTGTGGGGCCTGGGCAGCAGGGGGAAACGTATGGAGCACAGGGAGGGTGATGGGTGCTGCGGGCAGCAATTACTGTAACTGATCCCCTGTATGGCTCTCTCTGCAGCAGCTGAAAGCCAGAGGGAGAGGAGAAGAAGCCAGCTTTCAGCTGCTGCAGAGAGAGCCATACAGGGATGGGTTCTGGTAACTGCCCCCCCACAATGTGTTGATCACCCTCCCTGCCCACATTTGATTCACCCCTGCTGGCCTGGGCCCTGTACAGGAGGACTGGAGGTACCCCCTTATCCACGACTCTGCATATAACTATAGCTGTTTATAACTCGGAATCTGTTTGATAAATCGATATTTGCTTTACACTGAAAGTTATGTTTTTGGGTTTTTTTTTGCCATATGCTCAGTTTGAATCGACCAGGTCTGTGATACTTTAAAGCTGGCCATACACTAGTAGAGTTTTGTTTGAGAATTTTTGTTTGTCAAATTTATTGTTAAAAGCAAAAATTTTTAAATACATTTGTCAAGTCATCGAATGTATGGAATATCTGTAAAAGCTGGACTAATGGAACTATGTACATATTCAGCTTTAAGATGTATCTTACCATCTGCTTTAAGGGGTTAAAATACCTGTCTGAAATCAGAGTGGGAGGGTCTGAACTGTGATGCAATTGGGTTCTACTGCTAAGTATAATGCTTTTAATTCAATATGTTTTCAGGCACTAGGGGCTGGAGGAAGTGATGTTCAGGTGACTTTGAGGAGGAGAGAAGTGCAGGGAGGACCTCAGCAGTGTGATAACACTCATTGATTGTATAGTTCAGCTGGCAGGCAATTGACTGTAGAGTAGTGTTGTCAACATACTAGTTTTTGAGTGTTACAGATCTGTGTGAATCACAAATCTGGCTGAACAGAATTACAAACTTTGTTGGCGGGTAAAACTGTTTAAATGTAGGTATATCAACTGTGCATTTATTAGTTTGATTGGAGTCCTGATTTAAAACGGAGAAAACAGAATTCGATTCTTTGGTAAATTCTCACCGGCCAAGTCACTGTACCCGGATGAAGAGACAAATGCCACACCGGAGTCCATGAAGACAGAATTAAAATCCCTCCCTCCTCCAGGACTGCAGCCCAGGTCATAATCATTCATGGCCTTGAACACCTTAAGGGTAAGAGAAGAAAAAGGAATGGTATATATTAGGGTATTAAAAACATGGTTTCCTATATTTTATGGGGAAAAAAAGGAATGATCCATAGGGAGACTGTCATTTATGTAAAGAAAGTATTGCACTGAGGGTGAACAATTTAAGTAAACAAACTCAATAAAAATACACAATAAAGTGCACTAAATATATAAGTAATGACAGTCCTTGAAGAACCATAGGTACTCAAAATCTTCATATGAAAAGGATGATAACAAAACAATCTTGGTGAATAAAAAAAGTCTCTTAAATGTGCAAAAGATGAAAATTCTTCATTCCAATCAAAAATCACCAACGTGAGTAGCCACCACCGTATAGAGCAAATTGAAGTCTTACCAGATCCCCAGACCTCTTAATTGCAGGAGGTCGGGATAAGCTCGATATGAGTATGACTCCGTCAGACAGATGGATTATAATGGGACCCACTGCTCCGCACTGGTGTACTCAACCATTCCGGAATTAAGATCAATGTTGGCTGCCCACAGCCATCCAACTTCCCAGACTCCTAGGAATCCTCCAATTTGTCATTTGCCCATTTAGTCTAGGGGTCTCCAAACTTTTTAAACAAAGGGCCAGTTTACCATCCTTCAGACTTTAGGGAGGCCGGCTATGGTGTCAGTGGAAGGAATAGTGCCCCACTGTAGGTAGTGGAAGGAATAGTGCCCCATCGTTGGTGTCAGTGGGAGAAACAGTGCGCTATCTCTGGTGTCAGTGGGTGGAATAGTGCCCCATCATTGGTGTCAGTGGGAGGAATAGTATCCCATCCATTGGTGTTAGTGGGAGAAATAGTACCCCTCTGTTTGTGTCAGTGGGAGGAACAGTGCCCCATTGATGATGTCAGTGGCAGGAATTATGCCCTATTGTTGGTGTCAGTGGGATGAATAGTGTGTGTTATCAGTAAGAGGAACAGTGCCCCAATGGCCAGAAAAAGGCAAGCAAAGGGCCACATCTGGCCCCCGGGCAGCATTTTGGAGACCACTGGTCTAGCCTTCCTTCCAACCCACTTAGAGAGACTTTACACTGCCCCACTGTGCTTTGGCTCTGCCAAAAAAAGATGGGAATTCACAAGCAGGCAGGATCGCCTCCTCAATGCCTGGAAAACGCTCTTCTACTGCCTAAGGAAAAGCGATCCACAACAGAAAGTTCCACCTGAGGGAGCCTAGCCTTACATAAGTAGACACCAAAATATGCAGACTGCCTGGAGCCTCACCTTGCCAGGTGTCAGCTTGTTCTTAGAATTCAGAAGGTACACCGCTGTGTCCACCGCAGATAAGGACACTGATGTTAGTTCGTCTGTTTCCATTGTCAGCATGAATGATGTCCCTGGGAGAATGCTGTCTGCTACATCCGTCCTAACTTGTAGCTGTAAAATAGAGAAATGACAAACCAATTTGAAGTCTGGCACATTTATCACCCTTAAATCCTGTACCCCCCACACTGTGATTTGTGACAAGTGTTTGCTTGGAAATGTTTAAAAATGTCTGAAAATGCTGCTTCCTACCCTCACACTGCAGTGCTCTGTACTGACAGAGCTGAGTAACAACCACGCACCTCCTCATGGCTTGTATTGCACAAAAAGTGAGGGGTGTGTCTGAGCAGGTCTGTTATTAAGTGCTGATTACTGAGTGCGCTAGGTCTAACAACCACTCTAACAGGAAACTGGAGCTGAGGATATACAAAAGGAGATTGTAAGTACAAAGTCTATCTGACTGTATAGCTATTTTTGTCACTTCAATTGAGTTTTAGGTAGCTTCACCAGAAGAAAATATAAAGCCACCAGCAATCTTGCAAATTATCAAGCTGTACGCCCCTGGATTTGTTTTCACCTGCAAGCTGCAGAAATGCCTGGACTAAAGATAACAAGCAAGTTCCAGCATAGGGTTATTAACCCCTTCCCGCCCACCTACCTTGGTCCTTTAACTGGGTCCTAAGGTGAGAGGGTGGGATGGACTTGTCAATCACGGGATCACCAACCTGATGGCTTTCCGATCATAACTAGAGACCGAGAGCTTTTGGTGACAGCTCGGTCACTGTACTGGGAGCACACAGCAAGCATGCTTTGAGCAGAGAAACCTCAGCCACCATGGACGCATGTGTGTAGCATGTGGGCATAAAGGCCCACCCTCCATGACATTGCACATACAGTATGTGTTACGTGGACGGTAGTGATGGGATGGATGTTCGAGTCGAACGTAAGTTCAACTCGAACATCGGCCGTTCATGTGTTCGGTGAACACACAAACAATAAAGGCATTCGGTGGGCTGTTTGCCTGCCATGCCCCACAAAGCACTGTGCTGTGGCAGTGCATTGTGATTGGCCAAAGCAATGCGCCTGACCACAGGTGCAATGCTTTTGACAATCACAGCACAGTTGGGCGGACCGATCAGTGGGAGTCGGGTTTTGTTTTAATTTTGGCGAACCAGAATCATCATGACAATGCTGGGCACTGACTGATTGATGGTAGATTACAACGATGGAACCATTTCTCTGGCTTTATATTTTTTAAATAAAGGAGTCATCAAAAACTATTGTGTTATTATTCACACTTTACACTTTTTTGGTGAATGGGTAGGGGTACATAGTACCCCATACTCTTTCACAAGGGGGGGTCTGGGATCTGAGAGTCCCCAGATTCTGATAAGTCACCCCCCGCAGACCCCCACAATCAAAGCCCAGGGTTGTGGGGAAGAGGCCTGTCAACATGGGGACAAGATACTTTGTGGGGGGAGCATCCCCCCATTATGAGGGCATGTAGCCTGGCATGGTTCATGAGGGGGGGGCGGGGGGCGCTCACTCATCCCCCCCCTTTTATGGCCTGTCAGTCCCGTGCTTGGATCAAGGGTCTGGTAGGGATTTTATTGGGGGCTCCACGCTTTTTATCTCCCACTTTTTTGGGGTGGGATTTCCCTTAAAATTCCTATCAGGAGTAAAAGGCTACGCACCTTTTAAAATTATTTTTTTTTTACTGTGGGGTCCCTCCTAACATTCCTACCAGATCTAAGTCTGGTATGGATTGGGTGGGGACCCCACACTGTTTTTTTTTAATAATTTATATTTGCCTGCTTAGCTTTGGTGAGTGTTTAAATTCTTGACACTCTCATTTCTGATCTCCATTAACACTGTTGACACAAACTTCGCAGCCTGGACCTTTCGCTTCCCTTGCTTTCCCCTTTTTTTTTTTTTTTTTTGCCTCTTATCCCCCCTTTCTCCCTCTCCCCCCCCCCCCTTTTTTTTTTTTTTTTTCCCCCCTCTTTCTCTTCTCTCTATCTACTATGACTCCCATTCTTTTCCTTTTCTTATCCTTTTCTTTCTTTCTATTCCCCTTTTTTCTTCTCTTTCTCGACAACCTCTTAGTCTTCGATCAGGCTTAGTCTTCATTTTATCCAGGATTACTTGGTATATGGTTAGCTTATCTCTTCTAGGATAGTCAATGGTACTCATGACATCTTCTCTTATACTGCGATGCTCATTTGGCCTCATGATAGCGTACTGCTTTTGGTTTAGGCTCTGAAGGTTCATTTTCTCCATGCATAGGCCAGTACGCCAATATTCACTTGGTGGAAGTAAGCTGTTATTACCTTCTCTATTGTACATTTTTGAACCTTGAGTACTACAGGCCTATCTCTGCCGTAATTTGCCATGCTTATGTTATCCACAGTGTCGCACTCTACCATGTTGTTTCTTCCTGTATATTGGTTTAAGCTGTAACTATGACCTGATTGATGCTGTATGTGCATTTCTTTATATTTTCCTGTAACATGTTGTCACTTCAAAATAAACTTTTATGGAATAAAAAAAAATGTAATTTAAAAAAAATCCTGCTGCAGCATGTTCTATATATTGTACAGATGTGCAACTTTGCAGGTAGTTTAAGGGGACCCCCCCCCCCCCCCAAGGCATGCTATTTAAAGGATTTTTTTTTCTTTTCAAAACAGTGAAATTCACTGGCCCATGTCCCTCAGGGCAGTACCCAAGTCCCCATACCCCTTTTATGGCCAATAACTTGCATTTAAGCCTTCAAAATGGGCACTTTTGAATTTACAAGTTCAAGTTCCATAGACTTGCATATAAAGTTCGAAGTTTGCTGTCGAACTTAGGTTCAAATGTTCGACCTCAAACCGAACAGGGGGAGTGTTTGACCCATCACTAGTGGTCGGCAAGAGGTTAACAATAGCTTATGGTGGATGCAGGAAGCGCCTACTATGGTATAACCATTCTGTGTACTAGTTTGATTGTAAAGTACCTAGAGGCAGGATAGTGTTGGAGGCTTTTTTTTGTTATTTTTGAACAATAGGGTCATCTGGCAGCCAAGGCAAGGATTCCAAAGTCCCGGCCCGCCAAGGTTGGGCTTGCCTATACTGTACGCATGAACAGTGGGCAGGCCAGCACAAAGTGCAAAAAATGTCCACTGGTCTTAGGGTTACCATGTTTTAGTCCAGGACAACTAAACAGGATGGAAGGTATTGCAATCTGAATAAACCAGTATGATTTAGACCCAGGGGCGGACTGACAACTCATGGGGCCCCCGGGCAATAGGAGATCATGGGGCCCCTGTGTCCTTGCCCAAACTCAATAAAGCCTATGAAAAAGGTACCAGGGGCATCTCATGGGGCCCCCTACTGACCCCGGGCTCTCGGGCAGTGCCTGAGTTTCCAAATGGTCAGTCCGCCCCTGTTTAGACCCCATACACACTGGGCGGTTACCCCGGTTCATGAAATCACGGTGTTTAGGCATGGGCAGAAAGCACAGGCACACTGTCCAGCCCCACTCTTGTAAAATTCTATGAGAAGCTAACAGCTGCTACACCTGGACAGAGTGCCGAGCGGCACTAACTATTAAGGCAGTATATACCCAGGAATGTAGGACTAAATAGACAGTGCTACAACCCATTCAGCTCACCCCCTTCCCCCCCCCCCCCAAGCCACATCTTGATCCAGCGATGTACATGAGAGCAGTGGGTCTCTTGGATGTCTCTCTCCTCATTGGCTCACTCAGCAGCTGTCAATCACAGCCAGTAAGGCAATGAGGAGAGGTGGGTGGGGGTGAGCATGAATGGACACAGTGTGGCTCAGGAGTGAGCCTGCTTGAGTGCCCCTATAGCAAAAGGCTTGCTATTAGGGACATTCAACAGGGGGAGGAGCCAGGACCGCTGGTGGAGGACCCAAAAAGAAGAGGATAGGGTCTGCTCTGTGCAAAACCATTACACAGAGCAGGTAAGCATAACATGTTTATTTTTATTTTTTTTTATGCTTTCCTTTAGAATCACTTTAAGTCCACCGTCCACCATCCTGACAGGCAGCATTACCTTGCCTTCACAGACATCGCTGACGTCTACCCACACTGAGTTGGCCACAGTCTCCGAGTCCAGGTAGTAGTAGGCGATAATGCGAAAGGAGGGGATCAGTTTGGTTGAAACAGGAACAGAAAACACAATGAATTCACTTTTCTCTATGGACTTCAATTCCAGGATCTGACCTTTGTTGAGCACCTACAAAAAAAAAAAAGAGGAAACCTAAATGGTTACACTGCACAAATCAATAGGGCAACACCGGCATTAACAAATCACATTATTTTCTTCAAGGGAAACTCTAGGGGAAAAAAAATTTCCTTTAAAATATTTTGGAGTGCCATGGCGCTGACTGCTGACGCTATCCCGTTTAGATACAGCATTTATCTATCTCACAATGTTGTGCAATAGAAGTTACCCTATTGCACCTGAACACTGCCCTGGAGGGTGGAAAGAGGGATGGTTATCGCTTACTATTTGTTTATGGTGCTTATATAGCACCATCAATTTACGCAGCGCTTTACACATATATATTGTTACATTCACATGGGTCCCAAACCCTCAAGGGGTGTACAATCTAAGGTCCCTAACTTACATTCATACATACACATATCAGGACCAATTTAGACAGGACCCAATTAACCTACCAGCATGTCTTTGGAGTGTGGGAGGAAACCGGAGTACCCGGAGGAAACCCACGCAGGCACAGGGAGAACATGCAAACTCCAGGCAGGTGGTGCAGTGGCTGGAATTAGAACCAACGACCCTAGTACTGCAAGGCAGAAGTGCTAACCATTTAGCCACTGTGCTTACTACACCTTTTGCTGTTTGGGGGTCCCATTAGGATCGCTGTTATACCTTGATATTGTTATGAAGGTACTCCGCTACCTGTATTTTTTTAGATACTTTGTACTGTTCTGTCAGAGTTTGATGTTATGATATCCAGCATATCTTGCAAATATTTTTGTATTCTCTTAGAGTTGATTGTAGCCATATTAGTGCATTTGCGACAGAAACAATTGAGTACGGTCCGCTTAGACCTGAAGAAGGGGACATTCCCCGAAAGCTTGTCCTCAAAATTGTATGTTAGTGCAAATAATAAAAGTATCACGGACAGTACTCAATTGTATTCTCTTAAAAATGTTCAATAAAAATTATTGGAAACGAAAATATATTTCCCCTTAGCTACAAAGGGATAAATCCACCTTGTACGCACCAAATCCCTTTAAGTGTTCATGTACACTGCAGCTCCTACACTGACGTTCAGGAGCTGTTCAGCGGTATTTTCAGCAGCCCCTGAACTCTCCCTAATGTTGTCCTATGTGTCCATGTACACATCGTCATTTACAGTCGTTCACAGGTAGTTGAGTTTACAGTTGGTTTTTTGAAAGCACCAAATTTGCGCTCAGGAGTAGATTTTACTGGCATTTCAAGTGCCAAACGCTTGTAAATGCGATTAACCGCATTTATAAGCGTTTGCGTTTAGAAGCGTTTTTTAACTGTTCCATGTCCAGATGCTGTCCAGAGCCTTTTTTCATCATCAGAAATGCATGCAAAGCGTTTTCCATGTATTCAAATGGACCCGGTACACCAGCGCAGTCAGTTCCATTTTTTGCGTGAAGGAATAAATGGTAGAACGTGCCGCATTATGCTCATGATGGGATCCTTAGTGAATACAACCAGAAAAGACAGGTCATCTCAACACATTCTGAGCTCTCTGCTTCTGCTCTCTCTATTTCTCTCAAAATGTCTGAAATTGTAAATTTTTTACTATTTTTCAGTGCATTCTGGGCATTTGGGAAGGTCTCCTGAGGTTATCTTTTAAAAACGCTTCTAAATGCAAACGCACATAAAAGCGGTATGCAAATGCAGCTAAACTGATGTTTTTTAAACTACGTTTTCCAGCAGTCAGTTTCCATCATTCAGAAGAGTTTTCCCCGTGCACATGAATCCTAAACACCCAGATATTACCTTGTAAAAGTAGCAGTCAGGGGCGGGCGGACTGACAACTCATGGGGCCCCCGGGCAATAGGGGATCATAGGGCCCCTGTGTCCTTGCCCACACTCAAAGCTCACCCAAAAAAGCCTATAAAAAGTACCAGGGGCATTTCATGGGGCCCCCTACTGACCCCGGGCCCTCGGGCAGTGCCCTAGTGCTCGAATGGTCAGTCCACCCCTGGTAGCAGTGATATCATTACAGTGCTGTACATAGCCTGTGCAGAAAGCAGAGCTGTGGGAAGGGCCCAGCACCTCCACCCATTACAAGCTGCCTGCAGAAAACTACAGGAGGGGAGCGGAGACAAGACCAGTCACCCTGCACAAGGGGAGAGAGTGGCAGTGACCAGTCTTTATTACAGGAAGCTCCTGCACAGAGGCAAAGTTTCACATCAGGTTACTCCATAGATTTGGAAGAAATACACAGTGCACACCAGTATTCAAGAAAGAATACGCATGTCATGTTTAAAAGCGTTTTTGCTGTGTTTAGAATTTTTCAGTTGCCAGGTCTAGGGGAGTTCCAGGGTACATGTAGCTTAAAAGATGCAAAAACCAAATCTGTGTTCTTACAGTCCTCATATATTAGGGTACAATCCTATGATCCTAAGATGAATTGGAAATATATATCCAAAAACGTTACTCTCAATCAACTGACCCAGATTCATGGACATGCTGAGTGTGGTTTCTTGTTACAAGTTTTTTTAAAATCATTTTTATATTTCAATTAAGTATTTTTTTTTTTTATTGACATCCAGTTAGTGTGTTACTTCCTTCCAGGAGTTTGGTTTTAAAACAGCAAACTATGCCAACGCAAAGGGGTTAATTTACTAAATACCAATATCCTGTGCACTTTGCAAGTGCAATTTTTCCACAGCTTAGTAATTGAGGTAAATCTTCATTTTAGAAAGAATACAAGGGGAAAAAAAACAGCATTTTTGCACATGATTGGATTGTGGAAGTCAGCAAAGCTTCCCCTCATTTACTAGCTCTGGAATAACAGCACTTGCAAAATGCACAGTCTATTAGCCTTTAGTAAATCCACCCCAATATGTATTGACACAGTTGATTGCAGTCTCCACCAGGGGACATCAAGGCAAATGGGGAAATTGTCTTGATTTCCTGTCCTAGAGACACTATAGGAAGTGATCAGAATCAGCAAATTTCCCCTCATTGACAGATATCACTGGAACAAGTGTCCCCATTGAAAGATTTAACCTTACTTCCTGTTCTGGTGAAAACTATAACATTTTGCATTTTTTTTCACATTCTGCACTGGTGACAATGGGCAAATAGCGAGGGTGAATCTACCCAAAAGAGACACAGACGGCAATAATAAGAATGAAAAAGAAACATGGTGGGGATGCTAACACTTTTCCCTTTATGGTTATGCTATGTCCACTTTCAGGATGTTCGGATGACAGGTGCTCGCACTTTTGGGACTCACTCACCATGTAATAGATTCTCCTGACACTCCCAGACTGAGGAGTGACCACCTTCAAAGTGACCTTTATGCTTTCCCCAGGGCTCAGAACCTGGCTGGGAACATTCATATGAAGGAAGCTGTTGGTTTTTGATGTATAGGAAGTGAGATGTATTCTTTCCTCCTGTCGACCGTCACTTCCTTCCGCTCTGATCTGTTACGGCACAAATGAAAAATGATTGGGTTAAATATAGGTATAATATTCATTATATGTATAGAAAGAACCATTTAAAGCATATCCAAACCCATTCTTAAACACCCCCTAATACATCTCGATCCAGCGATGTGCATGAGAGCAGCTGCTCTCTCCACTCTCTTCCTTCCCATTGGCTGAGGCACAGCAGCAGGAGAATTCGCTACTGTCTATCACAGCCAGTCAGGAGGGAGCGGAGAAGGCAACTGAGACCTGTTCTGTATGTCAATGGACAAGCATGTACAAGTACCCCCACAGCAAGTGGTGCTATGGGGGCACTCTGCAGGGTTGGGAGGGGGGGAGGCAAGAGCAAAAGCAGGGAACCCAAGAAGAGGAGAATCAGGGCTGCTCTGTGCAAAACCATTACACAAAGCAGGTAAGTATACCATTTTTTGTTTGCAATTCGTACCTTTAGTATTACTTTAGGACATCTGCGCAGGGGGTGCCGCTGCGGGACCTGCACAGATATATATACACACACTATATTACCAAAAGTATTGTCCCCGCCCTCCAAATCATTGGATTCAGGTGTTCCAATCCCCTCCATGGCCACAGGTGTATAAAATCATCACCTAGGCACACAGACTGCTTCTACAAACATTTGTGAAAGAATGGGTCGCTCTCAGGAGCTCAAGGAATCCAAGTGTGGTACCGTGATAGGTTGCCCCCTGTGCAATAAGTCCATTCGTGACATTTCCTGGCTACTAAATATTCCACGGTCAACTGTTAGTGGGATTATAACAAAGTGGAAGCAACTGGGAACAACAGCAACTCAGCCACCAAGTGGTAGGCCACGTAAAATGACAGAGCGGGGTCAGCGCATGCTGAAGCACACAGTGTGCAGAAGTCACCAACTGTCTGCAGAGTCAATAGCTAAAGACCTCCAAACTTCATGTGGCCTTCAGATTAGCACAACAACTGTGTAGAGAGCTTCATGGAATGGGTTTCCATGGCTGAGCAGCTGCATCCAAGCCTTACATCACCAATTGCAGTGCAAAACATCAGATGCAGTGGTGTAAAGCACGCTGCCACTGGACTCTAGAGCAGTAGAGATGTGTTCTCTGGAGTGACGAATCACGTTTCACTGTCTGGCAATCCAATGAACGTGTCTGGGTTTGCCGGTTGCCAGGAGAACTGTACTTTCCTGACTGAATTGTACCAAGTGTAAAGTTTGGTGGAGGGGGGATTATGGTGTGGAGTTGTTTTCCAGGGGTTTGGCTTGTCCCCTTAGTTCCAGTGTTCTCTCGGGTGATGAATTACACTTCTCGGTCTTTCAATCCGATGGACTGTGGGGTTGTTTTTCAGGGGTTGGGCTTGGCCCCTTAGTTCCAGTGAAGGGAACTCTTAAGGTGTCAGCATACCAAGACATTTTGGACAATTTCATGCTCCCAACTTTGTGGGAAGAGTTTGGGGATGGCCCCTTCCTGTTCCAACATGACTGCACACCAGTGCGCAAAGCAAGGTCCATAAAGACATGGATGAGTGAGTTTTGGGTGGAGGAACTTGACTGGCCTGCACAGAGTCCTGACCTCAACCTGATAGAACACCTTTGGGATGAATTAGATCGGAGACTGCGAACCAGGTATGTCTTGTCCGACATCAGTGCCTGACCTCACAAATGCTCTTCGGGAAGAATGGTCAAACCTTCCCATAGACACACTCCTAAACCTTGTGGACGGCCTTCCCAGAAGAGTTGAAGCTGTTATAACTGCAAAGGGTGGGCCAGCTTATTATTGAACCCTATGGACTAAGACTGGGATACCATTAAAGTACAGTACACATGCATATAAAGGCAGGCTTCCCAATACTTTTGGCAATGTAGTGTACCATTTCATTCATCCACCAAGAATGACCCATTAGGGGGTCTGCTTGAGTCTATATGTATAACATTGGTCACCGATAATGCATGTACAGTATATGTGTATATACAAAATGTGCATATGGTTCCAGCACTGTCCTGCTTGTCACATGGTCTTATGCCAGGAGGACCAAAGACGAGTTGATCTAAACAGCTCTATAGAATTTCTGCTGGTTACCGTAAGGTCCAGGGACTTCTCCTTTGCTTCAGTGTTGATCTGGAAGACGGCTTTCCCATCCTCATCTGATAAGAAGGAGCTCAGTTGTGTGTTCTGTTTCAGAAGTTTAACCGGGACACCCCTTGCCAGTGTGCCGTCTGTGTAAGTGACTTCTACCTGTGTGATAGTATAGTAGGAAACATTGTTACTGTTCAATCAAAAGAAAAGTCATCCAGGGGAAGGGGCGGACTGACAACTCATGGGGCCCCCGGGCAATAGGGGATCATGGGGCCCCTGTGTCATTGCCCAAACTCAAAAAAAGCCTATGAAAAAGGTACCAGAGGCATCTCATGGGGCCCCCTACTGACCCCGGGCCCTCGGGCAGTGCCCGAGTTTCCAAATGGTCAGTCCGCCCCTGTCCAGGGGAAGGGTTGGGTAATTACTCTCTGGCTTCTACAGTAAGACTCATAACTTACCCAAGGTGGCATTTCTTCAAGTTCCATTTAAGTGAATGGAGCCACTCAACAAGCAACCCACAACTGGGCACAGTGTAGGTGGTTGTAGCACATTAGTGTGGGGTTCAAGGAATTAAAGCATCAGTGAAGAGGCAATACAACGCCTCCTCACCTCTTGTCAAATGCTTTCTAAAGTGCGATTCAAATGTGGATCATGGGCCGGATCTAGGGGGTTGCTGGGGTGGGGTGTGCTCTCCCAGATTTTAGCTGTGCCCCTCCCAGGTCTCAGAGTGCATCCACTAATCCATGAGCCAGTCTGATGCAGACACCTGATGTAAGGAGGCACTCTGATGATAACAATCCATGTAAGAGGGAACTCTGATTCGGACATCTGATATAAGGGGGAACTCTGATGGGGGATGGGGATACCTAATGTAAGGGGGTACTCCGATAGGGACACCTGATGTAAGTGGCACTCTGATGGGGATATCTGATGTAAGGGGGCACTATTCCAGGAACCTGATGTAAAGGGAGGCTTTGATGGGGACCTGGATGTAAGGTGGGCTCAGATGGGGACCCAGATGTGCAGGGGGACTCCTAAGATGTATGGGGGACACCTGATGTAAGGGGGCACTGTGATGGGGACACCTGATGCAAGAGAGCACTCTGATGGAGACACCTGATGTAAGGGGGCTCTGATCATCAGGGCCCCCTTACATCAGGTGTCTCCATCAGAGTGCTCCCTTGCATCAGGTGTCCCCATCACAGTGCCCCCTTACATCAGGTGTCTCCATCAGGGCCTGATGGAGACACCTGATGTAAGGGGGCACTCTGATGGGAACACCTGATATAAGGGGGCACTCTGATGGAGACACCTGATATAAGGGGGCATTCTGATAGGGCCACCCAACATAGGGGGGCACACGTTCTTTTTATTCACTCTAATCTATAACAGCTTATTACATACTAGTGTTTCCCAAGTTGTGACACCGTATGACAGATTGTCAATGACTCACACAGTGTTGACATTATGCCCCCTGACTCTTTTTTTCCTGCACCCCCAGATCAGATAGGCTGGATTCGGCCCTGATGTGGATTGCTCTTTGCAGACCAAAGCTACTGTGTATGAGCCCCTAAAAGTAAACCCTGTAAACTTTTCTTTGTTTAAAAATTTCAGTACATATACTGAAAGGACAAAATACTTTCAGTGGTATACTTAAAGTGACACTAAGCTCTGGTTAAAAAAAAAAATTATATTAAAAGTATGTAGTCTTAATAAATCTAGGCAGCGCTATGGCGCATTTTGCATATACTATGATTTAGTGGCCACTTGCGAAATGCGTCAATACTAAATATAAAGGCAATAAATAAATATGACTTAAAGTGACATTAAGCTCTGGTATAAAAAAAATTCTATTCAAGTATGTATTACAAACTCAGAAAGCTCCTTCTATTGCTCTCAGCCTCCTTCAAATCTCCATTTTTTTTTTTTGTTGCTGCTGTGATCTGACTTTCTGTTAGAGGGTGGCTACATTTGTTGTATGTAGGAATGTAGCCACCCTCTCTTGCTTACTCCTGAGGTGGACAGTGGACTATGGGGTGTGTAATGTGCATAGAGCAATGCACATGTCCAAAACTACCATGCACTGCTCATTACAAACAGAAATGAGAGGGAACAGGTTCGGGCAGGGGCGGACTGACAACTCATAGGGCCCCCAGGCAATAGGTGATCATGGGGCCCCTGTGTCCTTGCCCACACTCAAAGCACACCCAAAAAAGCCTATAAAAGGTACCAGGGGCATTTAATTGGGCGCCTACTGACCCCAGGCCCTCGGGCAGTGCCCAAGGGCTGGAATGGTCAATCCACCCCTGGGTTCGGGAGCTCACAGAGGACGTTACAAAGAGGCACAAAACCACGATAAGAAATTATTTTGTGAAAAATAGATTACAGGGCCATTAAGATGTGTATAGATTATTTTTGGAGTATAAGAATATTGTTTAGTGTCACTTTAAAGAAGAACTCCAGACAAAGTTAGTTTTTCAACTTTTCTGGCATATAAGAAGTTAAGTGCAACATGGTGTATGCCACCTCCTGGAGCTCACTCTCTTTTTTAGTTTTTATTTACTGTTTCACTAAGTGCTGAGATTGGTACTTCCTGGCGCTCCAACAACCCAGCTATAAGTGTCTTACACAGCAGCTGTAGCAACGTTTGTAGTGGCACTGAACCAAATAGGACCAAAAAGAGAAGTTCATTGTTTGGCTTCACATAGACTTTAATCTTTCAACACACCCCACCCCCTAAACAAATATGTCATTACTCACCACAATCTGTGTTGGGGTCCCAGGGGTGTAATATTTCTTCGTTTTGGACAAATCAATATTGTATGGGGAAGTCACAAACTTTACAGAGGTCAGCTCCTTTTCTTCCAGAGTTCCGGCTACAAACAGAAGAACAAGAGAAGGTTCAGAAGGACACTGGCCAGGTTTTACCAGGACAAGCCAACACTTTTATAAAGCTAAAAAAAAATGCAAATGGAGGAGTTTTTCAAACTGGGTTTCAGACTGTCCCCAAGAGATCATGTTCTCCAAGGGGTACTCAAGGGATGGAATTGAGGAACACTAGAGGAACACATCAAATGGGACTTACAAGCCTTCTCCAATACAGTAGCTGCAATGTAGAATGTGGATCCCACCAAGTTCTCTGCTGGCTGAGCGGTCTTCTTCAGGATGTCATCTTTGCTTATTTGAACTGTACCTTCTCCGTCTTCCATCTGGAAGAAACAATCATTGCTTGTGTAACCTTATAAAACCTTGTCAACTGTGACCCCCAAAGTGTAGCATGTCCAGGGGTGGACTGACCATTTGGAAACTCGGGCACTGCCCGAGGGCCCGGGGTCAGTAGGGGGCCCCATGAGATGCCCCTGGTACCTTTTTCATAGGCTTTTTTGAGTTTGGGCAAGGACACAGGGGCCCCATGATCCCCTATTGCCCGGGGGCCCCATGAGTTGTCAGTCCGCCCCTGACCATGTCTGTGACTAATGTACACATGAGAGAACTGGAGAGATTTTACTGACATAACCAACAAACATGGGTAGAGGGTGTGCTTTGCCTGGTTTGATACGTGCTACATACACAGTGGCTTAGTGGCTTACACATATGCCTTGCAGCACTGGGGACCCTGGTTTAAATCTTAACCAAGACACCATCTGCATGGAGTTTGTATGTTCTCCTTCTGCTTTCATGGCTTCCCCACACTTCAAAGACATGCTGGTAGGTCTCTGGCTCCTGTCTAAAAATCAGCCCAAACATGATATTCTATTGAGCACGCCCTATCTCCTATCTGTCCCAACATCAATTTGATAAGTACGTACTCCAGGGTTGATTTAATAATGGCAAAAAGGGTGATCCTATTGCAAGAAAATTTTGCCAGAGCTTAGAGAATGAGGAGAAGCCCTGCTGCCTTTCTTCATCCAATCATGGAAGAAAAGTACTGTTTTTTTTTTTTTTTCTTAGACGTATTTGGCATCCTTTGCAAAGTGAAACATTAACACATTCACTAACTTCTGGGGAACATTCCCTTGCAAAGTGCATTTCCCTTACAAAGTGCAGCGTGAACAGTCTATTTGTCTTTAGTAAATTAACTCCTTTGAGTACCCGGGGAGAAAATTGAAATGTCAATAAATTCTATTTTGCCTAAGTTGTGCAAAGTATAAAAGTCTTAAATCAGCTGCAACATCCAACCTCTGAACAGGTCTTGATTTCTGAATAGCTAGTTTAGGCCATGACATGGTTGACAGGGGTTGCTACCTACATATCATGCCGTGTCCTCAATGTTAATTTACCTACACACTGGGATTGATATTCTAAAGACATATAGCTCACTTTGCAAGGGTATTTTTTCTTAACTTAGATAATGAGTTGAAAATTCACTTTATAAGGGATCATGTGAAAGGAAAAATTAAAAAACCCAGCGTTTTTGCTTGCATTTGATTGGATGCTGGAAGTCAACAGAACTACACCTCATTTACTAAGCTAGGGGAAAATTGCCTTCTGTAGTGTAATAGCAATTTTGGAAAACCAGAAAACTCTGGACATGAACACCTGAGGAAAACAAGTGATTTATTAAAAATGGCGCTATTTTGACCCAGCCGGGCTCATGCCTGCAAAGCCGAGTGATTTGTATCTAGTTCTTACAAGCGTATATGCCAAGGATTACGTTACAATGCATACACTCCTTCTTTCACTTTCTATTCACTCAAAAGACTTTCTAAACTCTGCAAAATATAACCTTGGAATAGCCACTGCAGATAAGGGAACTAGCCACAAGCCGGCACACACCACCCACAGGAAACAAGGGAGGGGTAAAATGAGCTGTAAACCCCGCCCCCACAAACACAGGCCACTAGAAGCACCAGAGTCCAAAGGGGAACTCCACCACATCTGGGCGCCACCACAGTAGCACCCGCCTAGGTAAATGTAGTTCTTTAGCTCTCCTGTGACAGTGGCTGCTACCCTTCTGGGCAGTCCAGCTGTGCATTTTTCATTTGTTCATCAAGGTCCCAGCTATGCTAGCTGGGGGGCCTATTCTATTGAACTCTGCTGGAGCTGATTTAGGGATTTCCATTTGAGGATCGGGTCTGAAGAGTTCACAGGAGATATGTCTGGCTGATATTGGAAGAGGGCATCCAACTATCCAAGGACATTTGTGACCCTGCACCCATCCAAGTTCAACTTTAATAAAGCATCAGAAAAAGGATACCCCTAGATTGCTTACTAAGCCAGAAGAGTGACTGAGACTGTGCCTAGCTGCTAGTGCACTTACTGTGGAAAGAACCTTGGGACCAATCAGTAGGGTCCTTTAGGGGGTGAGCGCTACACGTAAACAGTGCTAGGAAGAAATCCTCTATTAGTCAAATTATGCCCTCCTTACCCCCAATCCACTTTCTTTCTTGAGAGCTGTAGCTCATTAGAGGAGGTTAGTGATCAGTAATTTTGAAAAATGTCAGCACTTCTAATGCACAGAGCAGGATATGCTGTCAAGCCAATCCCTGCAGAATACACCAAAAGAGTGGACATGATGGCTCTAGGGCCCCAGCTGTCCCCATTAGCCACTGCTTCACCTAAGGCAGGTGCCTCTTCTGCCTCTGTGACCACCTGGCCCTGACTGTACAATATTTGGAGGGTTTTTTTAGCATAAAATTAACATTTTAAAGTTGTACCTGGAAATATTAACTTTCCTAAAACATTATAAGCTACAAAAGGTTCAGGAAAGACAATGAAAGAGATTCTTTCTTACCTTCACTTGCTGTTCCAAGCCTTGTAACATCATTTTCTTCCCAGTTTGGTCTATTATTCCAACACGTACATGGACTACATGGACTACGCCATTTACAGGTTCTCCATACACAAACCTGTACCGAAGAACAATCAGCAAAGATTGAATGATTCACGTCAGCAAAATATCACCTAATCGGGGATGGGACAAGGGGTAGGCAGGAGGGGTGGATGCCCTGGGCACTGTGATATCATGTGAGGTAGGGGGGGCCACAACAAGGGGATTGGAGGGAGGGGATTTGTGTTGGAAGGAGGAATTTGGGGGGTGGCAGGGGAGAAGTATTTTTCTAGGAGGCGAAATTTGGGGGGGAGGGTGGTATGCTAAGAGTGGTGATTTAGGGGGATTTGTGTTGGGAGAGGGGATGGGGGCTTGTGCTGGGAGAGGGGCTTTGCAGTGGGGAGGAAGATGTGTACTGGGAGGGGAAATGTTAGGGGTAAGGGATTTGCGCTAGGAGAGTTGTGAGGGGGCAAAGATTTGTGCTGGGAGGGGGGGGATTTCAGCACTGAGGCGGATTTGTAAATATATTTGGAAATATCTGTGATAATCACTGTCACACTAAACAGGAAGGTAACAGAGTTTAAAATATGGTAATGCTCTTCAATAAGACAAGGATTCTTTATTTCCTTTTTAGAACATTGCTGTACATGCTGTATATTATGACACAGGCATGTCTGGTATCAAATGGATTGTTACTTTGTTTATACATTTGGGTAGACTCTTGTTATGACTGTCATTTTGTCATATGAGGACTTATGGAACATGAATAGATTTTAGGAGCCGAGTTGTATGAAAAGTAGAGCCAGGCTGATTTACAAAGGCGATGGAGAAAGAGACATGGGTATTGAGTTAAACCACAGCCAATTGGCCATTTATAAAGCGCCAGATCAAAGAGTGTTTTAGTCATCATGCACACTTGATGTTTTTACAGCTGCTGTTTTTGGCTTTTGACATTTTTTTCTACAGCCAGTAAACCCCCCAGCATGTTATCCTATGTGTCCATGCACACACAGACTGTAATCAACGTTTTTTGGCTGGGACTTTTTTTGGCTGGAAAAAAACCCAGGACTAGTGGATTTCAAGAGGAGTTTTTTAGCTGTAAAAACACTCTAACACTGAAAAACGCTGAAAAAAAATGCCGCAAACCGGCGTTTTTGGACTTTTTTTGACCAAAAATATATTTTTTGGTAAAAAAAACCCCGCAAAAGCGGAAAAACGGCGTTAATTGCGGCAAAATGCAGCTAAACGCTAATGCCCAAAAGCTTAAAAAAAGCTGAAAAACTCACAGCTAACATTACTAGTGTTGAATAAAGGTGCAGCGCTAAAACATCAATTCAATAAATATGATAAATATCAATATAAAGTGCAAATGCCAGCAACCTGGGACATAAATCTATGAACAAAGGTATGTCAAAAATGACAATATCGTCCATGTATATTCCTAATGTATATCCCTATGAATACGTGCTTGAGCACGAAACGCATAAGGGAAGAGCTGCAGCATCCACGAGACCCATGCTGGTCCGGCGGCCATCTTGATTCAACTCATGGTCAGTCTGTTTTATACTGTTTGTCTATTCCTGCTATGGATCAATAAATATCCCTTTTGAAACGATATCACACCATTTTGGCATCCTTTCTTGGGGCTCCTGTTGAGCCTACCACCCACAGAGCCCACCCACAAAGGAGTTGGGAGGTGTTGCATCCCTCTTGATGATCCAGAGGGAAGTCCTTACCAGGATAGAGGAGTCCATAAGAGGATCCAGCTGACCTACTAAGATGTGCTATTTTCTCAAATGCATGATGGAATTATGCATCTGGTGAGTATGTAATTCGAATATTTGATCACCAGAAGATGCACAGTGGATCAGTTGATTAGAAGCTTCACATCCTTTGAATAATATATAGACTTTGTCACTTTAGCACCATTAATCACCTTTTTGGATGTGCGTTTGCACTACTGTCACTTTATTCATTTTCCTGTTATTAGGAATATACATTGGCGATATTGTCATTTTTGACATACCTTTGCTGATAGATTTATCTCCCAGGTTGCTGGCATTTGCACTTTATATTGATATTTATCATATTTATTGAATTGAGGTTTTAGCGCTGCACCTTTATTCAATAGTTGGTCTTTGGAGGTTGTTGGTGCCTTTCGGTGTACAACGGCTCATTTTTTAGTGCTCACTTTTATGCCTCTTTACTAACATTACTAGTGTTATCAAAACGTCCCGTGTGCATGAGGGCTTAAAGCAGTACTAAACCACACTAAAAAAAAAAAGGGTTTTCACTGCAAGGTAACGTCGTATTGTGCTAGTATGCATCGCATATTAACACATTACGAAGGATTTACCTTAAAGTGAAGCCCTTCAGTGGCACGCTGTCACCGCTACAAAGGCTTCCATCTTCACCCGGTCTTCCATCCGGTTTCGCAAGATCCGACCGTCTTACAGGCCAGGCCTCAATGAGCTCATGAGTCCCAGGCCACGGCACAGTGCTCTGAAGGAATGGCACGGCTATGCCATTCCTCTAGAGCGCATGCACTGGCTGTCAAATGGAGCAAATATCTCCTAAACGTGTACCATTTATTCATTCCATAAAAATCCAGAGTTTACAACCACTTTAATGATTAATTCACAATAGGCTTCAATAAAGGCTCTAGCTCTGGAGGTTTACAACCTCAATCATAGTCAGGATACACTCAAGCCTGTGGAATTGTCTTACAAGATGGCAATTTTACATCCATTTGATATGGGTCAGCTATCAGCCTGATCCTACATTTACAAGATTTATAGCCAGTAGTTTGTCACAAACTTGCAAATTTGAAAAAATTATGGTGGCTCAGAGTTCATTATGACTCCTCATCATCCATAATTTCCAAACACAAAAGAAAGTAAGCCGCTCTCCGTTAAAAACCTTGTGTGTATTTACTGAAGTATTCCATGCACTAGACAATTCACCTTTCCCACAAGCTCCAACGCGTTTCACTCAATCCTTATTGGTTGAGTCCTCATCCTGCTTACTTAGTTTGGGGTCCATCAGACCTCATTACTGTCACAAACATGCTCTACTCTATTAATAAATCCACTCCTTTGCAAGATACAGCAGAAATACACACTCCAATAGGGACTTGTGCTTTTGTTAGGAATGGACTGGCCAGCAATGGTGGGACTCACCTGCCTTTTGATCTGCAGTACCAGGGCTGGCCAGCGGGTGCTCCCAGCAATCAGAGACTCAACCTTTCAGCCAGCTAACACCTGGAACTGATGATGCTGGGGTATTTAAGGGATGGCCAGACTTGCAGACTCTGCCTTGGTGTTGTGTTTGTCCTGGGCCCTGTATCTGTCCTGCATCCTGTTTCTGTTCCTTTGCTGACTTCTCCTGCTCTGATCCTGGCTTGTGACCCTGACCATTCCTCTGTCTGACCCTCTGTACTACGCTGCTTGCTACCTGTTCTGATCCCTGGCTTGTGACCCGGACCATCCCTCTGTCTGACCCTCTGTACTATGCTGCTTGCTACCTGCTGAACCTGGCCTGTGACCCCGACTATTCTCCGCTTGCTCCCCCTGTACCTACCTGCCCAATTGATATTGACCCGGCCTGCCTGACGACGCTTGCTTGTATATACTGTTATCTGTGGGTGGTTTGGTTTGGTTTGTTTGCACTGTATTATGTTTTAGTATTGCACTGCGTTTATGTTTGTACTGTTAGTGTTAATAAATTATATTGTTTATAACATATCTGAGGTCTGCGTTTCCCTGCTTCAGTCACACACCTCTGGTCATACCTGGGAGCCCTGACAGCTTTGCCCATGCAAGTCAAAGCTAAAAGCAAGCTTTGAAGGTCCCTTCCTAGCAGCTAGGAAAGTGAGTGACATGCTCCCTCATACCCCAAGGTGCTTTCTTCACTTATTGACAGAATGCAGCTGTCAGGGCTCCCAGGTATGACCAGAGGTGTGTGACTGAAGCAGGGAAACGCAGACCTCAGATATGTTATAAACAATATAATTTATTAACACTAACAGTACAAACATAAACGCAGTGCAATACTAAAACATAATACGGTGCAAACAAACCAAACCAAACCACCCACAGATAACAGTATATACAAGCAAGCGTCGTCAGGCAGGCCGGGTCAATATCAATTGGGCAGGTAGGTACAGGGGGTGCAAGCGGAGAATGGTCGGGGTCACAGGCCAGGTTCAGCAGGTAGCAAGCAGCATAGTACAGAGGGTCAGGCAGAGGGATGGTCCGGGTCACAAGCCAGGGATCAGAACAGGTAGCAAGCAGCGTAGTACAGAGGGTCAGACAGAGGGATGGTCAGGGTCACAAGCCAGGATCAGAGCAGGAGAAGTCAGCAAAGGACCAGATGCAGGACAGATACAGGGCCCAGGACAAACACAACACCAAGGCAGAGTCTGTGGGTCTGGCCATCCCTTAAATACCCCAGCATCATCAGTTCCAGGTGTTAGCTGGCTGAAAGGTTGAGTCTCTGATTGCTGGGAGCACCCGCTGGCCAGCCCTGGTACTGCAGATCAAAAGGCAGGTGAGTCCCACCATTGCTGGCCAGTCCATTCCTAACAGCAGCAGCAGGGAATTGGGATGTTAAAGAGAACCTACATGACAGAAAAGAACAAGTTTGCTTTAAAGTGAACCTGTCAGGCTTGCTTGCCTGTCGTGACAGCCTCCAGTCTCTTAAAAACTGACTTTTCCTGCAGTGTTCCCTCCCACATGTGATGTTCCTGTGACCCCCTATTTCACTACAGAGCTGATCAATAATGTGGGGTTTGGAAGAAGAAACCAGAGCAAGTAATGAGGAACACAAGAATTCCAAAACTTTCAGAAGTGTCAAATATGGAAGGGAGTGATGGGGGCTTCAGCTCTGGAATGGAGGGAAAGTTGGACACATGGGCAGCCTGAGAGGCAAGTATACTAACATTTTTTTTTTCTTGCAGGGAACTTCATTAGAATATTTTTTTTTTTTTAAGTCTGGTAAGGTTGCTTTATGTTGACAATGAACATATCATGGTCATTCAGGGAACAGCCAGGTATTTTATTTTCATGTATGGCAATATGTGCCATGCCATGGAATACACATGTGCCTTTGGAATGTCTGCGGATTCCAATAGCATTCTATAGACCAGCCATTCTCAACCTGGGAACCCTATGGTTTCTTTAGGGTTGGCTGGGGGTTCCTTGAGCTGTGGCTAACTGTCCTCCCATCTGATGGTGCCTGCATAGTTCCAGGTCCAATGCCACTTGTCAGAGTCAGCAGCATGACTGCAAGGGTGTCATTCTGGCCACCACGCTAAGGGCGACATTCTCCAGATGTACCACCACCAACGTAAGAGGAATTTTCCCAATGACCTCTGGATTTACCAGGGGTTCCCAGAGATCTGAAAATTATTTCAAGGGACCCTCTGCAGTAAAAAGGTTGAAAAAGGCTGCCATTAGCACAGGCGCCTGTAAACATGCAAACAAGAACCACCATTTGAACTGTTGACTATAACTTCAAGAATATCTACAGGCACTATGCAACTATTTATTTTTCTTTAATGAAGTTGTATTACTTTCATTACCAGTTTTCTTCAACACACCTATCGGCCACATAGATTACCTGGCTTCCACTTTGATTCTAAGATGTGCTTTATTTATCTGGAAATATGGGACTTCCGGTATGATCTTCACCTCAAAATTCGGGAGAACTGACAACAAGAAATAGAAATCAGACAGAAATAAATTTTAAAAAAAAAGCAAGAAGAAAGGTTAAAGTGGTACTAAAGGCAAAATAAAAATAATAATATTACTAAAAAAAAAAAAAAAAAAAAATCGACAGACAGACAGACAGACAGACCCTGTCACACTGCTCTGTTAAATGCAGTAAAAATACATATGCCTAAAAGAAAAAGCACCAAAAATGCACCGCTGGTGTGTCTGATGTGTTTTCTATTCATTTAAATGAAGAGGTGCATTTTTAAACATGCGCCAAATATGCAGCAGGACATTTTTTGCTAAAAAAAACCCACTAAAAAACGCAAACACTGAAAAAGGCCACTAATTGCGGCAAAATGCCGCTGAACGCTAATGCAAAAATGCTAAAAAGGTTGACATTACACAGCTAACGTTACCAGCGTTATCAACACACCCCGTGTGCATGAGGACTTAGCAGGTACATTAGTCATAATTAAAATGAAAATTAGCTGCTAATCATATACTTTATGCAATTCTGATACATTGTCGTTAGTTTTGCTTTATAGTTTGTGTTTGTGCCTGATAATATTTTTTTGGTGTCCACAATGTATGTTATCTGTCTGACTTACCATAATTTTTCACTTCAAATTCTGTGGTGAAGTTTGATTCTGGAGCCGCGGTAAAATACGCCGATATTTTCCACACTCCAGTCCTGAAAGAAAAACATAAAGGTAAAGCGGTATTAAAACCAAAAATTATTATATTGCAGCTTACCAATCCTTAGATGTGATGGCTGCATTAGTTTTCTTTTTAGGCTTTTTTTCCCCTTTATTTTCAACTGGCGATTCTGCCAGTATGATTATGTCAATATTTCTGTGCTCAAAGCGGTACATTTTTTTTTGCATGGAAATATGTCTTTTTTTTATTGTAGGCCTGTAATATTTAGGAATAACTTACTGAAATCTGTCCGAACAAGAGTCTAGTAAACATCCAGGGTATGTTAAAATTTGAAACACGAAATCATAAATTATAATTTAATAAATAATCATAACAAATAATAATATAATAATACATTTAATTCAATAATATAATCAAACCAAAAACACTGAAATTTGAAATATAGCACCAAGTTCACACATCACTGAGCAAAGTCGCAGAATTGTTTTCAGTGTCTGATGACGAATTTCCCCACGAATCTTTATCACTCAATTCTGCAAGTGGTTCTAATTTATTCTCGCTGTTCTCTAGCTGGTCTAAAACCGCTTTTGACCTAAAGGGACGCTTTTTGGACGCCATGGACGTTTCTCAGTTTCCAGCAGAAAGAACAGTAAAAATGCAGGCAGGGCGCCGGACAAAGCACTCGGGACAAAATGTATGTAAAATAGTTTGCTACAGTAATGTTTTACTATGTGATTTTAGTGTATTTAGTGAATGTCACTTTTTAATATTTTTTAATTTCCGGCCGTTCCGTCCCCCGTACGTCCCGACGTCGCAGGGAACAGAACCCGGAAGACGAATGCTGGCATCGGCCGGAGGAGATGGCCTGGGACGCTGCAGGGGGGACATCGCAGGAGTGAAGGACAAGGTAAGGGATCGAGGGATCCCAGAGCAACGCTGCAAGCTTGGGGGGGGACTGACAATTCATGGGGCCCCTGGGAAATAGGTGATCATGGGGCCCCTGTGTCCTTGCCCACACTCAAAGCACACCCAAAAAAGCCTATAAAAAAGGTACCAGGGGCATTCCATGGGGCCCCCTACTGACCCCGGGCCCTTGGGCAGTGCCGAGTGATCAAATGGTCAGTCCGCCCCTGGCTGCAGGGTATTCCCGAGTGTAGCTCGGGGTTACCGCTTGTGGTACTGAAACTTTACCCTGAGCTACACTCGGGAATACCGCCAGGGAGGTTAACAAACCAAGCTGTCCAGCAAAAATGGCAGTTAGAGGGTTCAGACAATCCATTAATCCATTACAACGATCAGCTTTTATTCATTTATGTAAAACCTTGACTGGTACACCATTCACTTCTCCCTGAGATTGACTTCACCACTTGCCCTCCAGAGGATTTACCCCCCTTCCTGACCAGGCCATTTTTTGCAATACAGCGCTGCGTTACTTTAACTGACAATTGCGCGGTCATGCAACATTGCACCCAAATGAAATTCATGTCCTTTTTTTCCCCAGAAATAGAGCTTTCTTTCGGTATTTTATCATCTCTGCGTTTTTTATTTTTTGCACTATAAACGAAAAAAGACTGACAATTTTGGAAAAAAATCTGAAAATCAAATTTTTTTATAAACTTAGGCCAAAATGTATTCTACTACATGTCTTTGCTAAAAAAAAATGCGGTGCGGATTCTGTGCGAATCACATGCAATATACTGGACCGCATATCTGTGAACCCCGGCTAAATGATCTACTTGTGTTTAGCAGCAGCATACCCTAGAGGGCGCTGCAATGTTAGAATGTAGGCTGAATGTCAGGCTGGGAGATCTGGGCACTTCTAGGAGTTGCACTTGCAGTGGTATTATCAGAGTGAACTGAGCATATCACCACCCGGTCACAACTGGGCAAGGGGCAGACTGACAACTCATGGGGCCCCCGGGCAATAGGGAATCATGGGGCCCCTGTATCCTTGCCCAAACTCAAAAAAGCCTATGAAAAAGGTACCAGGGGCATCTCATGGGGCCCCCTACTGACCCCGGGCCCTCAGTCAGTGACAAATGGTCAGTCCGCCCCTGCAACTGGGTGCTCTGAACACGCACATTGCTTTCTTGGTCCATTAAATATGAACTCTGTAAGTATCTTCAAGGTAATGTGCACTATCTGTAGCAACCAATAACTTTCAGCTTCCCAAAGTGAAATCATTGAAAGCTGACTGCTGATTGGTCAATATACATGTCTGCACTTTGCTTACTGCTCTGATTTAACCACTTGCCTACAGGCACTTTGTGCCTAAGCCAATTTTCAGCTTTCTGTGCTGTTTCACTTTGAGTGACAATTGCGCGGTCATGCAACATTGAACCCATATGAAATGAAAAAAAATCCACACAAATAGAGCTTTCTTTTGGTTGTATTTAATTGCCACTGAGTGTTTTATTTTTTGCACTATAAACAAAAAAAGAGCAAACAATTTAAAAATAAAAGTTTTTCTTTGTATCTAATATACGTTGATGAGGCTGCACAAGGGGTGGACGGACTATTTGGAAACTCAGGCACTGCCCGAGGGCCCGGGGTCAGTAGGGGGCCCCATGAGATGCCCCCTGGTACCTTTTTCATAGGCTTTTTTGAGTTTGGGCAAGGACACAGGGGCCCCATGATCCCCTATTGCCCGGGGGCCCCATTAATTGTCAGTCCGCTCCTGGGCTGCACTGATGGGCACGGATAGGCAGCACTGATTGGCACTGATAGGCTGCACTGATGAGGTGGCACTGATGAGGCGGCACTGGTGGGCATTGATGAGGAGGCACTGATAATGCAGCACTGATATGCAGCAATGATGGTCACTGATAGGCGGCACTGATGAGTACTAATAGGCAGCACTGATGGGCACTGATAGGCGTCACTGATGGGTGGCACTGCTGGGCGGCACTGATGGGTGGTACTGATGGTTGGCAGTGCTGGGGGGCATTGATGGGTGGCACTGCTGGGCACTGATGGATGGCACTGCTGGGCACTGGTGGGTGGCACTGGGGGGCACTGATGGGTGGCAGTGCTGGGCACTGGTGGGTGGCACTGGGGGGCAATGATGGGTGGCACTGCTGGGGGGCACTGACGGGTGGCACTGCTGGGTGGCACTGCAGAGCATTGACCATCAGGGCACTGATCATCAGTGCCGATCGTCTCTGTGACAGCTGCCAGTTATCGCCAGTACTTTCCTCATGCTGTGACAGTGTGAGGAAAGTGCTGCCAATAACCGGCAACTGTATTTACTCTGTGATCTGCTGTGTCATTGGGCACAGCTGATCATGTGGTAAAAGGCCGCTGTGATTGGCCTTTTACCTCATCACGTGATCAGCTGTGTCCGTAGAACACAGCGATTACGGAGCTTGCTGGGTGCATATGACGCCCTCCCAGAACTGGGTAACCGTGATAAAGCAGTCATGTGGCTATAGCATGGTTACCAAGTGGTTAAAGTGGTTAGAAATCTCCGAAATGAAAAATGAACAAAGCATATCCTTTTATAGTGTGTACTTGCCTCTATCTAAAGCACATTGTGTGAGTTCTGTCTCCTCTCTCTTCCCCCTGCTATCTGCATTAGTCACTGCTGACAAGATATCAGACACCACAGAATCCCAGGAGATGCCCCGCCTTCCTCCAGCACACAGCTTCAATTGAGCATGTTTCCCTATGAGGCTGTGTAGAGGGGGTGTGTGTATATCCTTTCCCTCCACTCAAGTCTCAGATTACACTCAGCTTTGCGCTCCATGCTGTGCAGAGATGGGAAATAGCCTTTGATATATGTTTTTTAAAAGTTGTAGAGGAGAAAGGACTACAGATAAATGGGTAAAACTTATGTATTAGGATCTATCTCATCTCTGCGTATCACCTGAGGACAGTCACTTCACTGGGAATATGGAAGAGTTTACAATCACTTTAAAGTTGAACTCCAGGCATACAGCTCAATACACTATTATCATACATATAAGGGAGCATTTTACCTGCCAAAGGATTTGTATTTCTGTCCATTCAGTCTTGAGATTCATGCAGCTCTGCCATACAGCATAGCTATTCTTTAAGCTATAATTATAGACTGTAGCTGGCATACAGGTGTGCTATACCCCCCTTCACTTCCCTTAGCCTGTGATGAGCAACTGGACACTGATGTGGTAATCTTTCTGCTCACTCTGCTCTCTCCTCCTATCAGCATGTTCCCTTATCAGCACATTTGCACACAACATACATGATTGGCTTCCAGTCCTGCCCCTCCCTTTCCCAGTCCGAGTGCTGTATAAAGTAGTTATATCAAGTGCATTCAGCTACTTACACTAGTTTTACTCCAAAAAAAATGTAAGGCCTTGTTTAGATTTGCTTTGCTGTCTGAAGTGCGATCTACATTTGGATCATGCTTCAGAGAGCAATGGACAGGTGGTGAGGAGGCGTTGTATCACCTCCCCACCCTCTATGGTAACCTCTTTGAGTATATGTGAACTCTCACCTTGTAAAACAACCCATTCAGTTTAAAATAGAAATGAAAGGCAAAACATTTGTGTATGGATATAAAAAACATTATAAATACATTTTTCCTTTTTTGGTGATCACATACCCTTTACACTCAGCTGCATGAGGAGCTCAGAGAGGAGGAAAAGCAGCAGTACATTGATCTTCCCAGCAGAGGTGTCCCTAGGGTTGGTGTCACCCGGTGCGGTAACACTTGGTGACACCTGCTCCAACGATCCCCGCAGAATGGATCGAATTTGCAGATTGAACATAATGGATCGGACTCCGTTCCATTATGCTCAATCCGCAGATCCTATCCATCCTGTGGGGATCGTCGGCTATTTTTTTACAACTTACCTTTTCTTGGAGCGGGTCTGGTGTCAGCCCGTACAGATTGCATGCCGACGATCCCCGCAGGATGGTTCGGATCTGCGGATTGAGCATAATTGATCGGAGTCCAATCTATTATGCTCCCCTGGAGTGGAAGCCCCAGCATAGAGCAATGGAGTGGAAGCCCCAGCATAGAGCAATGGAGTGGAAGCCCCAGCATAGAGCATTGGAGTGGAAGCCCCAGCAAAGAGCATGGAGTGGAAGCCCCAGCATAGAGCACTGGAGTGGAAGCCCCAGTATAGAGCATGGAGTGGAAACCCCAGTATAGAGCATTGGAGTGGAAACCCCAGCATAGAGCACTGGAGTGGAAGCCCCAGCATAGAGCACTGGAGTGGAAGCCCCAGCATAGGGCACTGGAGTGGAAGCCCCAGCATAGGGCACTGGAGTTGAAGCCCCAGCATAGAGCACTGGAGTGGAAGCCCCAGCATAGAGCACTGGAGTGGAAGCCCCAGCATAGAGCACTGGAGTGGAAGCCCCAGCATAGAGCATTGGAGTGGAAGAACCTGCATAGAGCATTGGAGTGGAAGACCCAGGATAGAGCATTGGAGTGGAAGCCCCAGTATAGAGCACTGGAGTGGAAGCCCCAGCATAGAGCATTGGAGTGGAAGCCCCAGCATAGAGCATTGGAGTGGAAGCCCCAGCATAGAGCATTGGAGTGGAAGTCCCAGCATAGAGCATTGAAGTGGAAGCCCCAGCATAGAGCACTGGAGTGGAAGCCCCAGCATAGAGCACTGGAGTGGAAGCCCCAGCATAGAGCACTGGAGTGGAAGCCCCAGCATAGAGCACTGGAGTGGAAGCCCCAGCATAGAGCACTGGAGTGGATGGCAGGACATGCAAAAAGGTGTGAGGTTTCAGTTGGGATTTAAAGTGGGACCTGGCATCAGATATATATTTCATGGTAAGTACATGCATGCTAAGTAATATGGAAATTTCACACTTCCAGGTATTATTACTTCTCACGGAGACCACTGAACTCCCCCCAACAATTCCTTCAACTACTTTTCTCTCCAGAAGGGCAGCACTGTCTCATGACGTGCCAGCTCAGAGATGATACAATCATGTAAATGCTGGTGCCTGGGCAGTTTTTGGCTGTGTTCACAAATAGGTTCCTGTTACACCTTCTTATATTTTCCTGACACCAAGAGAAAAAAGGTGACAAGGAGGGAGCTCTACCACACATCCTGTGATTGACAGCCTCAACTCTGTTTCTATGTACTGTGCAAATGGGGGGGGGGGTCCCTTCCTTCAAATTAGCTCTCAGAGCTCTCCTCATTAAGTGAAACATCAGCTCCCCACTCCCTGCTTTCTGAAAGCTTAGACAAGCTGTATAAATTCTGCAAATTGAATAGATGTAGAGAAGAGAAGACTACAGATAAACAGGTACAACTTCTCATGTTGGAGGATTTGTATCACCTGAGGCCAGTCACTTCACTGGGTATAAGTAAGGATTTACAACCATTTTACAGCAAAAAATAAAATATCTGTTTGATTGGTGTACCCGCTTGCCCCCTGGAAGATTTTACCCCCTTCATGACCAGGCCATTTTTTTGCTATTTGGCACTGCGCTACTTTAACTGGCGATTGTGTGCTGCATGCAAACAAAATTTATATCATTTTTTATACATAAATAGAGTTTTCTTTTGGTGGTCAGCATTGGGTTTTTTTATTTTCTGCAATATAAATAAAAAAAAATTGAAAAAAACCAATGTTTTCTACATACTGCTATAAAACATTTTGTAACAAAAAACTTTTCATAAATTTAGGCCAAAATGTATTCTGCTACATGTCTTTGGTAAAAAAACAAAATCCCAATAAGTGCATGTTGAATGTAGATGATATAACTTTCACGCAAATCAAACTATGGCATATATACTGGAATTCTTTGCTTTTTATAGAAGTAATGATGGCAATCAGCAACTTTTAGTGGGACTGTGATAGCGCGGAGGGCAATCTGACACTAACTGACACTAGGCAGGAACTGACTGACTGCCACTGGCATCTCCAGTAACACTAATACAGTCATCAGTGCTATTACTATACATTCTCAATATACTAATGAAACTGACTGGGAAAGGGATAACATCTAGGCGATCAAAGGGTTAACTGTGTGCCTAATGATGTGTAATGTGTGTGATATATGCTCCCTTTACTAAGCGATCTTGTTGTTTTTTTCCCTGCTTTCCAGGGAATAAAAAAACAGCAAGGTCGCCTGTCAGTGTACAGAGCTCTCTTCGATGAATCACGGAGCTGATCAGCGGATCCCGGTGATCAATCATTGGCTGATCAGCTTGTGCTGTAACAAATCACAGCACAGCCGGGGTGGCGCACATGTGCGCATGCCCTACTCGGAAGTGATGATCACGTATCCACGTGATCCAGCGCACAGCGGCTGCTCTGCCACAATAAATTTACATGGGGTGGTCCCCAAGCAGATAATTTAAACCCTGTAGGGATCCTAGAACTGCAAGCCACCAATGCTAATGAATGTGCGATCACCTTACATACAGTACAACCAACATTGCTGGAATAATGCAGAGAACATATAGAACTTACGTTGAAATATCCGGAATTTGAAGCTTGTCAGTCGCAACTGAGTTTTGAGAAATCTTCTGGATCTTTGATACTTGCAAACCTTCCGCATTCTGTGAAAAGCAAAATCACAAATGAAGCCGGCTCTCTCGTGAAGCCTTTTAAATGTTCATTTCTAGCTAAACTTCCAGCACAAAAATCTTCCTTTAAATGCATTCCTCAGTAGCCATAAAGGACGGAAATGCATTTTGTGTGCACCCAATGGCTTTATAAAAGCAGATATTACCTTGTAATTGTAGCACTGACATCATCACTGATCCTGTGCAGAGAGCAGAGCTGTGGGAGGGGCCCAGCAGGCTCCACCCACTACAGGCTGCCTGCAGGAAACTACAAGAGGGGGCGGAGACAAGACCAGTCACCCTGCACAAGACGAGAGAGCAGCAGCAACCGGTCTTTATAAGAGGAACCTCCTGCATAGAGGGAAATTCTCACACGGGATTACTGCACAGATTTTAAAAAAATACACAAAGCACACCAAAAGTGGAAACAAATCCATATGCCTCTTGTATTTTGATATTAGTTATGTTTATTATGTTTATCCTGAAATTCAGCATTAGGCTCCAAGCACACTAGGAGCTTAAAAAAAAAAGACAGAAAAACGCTGGATAAAAATGCTCATATTTAGCATTTTTGTGCTGGCGTTTTGCAGAGTTTTGGAGCATTAGCGTTTATTGGGTTTTTTTTTTTTCTTCTGGGCAGTTCCTTTTTTTCTTAAGAAAAAAAAAACACTGGGCACACCGGTGTAGCGTCTAGCAGAGTTTTGGTGCTTTCAGGGTTTTGTTATGCCGGAAAATCGCTCTCAAAGCTGCACACCACAGTTTTTTTCTGCACCTAAATGCTGTATGCAACACATAGGATAACATTATTTGCTTCTAGAGGCAAAAAACGCTAAACTCCCCCGAGTGGAAGCGGGTTTTTTCTAATTAGTGTGCATTGAGCCTAAAAGCTATCACCAGAATTTCAATTAACCTCCCTAGCGGTCTGATTATGTCAGTATTTCTGTGCGGTACTTTTTTTTGCATGGAAATATGTATTTTTTTTATTGTAGGCCTGTAATTTTTAGGAATGACTCACTGAAATCTGTCCAAACAAGAGTCTAGTAAACATCCCGGGTATGTTAAAATGTGAAACACAAAATCATAAATTATAATTTAATAAATAATCATAAAAAAATAATAATATAATAATAATACATTTAATTCAATAATATAATCAAACCAAAAACACTGAAATTTGAAATTGAGCGCCAAGTTCGCACATCACTGGGCAAAGTCGCAGAATCATTTTCAGTGTCTAATGACAAATTTCCCCACGAATCATTATCACTCAATTCTGCAAGTGGTTCTGATTTACTATCGCTGTTCTCTAGCTGGTCTAAAACCACTTTTGACCTAAAGGGACGCTTTTTGGACGCCATGGACTTTTCTCAGTTTCCAGGCAGAAAGAACAGTAAAAATGCAGGCAGGGCACAGGATAAAGCACTCGGGACAAAATGTATGTGAAATGGTTTGATACAGTAATGTTATACTATGTGATTTTAGTGTATTTAGTGAATGTCACTTTTTGACATTTTTAAATTTCCCTCCAGTTCCGTCCCCCGTACATCCCGACGTCGCAGGGAACGGAACCTGGAAGACAGATGCCGGCATCGCCTGGAGGAGATGGCTGGGGGCGCTGCAGGGGGGACATCGTGGGAGCGAAGGACAAGGTAAGTGAGGAAGGGATCCTGGAGCAACACTGCAAGGTATTCCCAAGTGTTGCTCGGGGTCACCACTTGTGGTGCTGAAACTTTACCCCGAGCTACACTCGGAAATACCGCCAGGGAGGTTAAAGGATAAGTGAACTTAAAAAGAAAATACTTTTGTCTTTTTTGCCTCCCTTCCTTGATCTAGACCTCCCTCTGCCTCCCTAAATGACAGCTATAGAGAAGCCTACAGGCCTGGGCTTGGTAGCAGTAGAGGCTGTAGCACCAGGAATGGACAACAGCGTCATATGTACTTTAAATAGACTTTGTCCCATTGGCCATTCAGGTTTTCTTGCTAGTTCACCTTAAAACCCTGTGGCTCCATGTCTAAAGGTGTCAGAGCTTCCAAAGTCTGCTGATATGACCACCTACCTTACATGATTTCCCATTCACATCTCAGTGTTTTGTAGCTTGAAGTCCAAAGCTCCAAATGCTCAACAAACCAAATCCAATGCATTTAAATTGCTCCTGTTCACAACTGAGCATGCTGGTGTCTGTAGCAAAATGTTTGAAGTTCTGAAAGGTACATTTTTGCTACTTTTGAAGCATATTGGGGTATCTTTGACCTCATTGACTACTGAGTGAAAAATCTATTACACATACAGTATTTTCAGGCACTCCCATAATAGAAGTATGTGGGGAAAATAATGGGCAATCCTGTCCTAATGGCACTTTACTCTAAAAAAAACATGCAAAAACGTGTGTAATGTCTATGAAATGTGTTGGCCTTGGACCCTTTGTTTCTTGGGTAATTTTTACAATAAAGTATTGTTGCCCAAATTCCAGGGGCATGAGAGGTGACTGATGTAATTACTCTTGGCCAAAGGAACAGAGTCACAAGACATTCTGCTTAGAGCAAGATAAAAACTTGATTATGGAAATTGAACGTGTTTATGACATCTAGTATGTCACATTAGAAGATAAAAACCTGTTTAAAGATGTCTAATTGCTTGAGAAGTTAGAAATCCTTAAGTTTGGGGTAGATGAGTAGAAGTTTAGGGTAGATAAAGTGTGACTTTTCAGATAACGAATATGGTGGTTGAACGTGACTCTGTTATCCTCGCGGAACCCTTCTGCTAGCTCCTCCTATGGTGGGTGTGGCACCCGCCCACTATTGGACAGCTTCCAGAAAAATGGTTTAAAAGTCGAAGGTCCAGGCAAGACTGGTGGGAAGCCCCCCTCCTCCTAGTTGCCAGAGGATGCTCTGGTGCTGGGATTTTTGCCAAGGCTATATGGGCTCATCAACTGGTCACGTCTACGGCTTCTCTGTAACACCCTGGGCAGTATGGTTCCGATGGGATTTGTTCCTTCCAGCTTCCAGCATAGCTTTGGTAATGTCTGCTCTGACACTGTCAAATGATGTGTCTATTTCTTGCTGTAAAGCTCACATTATTATTGATGTGTATTATTATGCAGATTGTGATGACTATAAGATATATCCTCCTGTGTGTCGTGTGCAGGGGCGGACTGACAGCTCATGGGGCCCCCGGGCAATATGGGATCATGGGGCCCCTGTGTCCTTGCCCAAACTCAAAAAAGCCTATGAAAAAGGTACCAGGGGCATCTCATTGGGCCCCCTACTGACCCCGGGCCCTCGGGCAGTGCCCGAGTTTCCAAATGGTCAGTCCACCCCTGGTCGTGTGATAATAAAAATGAGGTTTTGACAGTGCAAGAATATTTCAGTTGGATCCTGTTATTTCTTGGAGTGCCGGGCGAATGCTATGATCTGCCAGGGCAGGTGTTCATTTGGTAGATGGTCTTTCACATGCGTAGAATATGTAATGGTTTCAATGCTGATTAAAAGGTACCTGCATGACTACATGTTGATTGTGTGCGTGTATATGGCTTTTAGTTATTGCACCCAGCATTTGCCGTTACAACATGTAAAAAAGGCATAAAAAAGCCTCAAATTCACTTAAAACACACTATGCTCAAATGTGAACAAGAGCTAAGAGATTGTTACATATTATACATATTACTCACTTCCCAGAAGCAATGGGTATTTCTTGAGAGCTTTGACAGAGGGCAATGGAGTGTGGAGAAGGTGAAAATAAGAGGAATGGTGGTGGGAGAAGGCAAACTACTAAGACACTCTTTCACTTTGTCCTACATGGAAAAGTGAAAGAGTAAAAGAGTATTGCTAGACATATACAGCTCACATCTCTTGCCGTGGATGGTCCACATGGCTCAGCAAACTTTGATCTTAAAATCAAAAGAGCAGGTTGGAAAATTCTCACCCGAACATAAACTGAAGCCAATCAGATACAGTCGCTGTTCAGGTATTCTGACAGCCGTGGGAGCAGTGGCTGTTAGGATACAGTAGCCAGCATTGGAGACTCCTCCATCCATGCTGTTTAACTATCTTTAAGCATCATCTTCTCTTGAATGTTTGTCGAAGTTGGCACCATCAATGAAGAATTAATGAGATGTGTGGAGTTGGACAGGAACTATTGCTGGTTGCATGATAAGTGGTTCTGGATGGATACATCTCTAGTGAAATCTAAAAATAGGTTTAAATGAACAAATCCTAGATACAGTATAAGGGCTCCCCAAAATGTCAAAGCACAGGCTTTGTTATATTACACGAAGCTAAAGAATTACTCACAGTCACTGTGCTGGTGATGGTTTCCTTGGTGGGTCTCATCATGTGGTCCAGAGTGAACACTCTAATGTTAACTGCAGAGAATTTAAAGAAACAGGTGTGAATGGCCAAAGAAGAGAACCACGCAGTGCCATCATAACTTGCTTTGATCATGCAAGGCCCCTACATTCCTGGAGGTTCCAGCACCTGGATGGAATAGTGGGGGAGTGAAGAACTGGCGGTCATACAGTATGCTGTGGAAAAGGGCAGCATTCAAGCAAATTTGTAATTTTGCCCAACATGGATTAAGAACTATTTTTTTTTACTAGTGTGGTTAGGAATTTGATAACATATCATAGGAAAGCAATGAATAACTATTGAGGGAAACATGTAAGTGAAAGGATGAATAAAACACACTCAAAAACTAGCCATTGACCACTACAGCTACACGGAGACTACAAGCTGACCCCTATATCTAGAAGTGTTACAATACCCCAAAGAGAGACAGATGCTGATCCTGGACAGACAGTGCTCATAGGCTGGATAGCAAACTGAGGTGGCACAGAGAGACCCCCAAACCTGGGAGGCCAGGCTGCCCTGTTAGTGTGGCCCAGGAGACATTGGAGGAGGAGCTCAATTTATTTCTCTAAATGCTTAAAAAAAGGGAGGCTCATTCCACTCACATGCTGGGCTTCACTACCAGAGGATAGGAAACTCCACAGTCTATTGAAAGAAGATGGACCAACAGAAAAAAATAACTGCACAGTATGTTACAACATGCCAAAGACTGAGAGGAACATCATAGGTTTGAGGAGGATATATCAAAGGATAACCTTAAAAAAGAAAAGTTATACTTTAACACCCAGCTCCTGGCAAAATTATTTTTAAGGAGGAACTGTTGCCTTTATTTATATTATTTACCTTTGACAGGTTTATTGCTCTATCAGACAGCAACACTCCAGGACCTGAGAGGAGAGAAGCACACAAAGAATCTATGCCCAAGCCTCCTCTCTGCTGCATATTCACAGAAGCCTTTGTATTTTATGAATGTGTTCACATAATATAAAGGCTTCTGTGACTGGGTAGGAGGAGCAGAGGGATGGGCATATTGAAGATGCAGAGCTCAGAAGGATCAGCGCTTTACTCCCTGAAATACAGTGATAGCTGTCTTCCGTAAGTACTATAAACCTGTAAAATATAAATAATAGAGATAGGTCCAGGAGATGTCATGCACCTTTTTGTACTTATCTCATGGTGTGCCTTCACTTTTTGCAAAGGAGCTGAATTCCTGGAATCCAGGTTTAAGCTTTAGGTTTTGGATAGAGCTGGGAAGGGTTAGAAACTCCATCAGGTTTTTATGTTCTCCATTTAGAAGACCTCCCCTCTCTTACTGATTCTGTGACACCAGCACAAGAAATGATAGGAAGAGAGATTAATGGGACAGGATGGCACAGATAGCAAGGAAAACATGACTGAGGTTCTGTCCATTCCTAAATTTATATAACCAGAGCTGTTCTGCAATTTTGAAGATGTTTGGTAGCTTATCCAGGACGTTTCTTCAATGGATGGAGCCATTCAAATAATTTCTTTATGCCCTGATGGCCCAACGGCACATCCAGAACTGCAGATATATATAGTGAAAATATGGGCAAATATTATACAGTTGCAAGAAAAAGTATGTGAACCCCTTGGGATTACGTGGAGTTTTGCATGAATTGGGCATAAAGTGTGCTCTGAACGTCATCTATGTCACAACAATAGAAGAACACACTCTGCTGAATATAATACTACAAAAACATTAGATGTTGCCATAGTTTAATTGCACATAACATTTAAACATTCACAGTGCAGGGAGGAAAAAGTATGTGAGGCCCTAGCCTAATGACTTCTCCCAGACCCAATTGGAGCCAGGAGTGAGCCAACCTTGACTCCAATCAGTGTGATGATATTGGATGTGTTGCTGACAGCTGTCCTGCCCTTAAAAACACACAACTGTTTTGGGTTTACTGGTTTCAAGAAGCACTGTCTGATGTGAAACATGCCTCGCAGAAAAGAGCTCTCAGAAGACCTACCATCAAGAATTGTTGACTTGCATGAAGCTGGAAAGGGTTACAAAAGTATCTCCAAAAGCCTTGATGTTCATGTGTCCATGGTAAGACAGACTGTCTACAAATGGAGAAAGTTTAGCACTGTTGCTACTCTCCCTAGGCGTGGTCGTCCTGTAAAAATGACTGCAAGAGCACAGCGCAGAATGCTGCATGAGGTAAAGAAGAATCCCAGAGTGTCAGCTAACGACCTACAGAAATCTCTGGCACATGCTAACATTTTTGTTGACACATCTACAATAAGGAAAACATTAAACAAGAATGGAGTACATGGGAGGACACCACGGAGGAAGCCATTGCTGTCCAAAAAGAATATTGCAGCACGTTTGAAGTTTGCAAAAGAGCAACTGGATGTTCCACAGCACTACTGGCAAAATATACTGTGGACAGATGAAACCAAGATTGAGTTGTTTGGGAAGAACACACAACACTATGTGTGGAGAAAAAAAGGCACACCACACCAACATCAAAACCTCCTCCCCACTGTAAAACATGGCGGAGGGAGCATCATGGTTTGGGGCTGCTTTGCTGCCTCAGGGCCTGGACGGATTGTTGTCATTGATGGGAAAATGAATTCCAGAGTTTATCAAGACATTTTGCAGGAAAACGTACGACCATCTGTCCGCCAACTGAAGCTCCGCAGAGGATGGGTGATGCAACAGGACAATGACCCAAAGCATACAAGTAATTCAACAAAACAATGGCTGCAACAGCACAGAATACACCTTCTGGAGTGGCCCAGTCAGAGTCCTGACCTCAACCCGATTGAAATGCTGTGGCATGACCTTAAGAGAGCGATTCACACCAGACATCCCAAGAATATTGCTACACTGAAACAGTTTTGTGAAGAGGAGTGGTCCAAAATTACTCCAGATCGTTGTGCAGGTCTGATCTGCAACTACAGGAAACGTTTGGTTGAGGTTATTGCTGCCAAAGGAGGGTCAACCGGTTATTAAGTCGAAAGGTTCACATACATTTTCCTCCCTGCACTGTGAATGTTTACATGTTATGTGCAATTAAACCATGGCAACATCTAATGTTTGTGTAGTATTATGTTCAGCAGAGTGTGTTCTTCTATTGTTGTGACTTAGATGACATTCAGAGCACATTTTATGCCCAATTCATGCAAAACTCCACGTAATCCCAAGGGGTTCACATACTTTTTCTTGCAACTGTAGAGCCATTAATCTCAAACATGCATATGTGGTAGAAGGAGACACGTGAATACCTTTTGTTCTAAGAAAGTTTAACGCTGATACGCATTAAGGAAAGGTGGACATCCACACAAGAGATGGAGAGGAACAAAGACAAGTATGAAAGAGATAGATACAAGATAGATAGATACCGAATTCTTTGGGGGTGTACACGCTCTTGTCAGTCTGGATGAAGATGTAGCCTCTCTTGTAGGAGATAGGTATGGACACAACGTTTGGTTTTGCTCCCAGGATGGCACTAGTCATAACCAGCTGGACATACCTGCTACCCCTCCGCTCATCCAACTTGCATGTAGATGCCCTTCTGGGAGTGAGCTGTGGGAATAAAATGGAGAATGAGCTGTTCATGTCACCAATAATCCTAAACAAACCTTAAGATCTCTCTTCCCACAGGTCATTTCAGCAGTGGATTAGAGGGACTCCCCTGGCTTGATAGTGTTCAGGCACTATTCACATTCATCAATGCATATCAGTCCCTTTCTTTATTAACCCACTCCTGGCTAAATTATCATTTTCAGAGACTGCCCATTGCCAAGAGCATGTTAACCTACGATACCAACCAGGCAACAGGCAGGCTTGCCTTCTCCCAGCTAGAATACTGACAGCGCTGGTCTCTCACAAACAATCAGAAACCAATAAGCGTGGATCCCAGTTATGTGATCATCATGACAGGCAATCATAGTAATTACATGAGGTTTGTTTACAAACAAACCTGTTTACTGCACTTATGACATGGCAATACAACGTGTAAAAAAATAAAACAAAAACATTTTTAGCATTTTATATTAAGCTATCAATGCTGCACCAGATGGCTCTGACAGCGCCCTGGCCTATCCTAGCTGTCACTGGCAGCTGTTGTTCTCAAGTAAGGACTGGGACCAATCAGTGTGGTTTTTGATTATGTGATCACCATGGTATAATCAATCATGGTAATCACACGAGGCAACCCTCTTTTGCTTCCAGTTGTCCGTATGCACAGCTCATGAAGCTTTACACTAAGCTAGGGATATTTATTTTCAGAAATGTGACCAAAATTTTCACATCTAATTGGAATCCACATCCTGGTGTTTCAGCTTGTGAATTGAGCTTACTGTATCTCATTCTTTGCACACGTAAAAAAATACATGGTAATAACAGAAGTGACAAAAATTATTAAAAAAGTTTTATATATATATAGTTTTTTATATATATAAAATAAAATATAAAATTAAAATAATAAATAAACTAATATAACATCATATATAAATATAGTTTATATAATAATAATATAGTTTATATAAATAATATAATATATATATATAAAATAAAATATAAAATAATAAATAAATTAATAAATAACTAATTTAACATCATATATAAATATAGTTGTTTGTGTATATATATATATATATATATATATATATATATATATATATATATTTTTTTGTCCTTTTGTCAGCCACTTTTTATGTCCCTAAAATACACTGTAAAATTATTTCGGAAAGCAAATTAGTCATAGAGCTATTGCCACATAAACAAATACAAATTGACACTGCAAGGTTTGATCTGGACATGCAGTCACCAACGGTCATGAAATCTACACTTTTCTTTTTTTTTTTTTTTTTTTTATAGCAAGGTTAAACTCTTTCAGATCTGGTAGCATCTGGTTGCATGTGGACAGGACTTCCAGAGAAAAGGAGCAATATGAAAGAAATCCTGGAAATTAAAGTTTGATCTATTTGTCATTTATGGTAAACTGAGCAATACATCACAAGAGAAAGTTCCAATATTGCATGCCTCTTGCATTTTGACCTTTCTTGTTTACCCATGCAGTTGCACAATACTCATACACTATGCTGGACTTGCCCCACCATTGGCTGCACTGTCCTTCCATACGCTGTGCGGCCTCTGTGTCTGGATGAATGTGCTTTGTTTCATATCAAAGTGTTTTTGCTGTCTGAAGGTTAAACCACTATGATGAAAGTGACTGATACAGCAGGTATGATTCAGGGAAACCAAATCACAGGTAACAGGATGTCATCAGCACACCTTAGAACTTGCTGGCTTTCCCCCAAGGATGCTGGATTTTCACATCTCTCTGGCCACTAGACTGTGTGTGTGCGCTGTTAACTCCACTTCTTTCTCTATCTTCTATCCCACCCCCATTTTCAAACCCGTTGATTTACAAAAATTCCCAATTATGGTCAACAGAGCTCTTCCATAGAAACACAGAAAGGGGCACCAGACTAGATATGTGCTGTTTGTTTAATTCTGAATCAAAATTCGGAAGAAATTTCCATTATTCGGAGATTCAAATGTATCAGAATTTCCGAATTACAATAGTAACGAATTTAAACAAATCTGAAATAACAAAATCAAATTTCAAATAGAATTTGAAAACAAAATCAAATTCAAAAACAAAAATAGAATAATATAGATTAGAAAATAAAATAATAGAAGAGAATAGAGTAAAACAGAATAGAAAATAAAATAATAGAATCAAATAGAATAGAAAATAAAGGAATAGAATAGTATAGAAAATCAAAAAATAGAATAGAAAAGAAAAGAACAGAGTACAACAGAACAGAAAATAAAATAGAATAGAACAGAATAAAATAGAAAAGAATAGAATAGAAAATAAAATAATAGCATAGACAGAAATAGAATAGAAAAGAAATAGAATAGAATACAATGCAAGACAATAAAATAGAACATAGCTGCCTTCCAAAATTCAAATTTAGAAAAGAGTAGAATAGAATACAACAGAATAGAATGGAAAATAACAAAGTAAAACAGAAAAGAATAGAATAACATAGAAAATAATAGAATAAAATAGAATAAAATAAAGGTATAGAACAGAAAAGAATAGAATAGGTTAGAATAGAAAAAACAATAGAATAGAACAGAATAAAATAGAAAGAATATAACCATCTTCTGAAATTCGATTTTTGAATAGAATAAATTTGAATTTGATACTTTTCAATTTGGTCGAACTGAATTAAATTCAACTGAATTAGAAAAATTTGAATAAAATTCGAAAACAAATAAATGAAACGAATTCCGAAAAAAAATTAACTAAATAAAATCATTTCAATAACGAATTGAAACAAAACAAATTTTTTTTTCGTTCTGCACATGTCTACACCAGACCGACAGACAGGTGAAAGGGTCCAAGCTATTTTTAATTGTTGGTAAATAAACTGTATCAAAAGAGCCACCACATTTCAGGGCAAAACCACTCCCTTTTCATCAGGGCCCAAACACAGGATAAAACTTGAATATGCAACGAGTGCCATATTTTAACTGGAATTAAAGTCTCCTTGTGTGTTAGCAATATAATAGCCGATGAGCATCAGTAGAGTATCTACTGTCGGGTACCCATTGGGGGAAGCCTTGCTGGGTGAAAGCCACCTTGGCAGAGCTATTGAGCATGTTTGAATTTTCTCTTCCACTGACTGCATGTAGAAGTCTGGAAATTCTCAGAACTTCTTTAACGGCTTGTTCACTACCACATTTCCATGCGTGTTTCCCACATCACACGGGAGCACATTGCCCTCATAAGACATAGGTGGGTGCCATTAATTTTTAATGGGACCCCAAACACATCTAGCAAATGTGCGCTTTTCTTGGGACACCAAATCACATGGTGTAACCTCTTCAAATGTTGAACATAGTAGACATGTCCAACAGGCTGATCAGGTTAAAACTGGTCTTAGTGTGGGGGCAAGGTCCACTACAAAAATTCCAAAGTGCGCTCCCCTATGAGCTGTGAACTACTTTAGTAGCATAGGTTGCATGTCCTGCCCCTTCTGATTAAGAGCCCATGGTGGCCATCTGTTCTGGTCCCACCATCTGCACATTCTTACCTTTCCTTCTATGCATTGCGGCTCAGTTTGGCAAACCGCGTCTAAGGACTCTGTATCCAACTCAAGTGACAGTGTTTGGTGCCTGAGTGGGCCAAGAGTCAGATATTTTTATTTGCAGCATTGAAGTAAGAATGTGCAGTCAGCTGGCCTGCCATTAAAATGAACCTGATGGTTTTCCTGTAGACACACTTTAAAAGCCAAATTCGCTACCCATTGGTGCTAGCCACTCCAGTCCCCAACACTGCTCAGTTAGATTCCTGGTACTCTAGGCTATAGGGAGTACATAGCATGCCACTTTTCTCCTCAAAATTTTAATGTGCTTGATGCCTGAGTGGCCAATGCTATTACATGAGAGTTGCAGACGTACCTTAGAGTGTGCTATTATTGACAATACTGGGTACTGGTGGTGTCATTGGATAGGCTACCCAAGAAACACTATGAAAGGTGAGTTTAGATACCAGAAGGTGACCATTATAGGGTTGGAAGGTTCTTAAGATCTTGTTGTGTACATTTTCTATATTTAATACAAATATTTACTGGCCTTTGACACCGAGTATGCAAGTGCCTGCTGGGAAATTGGGCCCTGAGTTTCATGCTGCATGCAGTAACTCACCTCTATAGTCTGTTTTTTAATATGGTTGTCCCTCGCTTGCAGAGTTAAACGGTAACGTTCCGAGCACTCGTCAAAGGTCTTCTGATTGCGCAGGTACATCTCTACAGCAACATCATTTGGCGCTTTGTCCTCTTTTTTCCACTCCATCTGCACCCACACATCTTCTTTGACACCCACATGTAGGAGGCGAGGTGCGGCGACCAAGAACCTATGAACAGAACAAGAATTATTATACCGTGCTGTAGTCCTCTGAGCTCCATCTGTCATGCCATGATATGCCAGTAACTATTAGGCCCATGTAACACTAGGGATCCTGGTGCTACTGAAAATTCACCAGTGACAATATTACTGGAAAATACATGGAAGACACATACCTGCTTTGTATATATCATTCCCTCGCCAGGTTCTTCAGCAACCTTTTCTGGCAGCAGTTCCATTGTATAGAACTATCACTGATTTTTTTTTTCATCGTTCTGTTCCCCATGTGACAAAGTACTTGGGATACTTTGTCTTAGGTTGCTAGGTGCTTCCCAGGCTTAGTTCTGAAGTTAGACTGGGCGCCTTCCATCCCCTGCGGCTGTCCGACAACATATCTAAGAAAGAGACAGCCATTTCATAATGGCCACTTGTCCCAGCTCCAAGTACCTTCCTGAGACAAGCATTGGCAGAAGGAATGCAGAGGAAGATAGGGCATGTCAGCCTCCTGTCCTTCAGCATTCCTCGTGCTGCTGATTGTCTCAGGAAAAAGCTCCGAGGCTAGGCTTGTAGTCACTCTAGCAGATGGTGCTGTCCAAACCACAGTGAAATGGTGAGACCTCATAACTACTCCATTGCAAACATATACACTCTTTTCTTAGTCCGATGTCACATTAGTTGAGTAAACCAACATTTTGGTGCCATGAAGGGTCCTTCCTCAAGGCGACATAGTGTCCGCTTTTCCAGGACCAGCCTGTGCAGTACAGTACCAGAAGCCAAGAAAAGGAAATCCTCTGCATTCCTGGTTAGCACTTCCACCTAGCAGCCCTAGGGTCATCAGTTTGAATCCCAACCATGGCACTACTTGCCTGGAGTTTGCATGTTCTCCCTGTGCCTGCGTGGGTTTCCTCCGGGTACCCCAGTTTCCTCCCACACTCCAAAGACATGCTGGTAGGTTAATTGTCTCTTGTCTAAACTGTCCCTAGTAAGTATGAATGTGAGTTAGGGACTTTAGATTGTAAGCTCCTTGAGGACAGAAACTGATGTAAATATATAATATATTGTATACAGTCATGGCCAAAAATATTGGCACCCCTGCATTTCTGTCAGATAATGCACCACTTCATCCAGAAAATTTTAGCAATTACAAATGTTTCGGCATTCTCATGTTTTTTTTCTTTTGTTTGTATTGGTATAACACAAAAAAGTGGAGAAACAAAAAGCCAAATCTGACACATTCAACGCAAAACCCCAAGAATGGACTGGACAAAATTATCGGCACCCTCAAATTAATATTTGGTAACACACCCTTTGGAAAAAATAACTGAAATCAATGGCTTCCTGTAACCATCAATAAGTTTCTTACACCTCTCTACTGGAATTTTGGACCACTCTTCTTTCACCAACTGCTCCATGTCTCTTAGATTGGAAGGGTTCCTTTTCCCTGTTTTGAGATCTCTCCACAGCAGCTCTATGTGATTGAGATCTGAACTCACTGCTGGCCAGTTCAGTCCTCTCCAACGCTTTGAGTGAAACCATTTCTGGGTGCTTTTTGACGTGTGCTTTGGGTCATTGTCCTGCTGTAAGACCCATGAACTCTTACGGAGAATCAACTTTCTGACACTGGGCCCTACATTGCACCCCAGAATTCTTTGGTAGTCTACAGATTTCATAATGCCATGCACACGGTCAAGACATCCAGTGCCTGAAGCAGCAATGCAACCCCAAAACATCAGTGAACCTCCACCATGCTTAACTGTATTCTTTTCTTTAAAGGGCCTCATTTTTTTTTCTGAAAACAGTAGAATGATGGGCTTTACCAAAAAGCTGTCATTTTGTTTAATCTGTCCACAGCACATTCTTCCAAAAGGATTTTGGCTTCCTCAGGTAAGTTTTGGCAAAACTCCAATCTGGCTTTTTTATGTTTTTGTATTAGCTGTGGGGTCCTACTGGGTCTCCTACCATAGCGTCCCTTTTCATTCAGATGGCAACGTATAATTTGAGCTGACACAGTTGTACCCTGTGCCTGAAGGTCAGCTTGAATTTGTCTGAAAGTTGTTCGAGCCACCATTCGAACAATCATTTGTTGCAATCTTTGATACATTTTTCTCTTTCGTTCACCTCCATAGAGATTAGCTACAGTGCCATGGGCTGTAAACTTCTTGACAATATTGCGCATGGTGGACACAGGAACATTGAGATCTCTGGAGAAGAACTTGTAACCCTCAGATTGTGCATGCATTTCCACAATTTTTGTTCGCAAATCCTCAGAAAATTCTTTAATGCTCTTTCTCTTCTCTGGCACACAGAGACACACAACAGAAAAGTTAAATCAATTTTTTACCATTTTAACTGGTTGCCGGTGTGATTTCTATAGTGTTAGCACCTGTTAATTGATACAGGTGAGTTTAATTACAAATTACAGGAGCATCACAAACTTGGAATGCAATTATTTCTTACAATTTTGAGAAGGTGCCAATAATTTTGCCCAATACATTTTTGGGGTTTCGCGTGAAATGTGTCAAATTTGGCTTTGCGTTCTTCCACTTTTTTGTGTCATATCAATACAAACAAAAGAAATAAACATGAGAATGCCGAAACATTTGTAATTGCAACAATTTTCTGGGGGAAGTAATGCATTATCTGACAGAAATACAGGGGTACCAATATTTTTGGCCATGACTAAATGTAAAGAGCTTCGTAAATTGATAAGTACCTGTAATAAATAAGTCAATTCCACCCCTTACTCTTAATGATGACCTTAGAATATCCATTGGCTTCTAGTCCTATACTGATTAGATGCAGGCTGCTTCTGGAAATTGGTTGAAAAGCAACAGGCTTTCTAGAGGAGCTAAAATCTGCTGCGTAACTCTCTACTGGCAGTCTCATAACTGATTGGCTATGCCAGCAGCTAACTGGCAAAAGATTCAACTTGCCCACCCCAAAGGAGCAGCTTGTCCCTGTGGGGACAATCGCAGATGATTTACAACTTCTCTTTAAAAGGGAAACACTTTTTAAATGAAAACAATATTGACATTTGTACAGAACAGCACTGTATAATACTTACTTAGGGGTTTGCGCCACGGTCACGCTAACCATGGCCGCCCATAGCAGGCAGAGCAGGAGAGGAGACGGTCCCATGGTGCAGTGGTGGACTGAGCTGGGAAGAGAAGAGGGCATTTATTTAAACAGAGGGGGCTGGACACAGATATGGGATGAGCAGACAGAGGTCAGGAGGTAAATATTGAGCGCTGGTTAGAAACTGAAAGTGTTTATAATTAGAAAAAAAATGCAATTATGCTTTGTAGGCAGATACACATTATTCCCATTAAAGGCTTCTTTAGAGCTTGCATTTCTGGCTTATATAAAGGGAAATGGATGTATTTCCTTATTAAAGCAAACACCTAAATATACAGATGAAATATACAGTATATGGGGGTTATTTACCTACCAGTGGATTTGTGCAGTATTTATGCTCATCCATTTCTGAGATTTACACAGCTCCGCCTAAAAGCCCAGTCCTGTATGGCAGAGCAGGAGACCTGATTTTTCTCTGCAGCAGTTCAGTAACACTTACAGGTCTTGTGCCTCCTCTAGCCTGTGAATGGGCAGTAATAGGAGAAACAGCGGACTGAAGAGCTCATCTCTACGTCACTCTGCTCTCTCTCCCTATCAACATGCTCCTTCAGCTGCAGCACACTAGCATTTCCCTCACCCAGTCTGAGCTTTGTTGTACAGGAACTTAAGGAGGCAATGTGTTGCAGATAGCTTTCAGACCATTGTGCTGTAATGCTTCACTCCCCAGCAGGGTCGGACTGACCATTTGGAAACTCGGGCACTGCTCGAGGGCCTGGGGTCAGTAGGGGACCCCATGAGATGCCCCTGGTACCTTTTTCATAGGCGTTTTGAGTTTGGGCAAGAACATAGGGGCCCCATGATCCCCTATTGCCTGGGGGCCCCATGAGTTGTCAGTCCACCCCTGCTCCCCAGCCACATTGGGGAGCTATTGGGGTCTGTACACACATATACATGTGACATCTGCAGGCGTCAAAACTGCAAAGTGTTTGAAAACTACAAGAAAGTGCTTCACTGTGGCTGAGCCATTGCTAATAAGCTCCACAATATTGCGTTCAAATCACACCCCTTGTCAACTCTGTGTCCTTCTAAGTGCAAATAATTGCAATGCACATTGCATATATATTGTCATCTATACAGGGCCAGTGCTTCCACTAGGAAAACTAGGCAGCCGCCTAGGGCGCATCGCTACCTAGGGGCACCTGGGCACAGCACAGGTTGGCACTCTCTCTGTGTGGGACGCCTCCACATCATGAATGATCCTTCAGCTGAGAGGAGGGGTGGCAGAGGGGAGGAAGAAAGGACAGAGGAAGATACCAGGTATCTGGGGCCAGTGTAGCTGCTGAGCTGCCATTCCTTCCAGTCTTCCTCTCAGACTCAGTCCATTACTGCAAGCCAGCTGGTGGCTGCTGATCACTGTGGAGTTCCAGCTCTTCTCTTATTGTGTTAAAGACAAAATCCGTGTCACAGACGGACTGTATCTGTGGCTTATCTTATGTGTGTATCTTAGGTGTGTAATGCACAGAGTGCAGAGGTCAGAGGCGTGTAATGCACAGAATGCAGGGGTCAGGGGTGTGTAATGCACAGAGCGCAGGGGTCAGAGGTGTGTAATGCACAGAGTGCAGGGGTCAGGGGTGTGTAATGCACAGAGCACGGGGGTCAGGAATGTGTAATGCACAGAGTGCAGGGGTCAGGGGTGTGTAATGCACAGAGCACGGGGGTCAGGAGTGTGTAATGCAGAGAGTGCAGGGGTCAGGGGTGTGTAATGCACAGAGTGCAGGGGTCAGGGGTGTGTAATGCACAGAGCACGGGGGTCAGGAGTGTGTAATGCACAGAGTGATGGGGTCAGGAGTGTGTAATGCACAGAGTGCAGGGTCAGGATTGCGGAATGCGCAACACATAGGGGTGAAGAGTGTGTAATGCACAGATTGCATGGCTATGGAATGTGCAGTGCAAAGAATTAAAAGGTCAAGAGTATGTAAAACACAGTGTTGCAGTCAGTGCCAGGTTTACGAGTACCTAACACACAGAGAACAAGATCCAGGAGTGTGTAAGTCATTGTAGGGGTAAGGAGTAAAAAAAAACACAGAGTGCAGGAATCAGGGGTGTATAAGAACTATAGAATTGCAAAATTCCCTCTGCAGGCAATTATCTACCCCATATCACCCTTTCAGAAAAAATTCCCACTTCCCCACAAAAAAGAAACCCAGAACTAAACTGCATGCTTACCCCTTCCAGCACTAATCTGACCAACCTCTGATACCTCCTCCCAGCACAAATGCAAAGAAGATTAAAAAATGTGACGATGGTAATTTATAAAAAAAAAATGGTTTATATTATGAAGCACTTCAGAAAACGGTCCTGTAGTTTAAGCCATTCCTGACCAAAGCCTGTAGGTTGACATCTTCAGGACCAGCCTGCGCGGTACAGTACCAGATGCCAAGAAAAGGAAACCCTCTGCATTCATGGTTAGCACTTCTGCCTGGCCACACTTGGGTTTGAATCCCAACCACTAACTATCTGGAGTTTACATGTTCTCCCTGTGCTTGTGTGGATTTCCTATGGGCACTCTGGATTCCTCCCACATTACAAAAACAAGCTGGTAGGTTAATTGGCTCCTGTCTATGTTGGCCCTAGCATGGGTATGTATGAATGTGAGTTAGGGACCGTAGATTGTAAACTCCTTAAGGGCAGGGACTGACCTGAATGTACAATATATATGTAAAGTGCTGTTTAAATTGATGGTGCTATAGTAAATAAAATAATTATTGTTAATTCATGTTCCACTGTAGAGCTGACAGCCACTGGTCTCAACTAACAATTAGGAACCAGTTAGCATCCATCTTGTTCATGTGATCACCATGACAGGCAATCATGGTGATCACATGTGGTTTTTTGTTTGTAGATAAACCTGTTGGCTGCAGCTGTCACTGAGCTGCCCACAAAGAGGGGCACCGTGACAGTTGAAGCCAGCCAGTGTGACAATCAGCCCAATGCCTAGGTCAGGAATTATAGGTAGTGAGTGAGTGTTTCTTCTGCCTATGGTAGCCCCCCTTTTCCTTAAGACAAGCAAACCTACCAGTACTGGGCTGCCTCCAGGTCTTATCATTCCTGGCCAGATGGCACTAGGACTGCACAAATAAGGTAGGGAAGGATACTTGTAGTCTAGAGGCTGGTCTGGCAGAAGGCAGTGGCTGGTTGAGGAATCCTGGACAGATCAAGGTCAAGATAGGCAGCAGGCAAGCATAATTTAGTAGACAGTTTCTAGGTCAGGGCAGGTAGTATGCAAGCATAACCCAGTAGACAATTTCGAGGTCAGGGCAGGTAGTGTGCACGCATAATCCAGTAGACAGTTTTGAGGTCAGGGCAGGTAGTGTGCGTCATTAATCCAGTAGACAGTTTCAAAGTCAGGACAGGTAGTGTGCATGCATAATCCAGTAGACAGTTTCAAGGTCAGGGCAAGTAGTGTGCGCCATTAATCCAGTAGACAGTTTCAAGGTCAGGGCAGATAGTGCGCAAGCATAATCCAGTAAACAGTTTCGAGGTCAGGGCTGGTAGTGCACAAGCATAATTCAGTAGACAGTTTCGAGGTCAGGGCAGGTAGTGCACAAGCATAATCCTATAGACAGTTTTGAGGTCAGGGCAGGTAGTGTGCAAGCATAATCCAATAGAAAGTTCGGGGTCAGGGCAGGTAGTGCGCAAGCATAATCCAGCAAACAGTGTTGAGGTCAGGGCAGGTAGTGTGCGACAATAATCCAATAGATACTTCCAAGGTCAAAAAAATTGTCAGAGTACAAGGCAGGGGTCAGCAGCGATAAATTTAAATGACAGGTAACAGCAGGCAGGGCACAACAGTTAGGGAGCTAGGAAGCAGACACTATCACAAGCCCAAAGTTCTGGGCTTTTGATGCTCAGATAGAGTGCTGCAGCACCACAGCCAATTAAACCAAAGGAACAGGCAGGCAGGACCAGGCAATACGGCAGCGTTGCCTGAGAACTGTAGTACTGTGGAGGGGCATGTGGCACCACCGGCCAATGAAGAAAGAGGTGGCCCCGGCTGGAGAGAAGACTGCGGTCGCCTCTGGTGAATATAAAGAGAGGGGGCGTCATCTCCATTGCGTGGCAAAAGAGATGTAGGTCAGGCCTGCATGGCCTGACCCACGACCCAACATTTGGTCTGGCTATGTTGGCTTACTTGACCTCTAGTCATTAAAGGGTTAAGAAAACTCCATTCTAAAATGTTGTAATGAATTCAGTGTGACAGGTAGAAGTACCCTGTTATCATGAGAGAAGTACCCCGTGGGATATATATTATATATACTGTTATTTGGGAATGAGGGCTACAGATCTGTAGAAATCCAGGGAGAGTACAATGACTGGGAGATGAACTCCACAGTGTGCTGCTTTTCCTTTTACTGTACAGACACAAGCTGGAGGATGAAAAAGAAAGACCAAGTGCGCTCCCCTGCCAGACAGGGCTGTGCTGCGTGGCAGAGTTGTGTAAATCTCAAGACCGGATGGACAGAAATACAACTCCTCTGACAGGTAAAACAGTTTGCTTTCACATATTATAAATGCATTTAGCTTTTTGCCTGGAGCTTACTTTTAACACTGCCATTTCTAAAAATGATAAACAGTGAGCTCCACCTCTGCCAGTTAGACAAAGTCCAAAAGTTTGACACCCACCCCCCTCATCCCAGTGTGTACATGGGAAGTATTTACTGAAAGTGATCACATGATTTAAGAGAAATTGAGTTAAAAATAAAGTTTGAACCGACAAACTCAGCAGAACAGAACAAAACAAAACAAATTCCCATTCTGGTTGATTTAAAGGCAAGCCAAGTCTCATTCCAAATGTTGGCAAGTCTACAAATCTAGTATATCAAGTAAATCGGTTCTGAAGAATAAAATGTGTAAACTAAAACCAACCTGGACTGCTAGCAGCTTACCAAGGCAGTTAATATCCACAGTATCCAATCAGATTGCTTGCTTCATTGTCTCAATTTTTTCCAATTTTTAACTGTCCCTCTGGTCAGTTCAGAGGAGTGTACTACAAAGCCTGGATGAAGTCCACTGTAACTCATCACAGATAACTTATTACTCTT